GTTCAAACTGTTTTTGGCTTTTACCTATTTGGTTAACGATTTTTGTGTGCAACTATACTTTGTTTTAATTATCGTTTACTTATAGTGATTTAAAGAATTTCATAAATGGAAGTGTCACAAATATAGATTTTATAAAAATTAATTTGTACCCGTATTTAAACCGGTCCAATTATTTTTTTCTCAAGACGTTTTAACAACTTGTTTTCTATTCTTCTTCTTGTTGTTGTTGTTATGAATTTTAATCGGAATATATATTTGTATTGATTAGTAGTATTATTTGAGTTCTGAATTAATTGAATATAGTTCTCAAGTTTCCTCAAGTTATTTCACTCGATCTACATTATACCATATACATTCATCATGTGACTGACTATGCAAGACCTTATGTATTGATTCTGATTGATTAATGCATTTTATATGCTACTGATGAACGTTATGTACTGTTTATCATGACGAATGAATCAGTTAAGATACAGAGAAAGAGAGAGATAAAAGATTATTGGAACTAACCAAAAACTTAAACTTTCTCACGCGGTTGCACAAAACTACAATGTTAAATTGATAGCTTTCACTTTGAACAACAATAGTTAATGCTATAAAAATTTTCGTTTCCCATCAAAATCAAAGTGAAATACACAAACCTTACTTTACATATGGATTAACAATTGGTGGTGTAGTGTATGCTACTTATGTTGACAGATATAAGTAGTATGTAATACCAAACAGAAGTGGAATGCAAGGCAGAAGATTGAGAAGATCAAATTCAAGAAAACGGGAATGTAAACAGAGTAATTGTTATAAAAAAACAGGAATGAATAAATAATAAAGTTTGTCAACGACAACTGATGCAAAGATATGTCAGTCAGCTACAACGTAGCATAAGGCACACAGATACGTCGGTCCAAGTTCCCATACCCCATTAGCACAACAAGATGAACACCGAATTCATAGAAGTAGTTCATTCAATAGTGTTAATATATAAAAGAAACATTGCATATAAGGATAAAATACAGGAAGAACGAATTAGTTCGTAGAAATAAGGGTAGAAAGTAATTCTAATCTCATGGTTTAGAGGAAAGACAAAGAGTGTATACACTTACACCATTGTAATCGATTCTGAACCATGTCACACACAGTCTCCAACCATTGGTTACAATAGTCACACGGACCCCAACTAAGTAGTCTGCATCTACCAACATGGCTCAGACTAGAAGTTAGTGTCTTCAAGCACTGATGCCACGTCTTCGTTTGGCCGCCTCTAACTTCCTTCCAACCATCTTCAACACTTGTCAGCATTGCGCGTTGTGGTAAATGGTGTTCGGGCATACGTAACACGAGGCACAATCATCTCAGTCGATGAACATTCACAACCTCATCAACTGATTCACCATCATTCCCTAACACCCTGCGTCTAACCTCACCATTACTTACCCGGTGATCCCAGCAGATGCAAGCAATATTTTTAAGGAATCTGTGCTCAAATGCTAGTAGCTAAAGAATATTTTCAACTCTTAATGGCCACATTTCGCAGCCGTAAAGTAGAATAGAACGAACTGCCGCGCAGTATACTCGGTCCTTTTATTGACAGACAGATATCTCGCCTTCGCTATAGGTGACGTAAGTTGGCAAAAGCCAAACGAGCTTTTCGAATCCGTGCTGAGATTTCGTCGGACACCAACCCATTAGGACTGATCAGACTTCCAAGGTGAGTAATCGACGTCCCTCTTCAATTCCAATTATTCCTCCTACATTGGAAGATATGTAAATGATGCAATGAATGTGTGGATTTCATATTTTACTCAAACACTCGGTGATTTTGCAGTAAACAATAAATTGGTCTTCCCCATATGAATCTTCGTTCACTAAAGTAGTAATCCCATAAAAGTGATAAACATATGATAAGTGTACAGAATTTCCAATTCTATTAACTAATTAAACGAGTTATAATGAACATATGTTTCGTACATTGACTAAGATGTGTATGATTCATTGAAAATGTGACAGTTAGGTATAGAGGTGTGATATCTACAACCTTGTTTAGGGTAACAAGTTCAACACAACCGATAATAACTTCAAAGTTACGTAATACCAACGTTGTTATGGTACTATTAATCTAGTCTAGTCTACTTAAACTTACAAAAACAGTTTCTAATACTCTAAGAGAGGGAGAGAAAGAGAGAGAATCAACCAACTGTTTGCAATTAATACAAGAAATTATGATTTTGTGTGTGTGTGAGAGAGAGAGAGAGAGTAGAAAATAGACACATTGTCACTTGGTAAAAATAATAACTAGGACTGTTTACTGAATTTTCATTGATCATACACAGTTGATTGTTCGTTTCACTCGATATCGATTTACGGTAACTCATATAAATATAACATAAAAAATTCCACAACAGAAAAACTGTCTAAAAAGGTCCCAACAGCAACAAAAAACAACAACAAGTCACTAATAAAAGAAATGTAAAATTATTATGATCAATAAAGGTGAAAGAATAAAGTTAGAAGGTATTTTATAAATTGTAGACTTCATCTTATCAAATCGATTGGACTAATTAAGCAACAGGAGAAGACGGAGAGGAGAGGAAGAAGGATAGGAGGAGGAGGAGGAAGAAGAAGAAGAAGAAGAAAAGAAGGGGAGGAAAACTATGAGGAGAAAGAAGTAGAAGTATATAAATTGACTTATCTGGCAATAACAATTATATCAGTTGGATCAATAATGTATTGAATAAGTACAAAGTGCAGTTTTAATTACCATGATTCTGAGCAACGTACTCTTCATGTTTAATAAGGAAAAGGGTGTTTACAGCAAGTCTATGAGATTATTCTAAACAGAATAGGTACGTATTGACACTAATATTTTATTTTAAAAAAAAAAACATGTATTGAAGCTTACCATGATCCAAGATAATCAATTCCAAGGCATTGTATTAAAATAATAACGGTTTGTCCAGAAAAGAAAAGGAAAAATAATAAATAATTCGCTGAACTATCTGATCTATTAAGGTAAACAAAATGGAAATAAGAGAGAAAGATATCAAAAGATGATTAGGTTTATATGAAAGTGAAAAGAAAACTTGTTCAACTTATAGTGATATATTACACTAACTACAAATTTGTATGTACTCAGCAATGAGTTATAACTTGAGATATGATAATTAATGACAGAAGTACGTCGAATAGGTTTATTTATTTATATATTTGAACACAAATATTGGTACAAAAGGGTAACGAATACATATGCGCTACATAAGTCACTTGGTTTGTATGTGGGCTGTGATACTGCCCGAGTTCTCAGGCCGAAACAGGTGGTTGTCTTAGAGGTCCAGACCCGGAGCCTCTGACCTAAAGGTCTGATTCATAAGGCAATGGAGCAACGTAAGGAGATGTAGTCTCATGGTAACCGGTGGCCAACAATTGGTTCACATGCCATTTGTTCCCTCAGGATACTGGAGCCCATGTGCACCAGTGGTTTGTAATCAGGTTTCTCCAGCTCCCCTAGATGGAATCTCCGTGTCCACCAACCCGGTTAAAGCGCTTTTCGTCCTCTAAATTTCGTAAAGAACACCCCGAGCTCGAGAAGGCAGTGAGTAAGACTTCCCTGGCAGTGGTTGTATACGCATAGCCATGTGAGAGCATTTCGAGATTTTGACTTTCCCTCACCCTCGGTCGTACCAGGGCATTTTGGGGCTTGTGGAGGATGATATTATGTCAAGACCACATAGGTCATTCTAGCTTCTGGACAGACCCATTTGTTCATTCTTCTCAAGCCACACTTTGACCTTGTCAATTGTTTGTTTATTAATCCTGACCCTTTTTTATTTGATCGTATTTGTGCTAATTGCTCACCCTATTCATTACGTGTCTGTACTTTATTTTTGTCTGGATATAAATATTGAGTTACGTTTGATCAACTCGATTTGGCTCTTCGTTGCACATCATTTCGTTTTGTTTCTCGAATTGTCTGTTTGGATCAATGAAAGTGAGAAATATACATATTCAAAATCCGTTCTCATATTTGGCGTATTTTGTTCCATTATTTCTACAGCGCGAATTGAGACGATAGAAATATACGAGGGTTCGAGGTATGTATATTTCGAAGACAATCATCGTATGATCTAATTGGTGTCAGATACATGGCCATTAAGAACTGACAGATTTAATAGCTGGAATCTAGATATATTAAAAGAACTACGTGTTAGCTCCCAAATACCCTGGTACGGTCGAGAGTGGGGAGAGTCAGCTCTCGCTTTCAAAATGTTCTCACATAGCCATGTGCGCACAACCACTGCCAGGGACGTTTTACTCAATCTTTTCGCGGCAGGGGTGTTGTTTATGAAATTGAGAGGACAAAAAGTGAAGCTTTAACCATGTTGGAAGATATGGAGGATCCACCGAGGGGAGCTGGAAACCCCTGATTCCAAACCAATGGTGTACATACATGGGCTCCAGCATCCTGAAGGGAAAAATGACCTATGAACCTAATGTTGGTCACCGGTTACCATGAGACTGCATCTTCTTACGTTGCCCCACTGTCTTGTGGACTAGACCTGTGGGTTGAAGGCTCCGACTGTTACCTCCTAATAAAACCACCTGTTTTGATTCGGTCACCCGGGCAGTATCCCAACCCTCACATAAGTCGAATGATTTATGTGGCATATACCTGTTTAGTGCCTTCGTGTACCAATGTGTTTAAATAATAAAAATAAATAATGTGTTGGGGAAATATAAAGTTATTTACTTAATTCAAACATACTAATTTACCAAGTCTTGAAATACATGATTGTTAATTGAAACTGAAGAACGCTCAGTTGGATTCGAATTTGTTTACTTCATTACCATAAATTACCTGATAATATTCTTAATGAATAAATTAGAAAGTAAATAGATTTTTTTATGTTCGAATGAAGAATAAATGTGAATGGTAACTTGCGGGAATTATTTGTAAACTGTTATTATATATTTCTTCTTATTGGTATGAATATTAAGTAACTAGACCTTATATATTCGTATTCCTTTAACCATGAGCTTTCATTTGACTTATTGGCTACTGCAATACGGTTTACCATTCTTAGTTTATTCCCAGTTTATTAGTTACACTATCCCATACTCACAAACACTTTGGCTTGATCTTGTGTAATTATTAATTTTTATTTTATGATATGATGCGGTCTGATGTGTTTCTATATAAAACTACGTATGTCTGAATTATGTGATTCATACAGTGAAAGTTGATATCGTATTCTGAACTGAACAGCTAGGGCAAGGTGAGAAGCTACTGTACAGAGGACCAATAAGGACTCCAAGTTGACTCGAGGCTGCTAGTACTGAATAACGCGTCACTAGTTTGGCACAGTGCCAAGGTCATATAAGTCGTGTTCTAATTGGCGATTCAATCATATGATATTATGCATGTATGTATAAATCCTAATTTCTAAACTGATAAGGTTTAATATCTGTTAATACAATTTTAAATGAATCTACTAGAAAGTAGTTCAAATTTGACAATGAACTGATACATAGTTTTAAGTGGAGTTCTGTTTGCTGAGCTGAATAGAGCTTTGATTGGCTGTCTAACTAAGATCAGTTAGTAGTTTGAACTACGAAAAGTTCTGCGATCTCTAAAAATCTCCTCTACACTGATATTGAGAAATTTTTTTTGAAAAAAGGACAAACATTTACCTTAATGCTTTATACAAAGGTCGATGCCATCCGAAAAAGCTTATAGGTGGCATAACAAGCACTAATAAAATTGATGCACCAAACAATGGTCCTTCAGCTGCACCGTTACCAACAATAAAATAGCCTAGTGCTCCAAACATATTGAATATTAACAAGATAGCATAGCCCAGCCAAATACCATAACCCATTTTCGCCATCCATCGACAATCGAATGGAATATCATTTTCAAAATCTTGTCGAACACATGGTTTGCATGAACAGAATGGAGGGAATGGTGGCCAATTATGTGGACCTACAAAATAAAAAGAATCTTTTTTTTAACAAGACAACTATTACATATGATTGTTGTGGACAGTGGTAAATATACAAGTTTATATTTAGGAAAAAAATAGTAACCAGTCATAATCAATCTTAAACACTAGCATGAATGTACTGTTGAGCCTAAGGAAAGTATATTAAGCAAATATAGGAAATCGAACGACGAAGTTGTGAATCTTTACCAACTAAGGAGACTAGGGAATGGTGTTACGTACGTCTTGATACCTATATCGATATGAGGTACATATTAGTCTAAGCTATGTCAGCAAGTGCAGACTTTCTGGTCAGCATTCTCACAATAACTGTGATCAATGATCTATATGCCTCAAAATAGGTCGCAGTAGAGTAGATCAATTCACTTTTTATCGATACTTGATTACCAGTGACCCTTCATGTACACCTTTTCATCCTTACTTCTTGAACCATATTCTCAATGCTTAATCTTTCTCACTACCATTGATATTATAATTATTTGGACTGCTTAATTATGGCAGTACGTTGCTTTCATATTATTGTGTTAATGTAGGTACGGCAATTTAAACTCTGTGTTGATTATGACCGGTTGACAGAATATTTCATCTTATACTAATATGAACAGATAAGGAATTTCAATAGTTTAGATCATGAGTCAATTGAGGCTAGACCATCATGGAAAACCTGGAAGCAGTGAACGGCCGTTTCTTCCTATTGTGGGACTTCTCAGGGAATTAACAAAATGAGAAGTAAGAGAGATTAATTTCAATCACAATGGGAATTTAAGCATGAGAATTTGACAGTCCACATGATGAAAAGTTGACTAAAAGTTTGTAGAAAGCTAAGTAGAATGAGTGCAATTGTGCCATGATAACAAATTTCGCGCTTTACCAGTCAAAGTTTCAAGATAAAGAGATTAAAAATTTTGTTAGGTGGGCCCCATGTCCAGGAAGTTTGAACCTACCGACATGGTTTAGATCAGTATTCTATGAACTGACGTCACATCTTGGGGTTGTGTAGAAGCTTTAGTTGTGAACGATGAATTAAGCATTGCACAAGTGTTCATAGGCGTCCTCTTAATCACAACTGTCACGTTGACTGAGGATGGACGGACAGACAGACAGATATTACTAACATAGAGCCTGACCCAAGTTGACAGACCATATTAAGATGACGAGACAAAAATAGCAAGAGAACAACTTAACGTAGTAACGATGGTAAAAAGAAAGACTAAACCTTGGGGATATGGATTGAAAAAGATAGAATGAAAACGTATTCATGAATAAATATTGGTGCTCAAAAACTAGAAGATAGGGAAAAAATTTATATGCTTTCGTGTGATCAATTCTGAGCCATGTCACACTTCTCCAACCTCTGATCGCAATTATCACTTCGATCCCAACCAAATAGTTTAAATCTACGAATATGACACAGACCAACAGTCAACGACTTCATGAACTGATGCCACGCTTTGATTTGGACACTTCTATCTTCCTTCCCACCTACTTCTAAACGTGTCGAGTGAAGATTCACTACTTCACCAACTGATCTGTCATCCTTATCAATCACCTCAACATGACTACTTATTCGATCATTTCACAAAATGTAAACAAAAGTATTTACGGTTGAAAAAAACAACAACCCATTAGCCTACAAATGTCTCCGACTTTCCATTGACTACAGAAATAAGGACAGTACATCTTTAAGCTGAAAAATTCCAATATCACAGAATCAATCACTATTCATAGTTTAACAGATTATTCTTTGAATAACAGACAAAATGTACATTTTTAACTACAAAATGTATTTGTAATGTTTTCAATGAAATACATGTAACTTTCTTCTTGGTGTTGTTGTTCTCTCCATAGTTTATTCAAAAAAAAAACACAAAAGAAACCCAATTTAAATTATAAATAACTATCTAATTATAGAATATAAAATGAGTTGCTATATGAATGGTGAAGCACACTTTTAATGTATAAAGTATCCATTTAAGTGATTATTAAAATGATTGACTAGAGTAGTGATGGTGGACGGGGGGGGTGGAGAAAGAGAAAAGAGACAAGGGTAATGACGTAAACATAAAGATATTACATATATATATAAGCATATGATTCAAACTATTTTAATTGTGTGCATTTTTTTGGTAAAAACATTTTGGAAAATGAAAAACAAACAAAAAAAACTTATGAATGTACCTTTTAAAACATGTAAAACAAAGATGATAGACTATGAAGTTATTATTATTATTATTATTATTATTATTATTATTATTATTATTATGATTCTGAACTGAAATAAATGAAGTAAACTGAAGACAACTGAAGAGAGAAAATCGATCAGAAGGGGTTGTTTTGTGGATATTATAGTAATTTTAATAGTTAAGATTATGAGTCGATTGAAGCTAGACCACTATGGAAAACTTGGAAGCACTGGGTGGCCGTTTTGTTCTACTAGTATGGAACTCCTCAGCGATGTGCATCAATGATCCTGTCTCGTGAGATTCGAACACAGGACCTATCGGTCTCATGCGTGAACGTATAACCTCTAGACGGTTGAACCGGCATCCAATGGTGTTAATGTCTAACTTCAACTAATCCACGAAATTGAACAACACATCCACCATTGTTTTCAGTGAGTTACTATCTCACAAAAGACCAGGTTGAACTCGATTGGTCACTGTTTCTTACTAGAACTCTAGGAAATACCTTTTGAAGTCAGTCACTAGTGAGCATACGCTGATTAGTATCAGAAGGGTTTTTTTGGATATTATAGTAATTTTAATAGTTGAGATCATGATTTTCATTGAAGCTAGACCACCATGGGAAACCTGGATATCATTATTAGTAAAAGTTTCGACTTTTTACCGAAATTTGATTAGTCTTAGTTGAAATATGCGCATTTTGTGAGAATTATCTTAATAGAGCCATTATATCATAACATATATATAGATGGATTGTAGTTAGAAGTGGAGTTTAACATGCAAGTTTTGTCCTGTCTTGAACTCTTCAGTTGGATTTATTAGCTCAACAGATAATGTGTTGATGTTTGAAGCAAAACAATAGTATCCGGTTCGAGTTTCAGTGTGAATATCAACATTGAAATGTATGCACATCCAGTTGACAAGTTTCAAACAAGACAAAACACGTATCCACCTCAAACCATAATCTATCTCTCTTCTAAAACTAGTAGAAAAAAATATAGTTCATCAACTGATACTATACATAGATGATACAACCTATTAAAAAGTGTTTAGATCAAAGTTGTTAACAAAATCAGACATTGTATATAGAGAAACTATTTTTTTCGCACAAACAAAACACAACGAGGAACAAATGTGATAACATAACTGCTGATATGTTTTAGGCAATAAATTATAGTTTATAACTTAAGGGATAGACTAATTTCATTATCATAATCATCCCTAGTTTTCCACATCAAAATCAACTGGTGTAATCTAGGGTTAAAGTTAATACCTTTCCTACAAAATTCATTTTAACTCATCGAAAATAACTGATTAAGCCAGTCGAAATCAGATTCGAATTTGAAGTAGGACAGTGTTAAAAACGCAAGTCAAACTCAACAATCTTCACGATACCTTATAGTTACACTCATGTGCTTACTAGTGACTAAATTCGAGAAGTAATCATCTGGGTTCTAAGGAGAAGTCATGATCAATGAAGTTTCAGCTAAGTCGGGGGGGGTGAGGCAATGGAGGATAGTCACGCAATATCATCACTTGACCGAAGTTACCAATGTTAAGCCATTAGGTGACAACTTAGTAATCAGTAGGTTAGGTGGTCGCTACAATGTCTAACGACTTTGGATTTGATTCCCGGTGGGGACTTGGACTTGTATTAATGAAGAAACAGCTATCTAGTGCCTCCTAGTTTTCAACGGTCGTTTAATAAAGAAAATTCAGCTGTATGATACTTCATTATAGACTATTAGATATTCATGTATATATCAAATTTATTTGGAAGCTCAACCTACAATCGATTAAATAAAGGCAAAATAGTAAGTAAAAGTAAATTTTCACAGATTGAAATCATGAGTCAGTTGAAGCTAGACCACCATTGAAAACCTGGAAGCACTGGACGGCCGTTTCGTCCTAGTATGGGACACATCAGCAGTGCGCATCCACGATCCCGCACCACGCGGGGCTCGGACCCAGGACCTACTGGCTTCGCGCGCGAGCACTTAACCATTAGACCACTGAGCCGGCATCCAACGGTGTTAATGTCTAACTTCAACCAATCCACGAAGTTGCGCCACCATATACCGTTGTCTTCAGTGAGCTGATATCTCACAACAGACCTGGTTGTACTCCACTGGTAACGGCTTCCCACTAGAACTCCAGGAGTATCTCTTGAAGTCAGTCACTAGTGAGCAGATGATTATTATCAGAAGGGGTTTGTGGAGATTTTTAGAAATTTTCACAGATTGAAATCATGAGTCAGTTGAAGCTAGACCACCATTGAAAACCTGGAAGCACTGGACGGCCGTTTCGTCCTAGTATGGGACACATCAGCAGTGCGCATCCACGATCCCGCACCACACTGAAGACAATGGTATATGGTGGCGCAACTTCGTGGATTGGTTGAAGTTAGACATTAACACCGTTGGATGCCGGCTCAGTGGTCTAATGGTTAAGTGCTCGCGCGCGAAGCCAGTAGGTCCTGGGTTCGAGCCCCGCGTGGTGCGGGATCGTGGATGCGCACTGCTGATGTGTCCCATACTAGGACGAAACGGCCGTCCAGTGCTTCCAGGTTTTCAATGGTGGTCTAGCTTCAACTGACTCATGATTTCAATCTGTGAAAATTTCTAAAAATCTCCACAAACCCCTTCTGATAAAAGTAAATTTGTAAATTGTAAATAAAATAATACTGAGTATGTGAAGTTTTATGTTAGACAAAAGTTTGTGAGTCATTTTATGGGGGAACAGCATATGGATACAGACAATTACATATACATACATACATACACCTAAACCATTGTACACGAGCAGAACATGGAGCCTGGAGTAACATGGTAATACTGGAAAGTGGAATTCTCACTTCACATGATGAAAAAAAACACTACAGAGTGGTTGAAAGATACAAACAACAACTTAATTAGATAGAATAAGAAACATTTACAGTGTAGAAGTATATATACATATGTGTCAGTGTGTACATGTGAGTATGGTCTATGTGAAGAGGATAAAGACTAGTCATGATTATTATATCGTTACTAAGTAGAAAATACGAGATCACATCAAAACAATACTACATACTAAACATTCTTTATATGCAATTTCTATTGATGATGTGTACTGAGAATTTCATACTGCACTAAACAAATTATTATTGCTACTAAAATATAGGCAATTAAAGACGCGATTCATTTTATGGTAATGAGTAGGGGTGTCTTCGAAGCATTGCTCGTATATCCTCGAACCGCCGAGTAAGTAATTCAGTTGTTAGGAAACGGGTACTAGGTAAGGATGGAAAATCAATTGATGAAGTAATGGAACTTCATCAGTTGAGATGGCTGGGACATGTGTTACATATTACCTAACCACCGACTGCCCTGACGAGCGATGTTTCATGGTGAAATAGGTTGGAAAAAAGTTAGAGGCGGCCAGACCAAAACATGACACAAATCCATGAATTCACTGACAAGTGAACTGAACCATGTTGGTAGATGTAGACTACCTGGCTGGGATCCGTGAGATAATAGCAACCGGTGGTTAGAGACCTTAAGTGATATGGCTCAAAATCTTTTGCAATGGGGCAGGTGCATCCACTCTTTGTGTTCTCCTAAATTCTAATCTCCTGAATCCTCCTTGTCTCTGTTTTTCTCTTTCCAAATTGATTTCACTGGATTATACTCTCTAAATAACATCTTCAAACCCTAATGTTTCCGATTACTGCTTATACTCTTACCGCCTCTACCACTACGAGATCTGAATCGACCACAGCATCTCTGTGCTAATGTGGTGTGGCAACTCGAACTGATGTACGTACGTACGAAGTTCTACGTTGTTACTGACTGACTGACTGAATTATCATGAACGAATTACTTAATTGAATTGTCTGAAAGAGTAAATTATAAACAGATTAAATGATTATTATCATATCCATATGATTACCATTACTATTATTATTATATCATCATTACCATTATTAAACGTCAGATGATGGATGAAAGTATGAGATTGATTGTCAATCATTAATTAATTAATAATAGTGGTAGTAGTAATAATAATCACAGTAACAGCAATGATAATAATAATTATTATTACAGTTATAATAATAATTTAATTCAATTTCATATATTTAGGAAATTAAGGAACATTAAGTGTCAGTCAGTTACAACGTAGCATAAGGCACACAGATACGTCGGTCCAAGTTGCCATACCCCATTAGCACAACAAGATGAACACCGAATTCATAGAAGTAGTTCATTCAATAGTGTTAATATATAAAAGAAACATTGCATATAAGGATAAAATACAGGAAGAACGAATTAGTTCGTAGAAATAAAAGTAGAAAGTAATTCTAATCTCATGGTTTAGAGGAAAGACAAAGAGTGTATACACCTACACCATTGTAATCGATTCTGAACCATATCACACACAGTCTTCAACCATTGGTTACGATAGTCACACGGACACCAAGCAAGTAGTCTGTGTCTGCCAACATTGCTAAGACCAGAAGTTAGTGACTTCAATGACTGATGCCACGTCTTCGTTTGGCCGCCTCTAACTTCCTTCCAACCATCTTCAACACTTGTCAGCATTGCGCGTTGTGGTAAATGGTGTTCGGGCATACGTAACACGAGGCACAATCATCTCAGTCGATGAACATTCACAACCTCATCAACTGATTCACCATCATTCCCTAACACCCTGCGTCTAACCTCACCATTACTTACCCGGTGATCCCAGCAGATGCAAGCAATATTTTTAAGGAATTTGTGCTCAAATGCTAGTAGCTAAAGAATATTTTCAACTCTTAATGGCCACATTTCGCAGCCGTAAAGTAGAATAGAACGAACTGCCGCGCAGTATACTCGGTCCTTTTATTGACAGACAGATATCTCGCCTTCGCTATAGGTGACGTAAGTTGGCAAAAGTCAAACGAGCTTTTCGAATCCGTGCTGAGATTTCGTCGGACACCAACCCATTAGGGCTGACCAGACTTCCGAGATAAGTGAAGATGTCGATGCGTTCGACTACTTCACTCCCTATCCTTAGTTTAGGTGTTGACGCAGGCCATTCCTGGAGCAACAATTTGGACTAAATGTACAATATCTCGAAATTCTTCGCAGCACTAGAGTCATCACTCAAGACTTCCAGAATAAGTGAGGAAACGAAACAAGAAATAAGGCAAACTATAGTACCGTTAACTCAATGGATGAAGGAAAACAAACAACCGACCCCACAAGAACAAAAAGCTTTGAAGGAACTCAGAACTGGAAAGGATACTGTCATAGTTCCGGCGGACAAAGGACGCACCACAGTGATTATGGACAAAGAAGAATACGTCGAAAAAGCCGAGGAACTAATTGAGTATAAGAGTGCATACAAACTGATGGACATAAATCCAGTCAAAAGGCTAGACAACCGAATCTCAAAGACTTTAAACAAGCTCATCAAAGCAGGAGAAATAACAAAGCAAGATCAATGGAGAATGAAATCCAATGGACCAGTGCTCCCTCGATTCTACAGCAGGCCGAAAATACACAAACCAAACATCCCACTACATCCAATCGTGGCACTTCCCGGAACGCCAACATACAATTTGTCAAGAGAAATCTCACGAATATTGAAACATTTGGTGGATTCAGCCAACCACTCCATCAAATCCCCCAAACAATTCCTTGACCAGATTAAGAACATTAAAACCAACGACGACGAGCTGATGATATCTTTCGATGTAACAGTGCTATTCACCTCAAATGAACTAAACTTAGTAAAGGAAACTCTATCCCTGCTTCTCACCAACGACGCACATCTCGCAAAGTACACGAAACTCCAAAGTCAAAGTTTACTAGAACTCATCGATCTATGCTTAACAACATATTTTCAATTCAACAACAAAATCTACGAACAAATAAAAGGGACACCGATGGGAATAGAATAGGCATTGCACACAAACCAACAAAATCCCTACAATCAATCCTATGCAAACCAAAAGATGAAATGACAAAAGAAGACAAACCAAACATCATCTACAAAATAAATTGTGCCAACTGCGAAAAAACACTACATCAGACAAAGCGGACGCTCTCTTCATGTTCGCCTGCATGAACATCAATTAGCAGTCAGACGCCATGACATGTGCTCACTTATATCAATGCACGTGGATAACTGCGGACAGACATTTGACTGGAAAATGTGGGGATTTTGGATAGAGGCAATTCCAAAAACATCAGAGAATTTTTAGAAGCTTGGGACTCAAGGTCAGTCAGCAATAAACAAGCACATTGAGATCGATCCAATTTAACAACCAATCAGGAAACTTATGCACAAACATAGGAACAAAAATCAAACCAACGGGAGATACAACCAAAACAAAGAAGTAAACAATGACAGGTTTAATGTTAACAAGAACCAATCAACATTGAGGTGTACAGGACAAGTTGTGAACCATATGTGGAGAAACTCGAACACATGACTTCTACCTGAAGTTTGTGCTAATGATGTCGTTCAGAAGAACGATGAAAGCTCCACTACCAAACCACCCAGCTCAGAGAACAACACTTCATCAAAATCATCCACCTAAGCTACAAATCTTCTCCACGATCTCAGAAACAATTATTTTTGTTTACTTGTCTTTATTCATGCTGTGACATGTTCGATTTATTTAATTTATCAAATTATCTAATTTAGTCAAAAATCCATAGTCAGCGATGATGTTAGTCAGTGGATTTTTTTGCATCAGATCTACACACAAATACATACATACATACAACTGTTATCTTAACACAATTTCCTCCCCTTTTCATACCACATTTTTCATACTCACTATAGTAAATTCTTATTTTCAGCATTGTTAACATGATTGGAAACTCCGCCTGTAGCTCTTATAGGGTTACTGCCGGTCCCAAGCCCGGGTAAAGGAGGAGGGTTGGGCATGGGGTTAGCGTCCCCATCCCGTAGAAAACTAACTCGCTAAAAAAACGCTTACCAGAAAAAATAATCCAAACCATTTAAACTCTGCCCTGGGAGTTAGAAGGTCTTCAGTTAGAAGAATTATGACGCTTCATGGTGAAAGCCGAGTTCCTTCGGAAGCCACGAGGCCGATGCCCCTTCTAACAACCAGAGCAAAAATTTTTATAGGTACATGGAACGTTCGAACAATGTGGGAAACCGGGAAGACCAGTCAAATAGCAATGGAAATGAGGAGATACAACTTAGCAGTACTGGGAATCAGCGAAACCCACTGGACCCAAGCTGGACAGAAAAGGCTAGCTACGGGAGAGATGCTGCTATACTCCGGTCACGAAGAGGACAATGCTCCACACACTCAGGGAGTCGCTCTTATGCTGTCCAAAGTAGCACGAAATGCACTTGTAGGATGGGAGTCTCACGGATCCAGAATCATCAAAGCATCATTCAAAACAAAGAAGGAGGGGATCTTAATGAATATTATCCAATGTTATGCACCCACCAATGATAGCAACGACGACATTAAAGATCAGTTCTACGAGCGGCTGCAGTCAATCATTGAGAAATGCCAAGAAAGGACCTAACTATTCTGATGGGAGATCTAAATGCCAAAGTCGGAATAGACAACACTGGATATGAAGATATTATGGGACGACATGGACTGGGAGAAAGAAACGAAAATGGAGAAAGATTTGCAAATCTATGTGCATTCAACAAATTGGTCATAGGAGGCACAATATTTCCACACAAGCGTATACACAAGGCTACATGGATCTCACCGGACCACACTACAGAGAACCAAATAGATCATATTTGCATCAACAAAAAATTCCGAAGGACAATGGAAGATGTGAGAACCAGGAGAGGTGCTGACGTAGCTTCAGATCACCACCTAGTTGTAGCCAATTTAAAACTGAAGCTAAAAAAGAACTGGACAAGTGGACAAACAGCACTACAAAGGTTCAATACAGCCTTCCTTCGAGATACTGACAAACTCAATGAATTCAAGATAGCTCTCAACAACAGGTTCCAAGCCTTACAAGATCTACTGAAAGAAGAAGAAACTAGTATGGAGGACAACTGGAAAGGCATCAAGGAAGCATTAACTTCAACGTGTCAAGAGGTTCTGGGCCTAAAGAAACACCATCATAAGGAATGGATCTCTATAGAAACACTGGACAAGATCAAAGAAAGGAAGAACAAGAAGGCAGCAATTAACAACAGCCGAACACGAGCAGAGAAAGTCCAAGCACAAGCTGAATACATAGAAGCAAACAAACAAGTGAAGAGGAGCATTAGAGCCGACAAGAAGAAATACGTGGAAGAACTAGCAACGACGGCAGAAAAAGCTGCTAGAGAAGGAAATATGAAACAGCTTCACGATACAACGAAGAAACTAGCAGGGAAATACAGTAAACCAGAGAGGCCGGTCAAAGACAAAGAAGGCAAGCCAATCACCGAAATTCAACAACAGCGTAACAGATGGGTGGAATACTTCGAGGAACTCCTGAATAGGCCGGCTCCAATGAATCCACCGGACATCGAAGCAGCACACATAGATCTTCCTATAGATGTCAACCCACCAACGACGGAAGAAATTAGAATGGCCGTCAGACAAATCAAGAACGGGAAAGCAGCAGGACCCGACAACATACCAGCTGAAGCACTGAAATCAGACATCGAAGCAACCACAAGCATGCTTACCTTCTATTCAAAAAGATTTGGGAGGAGGAACAAGTGCCGATGGACTGGAAAGAAGGACACCTCGTCAAGATTCCAAAGAAAGGAGATCTGAGCAAATGTGAAAACTACAGAGGCATTACACTACTGTCAATACCAGGGAAAGTCTTCAACAGAGTGTTGCTGAACCGGATGAAGGATGCAGTAGACGCCCAACTTCGAGATCAACAAGCTGGATTCCGTAAGGATCGGTCGTGCACAGACCAAATTGCAACACTACGGATCATCGTCGAACAATCAGTTGAGTGGAACTCATCACTATACATCAACTTCATTGATTATGAAAAGGCATTCGACAGTGTAGATAGGAGGACATTATGGAAACTTCTTCGACACTACGGAGTTCCTGAGAAGATTGTCAACATTATCCGGAACTCATACGACGGACTACAGTGCAAAGTAGTGCATGGAGGACAGCTGACAGATGCATTCCAAGTAAGGACTGGAGTCAGACAAGGCTGTTTACTCTCTCCCTTCCTCTTTCTTCTGGTGGTCGACTGGATTATGAAGACCTCGACATCTGAAGGAAAACACGGAATACAATGGACAGCTCAGAATCAATTAGACGATTTGGACTTCGCAGACGACCTAGCCCTCCTATCACGTACACACGAACAGATGCAGATGAAGACAGCCAGTGTAGCAGCAGTCTCTGCATCAGTAGGCCTCAGCATACACAAAGGGAAAACCAAGGTCCTCAAATTCAAAGCGGAAACAGCAATCCAATCACTCTTGATGGCGAAACTCTGGAAGATGTAGAGTCCTTCACATACCTAGGAAGCATCATCGATGAACAAGGAGGTTCAGATGCAGACGTAAAGGCGAGGATCGGCAAAGCAAGGGTCGCATTCCTACAATTGAAGAACATATGGAACTCAAAACAACTTTCAACCAATATCAAAGTGAGAATCTTCAATACGAACGTCAAGGCAGTTCTACTGTATGGAGCTGAAACTTGGAGAACTACAACAACCACAATCAAGAAAGTACAAGTATTTATAAATAGCTGTCTACGCAAGATACTCAACATCCATGGCCGGATACCATCAGCAATAGCCTTCTGTGGGAGAGAACAAACCAACTTCCAGCTGAAGAAGAAATTAGGAAAAGACGATGGAAATGGATAGGACATACATTACGCAAATCGTCAAACTGCATCACGAGGCAAGCCCTAACTTGGAATCCTGAAGGGAAGCGAAAAAGAGGAAGGCCAAAGAACACATTGCGTCGGATAATAGAAGCAGATATGAAAAGGATGAATTACAACTGGACGGAGCTAGAAAGGATTGCCCAGGACAGGGTTGGATGGAGAATGCTGGTGAGTGGCCTATGCTCCTTCACGAGGAGTAACAGGCGTAAGTAAGTAAGTAACATGATTGGATGACTGGTTTAGTACACACAGTTAACCGGAGAACCATATAATCATTTATATTCGATGATTTTAGTGTTTGATTAAATTTCCCTGAAAATGCTTGAGCCAAATTGTCAAGCGAAATGTTAGATTTCATTAAAGTTTAATTTCTGAGATTCTTTACGTACATAATTTTCTTAATGTCTTACACAAACTCGGATCCCGACTACCGTGAAACTATTCGTTCAAACCTAAAGAAAAGTTCTTATGAAAGATATAAGTTCGAATCTCACAGGAAGTATCACTTCGATTAAGAATACAGCTACGCCTTGATGATGAGTGGCAAATAACACGAAACTCAGGTTAAGGAGAGTTTCTTTTCGACTACTTTTAAACCACCTAACAAGTCGACATGATGCAAAGGATGTTGAATCGCTTAGATTAACGACCACATTGTAACTTGATCGATAACATTCGATCAGAACTAAGAAAGAGTAGAGAAACATAACTTTGTTAAGTACTCGGTAATTAATCATTTGTAAAGTTATTTTATAAATCACTATAATTAGGATAACATTAGCTGATATAATGTTTATTCAAAGTGGATTTAACAATTTCTAACTTGTATTTATAATCACACTATGCATTAATACAGATTGAATTACATCTATGTTATACATTACTTACATAAATCACATGTGATAATATCAAACAACTCTTCTCATCAATTGGTTCATTTGTGATAAACGATTTAAAAACGTGTAGGTATTATATACACATATAAACGTGTGTAATTAACTTTTAGTAAAGAGATATTTCTGTTTAGTGCTTTTTTTTAGCAAGGTTATTTTCTACAGAGAATCCTGGTGGGCGGCCTATGCTACTCTATAAGGGGTAACAGGCATAAGCAAGTAAGAAAATATTTCAGAAACCGTTTAAATTGTATTGTTTGTGTTTATGAAAGTTCCAAATAGATATGGAGTGAGAACGCACAACAGATTAGGAAGAGAAGAGGAAGAATTCTTACGCCCTGCTTTGGAGTCATTATAGTGAAAAATCGTTAAACTGTACAACATACTTTGTAACGAATTTCAAAGTTTTATGAATCCATAATAAAAGAAATAAAGTAAATATGAATACATACAGGGAAGTGGAATTTAATACTTGGCAGAACTAAACTTTACGTCGAAGTGGATTAACAGGAGTTGCAGCAGGTTGAAAGAAAGTTAAAAGTGCGAAGCCAAAATGTGGCATCAGTCTATGAAGTTGCTAGGTTTTAGTATGAAGTTGTGGAGATTGTTGAGCTTCATTGAAATCACGAGTTGATCTAAACTAGATCACCACTGAAAACCTGGAAGCACTAGACGGTCGTTTTGTCCCAGTGCAAAACTCCTCATCAGTGAGCATCCAAGAGCTATACGCAGGACTCTAACTCAGGAACTCTGGTCTCGCGAGAACACTCGACCTCTATACCAGAGTCGGGATCCCACGGAGTTAATGTCTAACGTCAACCAATCGTGGATGAGCACCGCTGAGGAGCCCCACACTAGGACGAAACAGCCGTCCAGTGCTTCCAGGCTTGCAAGAGTGGTCTGATATTGATCGGTTCATGATTTTAATTAAAGTTACTAACTTGTTGAACTGAACCATGTAGGTGTAGGTACAGACTACTTGATTGGAGTCTGTGTGATTATTATAAGCAACTGCTGAATACACTGAATGACAATTGAAAATCATTTGTAATAGCACAGATACATTAATTTCTCTTCCTAAAATACTCATAGTTTTTATTGAGTAAACTTGTTTTTTCTTCTCGAATCATATTGTATATACGTCTGATGTTGTTTACTATCACCGATACTCTTATTACTTCCAATACTTTGCAATGTGTCCAGATAATTTTGTCTAGTTGTGCTGATGTGGCATAATCATTAAGGTCAATGTATAAACTTTCAGTTAACCCATTAACTATTGTTATACGATTTAATGTTACTAATTTGTTGCCAGTCTACTACATACAGTTTACCCTATTCATGAACACTTTTGGTTTTTTGATGCGATATGGTCCAGTATATCTGCATAGAAACCCATACTTACTTAAAGTGTAACATAATAGGGACTGATGTATAAATTCTCTTATACACTTGAGGTATGAAATAGAGAAAGGTCTGAGAATAATGAACCGATATGAAATCAGTTCTCGTCGACTCAAGGTTAACTGTGAAGGTCAAGAGTGTAATCAGACAACTCTAGGACGTTGAGTTATAAACGGAATAGTTGACACGAGATAGAAAAAATTGTAGTCAGAATTCTGATTGGTGATTTTAACACGTGATATCGATTAGCGATCTCAAGTCATAACACCTACTGTATCAGATTTTATGCTTATTAATTGAAATGAAAACAAAAGATATATATATAAAACAAAACTCACTTGGACCTGAATGAATTGTATTCACACGAGCTTGTTGTTCTTTTTCTCGACGATCTAATTCGGCTGCACGAGCTTCAAGTTCAGCTTGTCTACGCTCCAAGGCTAAGACGCTTTCATTACCACCACCAGCTGTAGCTTTTGAATATGGTGAATACATTTCCGTAGGTGGTATTGGTGGTGGGGGAATATCGAAAACATAATTTTTATTTCGATTATCTGAAGATGATTCGTTAGTTTCAGGTGTTAAAGATTCATATTCTTTGAAAGAAACGAAAAAAAAAGAGTGAAGGAAAGGAAACAGAACTATTAGGACTAACAGAAAACTGGTCGACAGATAAAGTAACAAATTTCGTTGGATGCTTAATAATAATTAATAGGTCACAGATAAAGCAGAAGTGCTTCGCTTCAATAACAAAACAGATTATTAGGGTTGTTTGATTAATTATCCAGTTTTCAATCGTTGTTCTTCATTTAATTACAATTAGTGAATGTGACAAATCATTAAAGTAAGTCTAGAAAACAGCTACTGGTGGACTGCATGGCATAATTTGCATCATTAATCGACCAGCATTTTATTCATTATTTTAACAGTCAAAGTGAGCTCAGAACACCGAACCTATGATCAACATAGTGAGTCGAACGCAACCTAAACCTGGAAGATGTGTACATCGGTTCAAATTGCGGCACCCTATCAGCACAGCGAGATAAAATTGTCAGAGCGAATTCCAGAGTAGCATTATTAATGTGAATGAAAGATTATGGATCAGAGATATAATTTGAAATAAGAATTAGTGAAATAAAAATTTATGAGGAACCTAGAAACTCATGATCTAAAGGGCGACAAAGAGAATACATTTGGACCATTGGGGATGATTTTCAGGCATGTCACTTAAAGTCGCTAACCATTGGTTACAATCATCACTTTGACGCCAACCAGGTAGTCTGCGCCTACCTACATGGCTCAGTCCAACAGTCACTGTCTTCAAGGACTGATGCGATATCTTAGTTTCCCCATACTTAATTTTCTTCTAACCTACTTCATACGACAGCCATCACCACGCGTCAAGGTAGTTGTGGATGGGCATAAGTAATAAGATAAGAACAAGAATGAACATAAACAATTTATCCAACTCATTAAAGTAATGGAGCACTTCAAGTTGTTATCCTTCCTAATCGTACTATACTCATCAATAATAGTGATTAGAGCAATCGACTGCGAACCGTTTGAGTGGATATTCAAACTCCGCTTCTCCAACTTCAATTAGCGCACCAGAACCTTAGGTAAAAACATGAGTTAAAATAGATTTTGGTGGCATATATGTTTTTATCTTTTTCTACATCCTGAACATACTAGTTCATAAGTTTGATTGATGTTTTAATTTCTTTAAATTTAATCTCGTCAATATTCTTCTTGTACGGTGATAAAAAGTGTAGCAACTTAACTTATGTCCATTTATGTTAGGCTATTTCATTTATTTATCTTAACACATAAATATTGGTACAAGGAGGCACCAAATACATATGCGCCACACAGATCTCATTTGATATGTGTGAGGGCTGTGATATTGCCCGGTGCCCGAACCGAAGCAGGTGGTTTTCTTAGGGGGTCACACCCGGAGCCTACAACCTGAAGGTCTGATCCACAAGACAGTAGAGCAACGTAGGAAGATGTAGTCCCATGGTAGCCGGTAACCAACGATTGGTTCACTCGCCATTTGTTCCTTCAGGATACTGGAGCCCATATGCACCATTGGTTTGGAATGAGGGTTTTCCACCCCCCCCTAGGTGGACTCTCCATGTCCACCAACCGGGTTAAAGCACCGGGCATTCGCTTTTCGTCCTCTCAATTTCGTAAACAACACTCGTGGTGCGAGAAGGCAATGAGTAGGACTTCCCTGACAGAGGTTATATACGCGTGGCCATGTAAGAGCATTTCGAGAGGGAGAGCGGACTCTCCCCACTCTCGGCCGTACCAGGGCACTTGGAGTACTACACTATTCATGAATAACTAACGACTAGTTACTATTTATCGAACTAAATGGTGGTCATTAAAGATTTTCATGAAACTAAAAATTCAAGTTCAGATGTCGAGTTAGTGAAAATTAATTAAAACTAGTAAATAAATTACCTAATAAAATAAGAACCAAGTTATAGTGAAGTTACATTTAGTTACTATATACAGCTGTTATGACCCTTATTACTACAACCCAGCTACTCTTATTGCTTAGTATTCTTTGGACACTATTTCACTTGACAAGTCACCAAATCAGAAAAAGTTGGATTGGAACGCAATTATATTCCAAGTAAACAAAGGCTGAATGGAAGTAGGGATCGCAATAAGGAGAACGTTAGTATATTTATCATCTTACACAAGATATTAAAGTCTTCTGCAAGTATCTGCTGGCGCTGATTAGCTACAAAATTCCCAATCAATGTGACCCAACACAATTCTTCATGGAACATGCTTTAATCCAATCTTTATCTCGCTAACAACAGTTTATTTCTCCAAGTAATAAGGATTTTCATCTAGTCTAATCAATTAAGTTAGATAAGTCCCTTATAAGTTAGATCCGTAAATCACTTGTCAAGTACAATTTCATCCACTCAACTTAAAACCATACATTCTTTTTGGTTTCGGGGCTAGGGATAATAATTAGATGCTGGAATAACCTTCGAATTGATGATCTACTGACTGAAAGCTAAATGCTCTGACTACTGGGTCACAGCTTCATAAAATAAACTGAAGAGAATAAATGAGAATATAAGGAGTCAGTCAGCAGCAACGTAGAATATCGCACGTACGTACATCAGCACATAGATACAATTTTCGATTCAAATCCCATTGTGGTAGAGGTAGTGAAAGTATAACCAGTAATCGGAAACATTAGGGTTTGAAGATGTTATTCAAGGAGTATAATCCAGTGGAATAAATTTGGAAAGAGAAAAAAAGAAAGGGACATGAGGAATTCAGAAGATTTGAATTTGGGAGAACACAAACAATGGATGCACCTGCGCCATTACAAACGATTTTGAGCCATGTCATTCAGGGTCTCTAACCACCGGTTGCTATTGTCTCGCGGATCCCAACCAAGTAGTCTACACCTACCACCATGTCACAGTCCACTTGTCAATGACTTCATGGATTTGTGTCACGTTTTGGTCTGGCCGCCCCTAGCTTTCTTCCAACCTACTGCTATACCATAAAGCAGTGCTCGTCGGGCAGTCGGTGAATACAAGGTGTAAAACATGATCAAACTGAAGATAAGCATTACAGACAGTAACTTGTGTCTCAAGTACAATTTAAACCAAATATTTACAGAACAAATACGCTACATAGATTAAATATACTATAGGCTGCTGACCTTACAGTTCATAGCTAAAACTACTGTCACCAAATATTAGTTTGCTGGTCATGTTTTTAGTGGAAAGTATTAATTAACTTCACGATCTTACAAATTTATGTGAGGGAAAATGCACTTAAACCAAATTTATTACCACCACCTGGATTATACAACATAATTCTATTATAAGTAGGATAGAACTGATAACTGGAATATAATATTGATTATCGTTGAGTAATAGATGTATAAAAACAGCACTCAAGACCACTGTATTCATACTTCTAACAGCACTCAGATGTATAAAGTATTATTACCAAACCAAACTTCATGCGCTCAGAAAGAAATATTAGGAAATATGAAAACTCGATCAAAGTAGTTATTAGCATAGCCAGTCCTAGAATTTTAGTTTTTAGTGAATTCCTAACAATCGAATTAACCAGTGTCAATAGTAACATCGAAAAACTTAATAAGAACAAGCCAAACTCATGAGTTATGTATTGAAGCAAGCCCAACAACAGAAAAGTCTACTACCATAATCTTATCACACTTACTTGGGGTAGGATCAGAAAAAGGGTTGTAACCCTCCAATGACTCTTGATTGACTTTACTCTGCAAGAATAAACAATAACAGTTAGTAAGGACCCATAGAAATATAAAATAATAGATGTTATTATGCGAAGAATTGCTACGTGAACTATTTATGTGAATATCCTCGTTATAGATCTGTTATTCAACCTATTTTTACAAGATAATTCAGAAACTTAGCTGAATGTAAAACAAAGGTGACAGATATATTGGCACGGACATATATCTATTTTATTTATTATATCTCATATTAGCACAGCGAGGACGAATAGGTAGATGGTAAGGGTGCAGGACGAAAGAGGGATAAAACCAAAGATTGTTACATCTGCAAATACGATAAAACGATGAGTAAAACTCTGAAGCAGTAAAAAAATCAATGAGCGCAAGTGGTAAGAATCAGGTGGGACATGACGAAGGTATGGAATCTTAACAAGTTGTTATTTTTCACACTGGTATAACTTGGAAAATCGATAAGAAAAAGGAAGCAATGAAAATAATGCCAAATATGGTGGAAAAGTTACTTATTTATTTCAACACAAACATCGGTACAAGTAGGCATCAAACAGATATGCGCCACATGAATTATTCGATGTGTGAGAGGGCTGGGATACTGCCCGGGTGCCCAAATCAAAGTTGAGTTGAGTAAAACATAAAAATGAGGGTTATTAGATAGTACAACGTTTACTACTCAGTACAAGATAATGAATGAATACATAGGTGCTGTTAGAATAGGTTTGAGGCATGCTATTTAACGCTTTCAACTAAAGAATATGATAATCTTGCAGATAAATGGGAAGTCTGGTCCTTCCAGCCTGACTGAATCTAATTCATAGGAGCGTTTTAAACTTTTGTTGTTTGTTTAGTAATCTCCTATCTTTTTCCAAACTATTTTTACGCTAGCCAAGTGCATATCAACGTATTTAAATCGATGTAACGTTGAAAAAGCGAGATTTTGTATGATACATGACAAACACATCGGTATCAACAGTATTGGGGAAAAGCTGAACAATGAGACAGAAACAGTCATACCGAACTTGGTGGTAATGAGCAAAGCCTTGGGTATGTCAAACTGAAGTTCTGATGCCAAAACTTATTTACCCTATCCTAAAACTGATGACATGAAACATAAATTGACGTTATAAGATATTGATTGGAATTTATAGTCTTCGTTTGTCTCTAAGTGGTTTGAGACCTACAAAGTGCGTTATAAACACCCAATTATTATTAAATAGCATTTGAAAATCCTTATTAATGTGATTTATTATTCATATATAATTTACTATGGACAACTGAAAACCAGTGTTTTCGTACTTCCATCGCCTTCCACTTACGTGAAAAACTTTGGATCTCAAATATTAATACGAGTCATTTGTCGAGAACTGACAGAACCAAAATTCTTATTGACAATACGGCGAGACTATAATTTATGGACGAACCAATCGGATTTACGTTAACAGGTCTAAGATTTTGGCGCGAAATTCATTCACTCATTTGGCTAAATAGAGTTTTGGCACTACAGCTGATGTGGCGAGACTCTAATTTAGCGACGAGACAATCAGAAGCGTTTGAGCAATTTCAAGGTCACGGAGCCAAGTTTAACACGCGATGCTAACATACGGTCGGTTCACAGCGGATTTTAAAGAGGAGGTGCTTAATGAGAGGTTAAAACAGATGGGACGGCGGAACTCTAATTTAGGGACAAGCCAATGAGAAGCATTCGAGCAATTTCAATTATTAGCCAATCAGAAGACAGTATAAATTAAAAGTATATTACAAGAAAGTAATGAATTACAGTGGATATTCTTCTTTTACTCGCCGCTGATGTCTTTCCGCGATGAAAACCCTAAATCTAATTCCTAACCTAAACCATCAACCGTAAATCATAATCCTTATTCTTCAAACTGCTTTATTGCCCTCATTTAGCCCTAGTGTGTAGGTGGACACAAGGTTAGTCTAGCGTCGCTCAAAGGTCGTCCATAAATTATAATCTCAGCGACAATACAAAATAGGTGGATCGAGGTCCCAATCTGGCATGGTGGTTAGAAAACACATTGACGAGTTGTTTAATTACTCGAAACAACCATCACAAGACTTTTTGAACTCTTGAATGAACTTCTTACACCACTATTTTGAAGATTATCACCGAGATTATATATTTAAGAACAGTAAATAACGAACTAGTTAACATGTGATATTCCAAATATGAGACCACACTAGGCGCTTACGTTATCCCTCGACTTTTCTGTAGGCGGTGGGACTTACGCGTTACGTATAGCTTTAACAGTTCAATCGAAACAAAAAGCGCGTGACTACCCATTCGTGTCCCCAAGTCGCTACATCGATGAATATGATCTAATGACCGTTGTTTAGTGGCTAGTTAATAATTTAAATACTTGGAGCATTTAGAGCCACTTCTATACTGCAAGATATCAGGAAACTTTTGAAAAAACTAAAAGAACTAACCATTTGAAAACACTGTCGAATAGCCCGCGACCAAAGTAGCACTTGAAGGACAGATTATTTATAACTTGCTTTGGTGCAATTCAAACCCCAAACTTTGTGAGGCAGTTTGCCTCTCGCAGGCTACCACTAGATAGCAAAATGATGTTTTTAGTTTCGGACGGATATATTTTTCTTGTTATATTCCCTTCAAATCCACTGAACATAAACAATATTTATTAATGGGAAGAGTGATAGTGGAGATACATCTTGCGTAATCTATTTCATTACCCACGAGACTACATCAAATGTCTAGGTTCCTTTCGTTAGAGTTATCGCGAGGTCTTGCTATGCGACACTTTGAAAGTACAGAAGCGTATTATTGAGATTTTCGAAAGCTCAATTTCATACTGCGGGGTAGTTAGCCCAAACTTGTAGACGAAAATAAATAGCTCTGTAAGTCTCCGACATTTATGTTGATCCCATTAGTTCTATTGGATACACTTGCCATAAGGCACTCGGTCGCACGTCCGCAACAGAACGCAGGTGAGTACACCGTTCTACGCATCACTCACAACTTTTATCCAGGTTAACCTTAACGCTTAGCAATACATTAATAATCTTCCGAATATATTTTCGAACCACTTTATTTCTGACTTTTAATTTGACGGGATGGGCATACTTGGTATATTGTGGTCGTTCAGGTCTGGTTCATGTAAGCCGACAAACTAATGAACCAAGTGTAAATTTATTGCCTCGTCATGGCCAATCTGTTTGATCTTACTCTGAAGTCACATCATCATCTACCCCATAGTGATTATTATGGTGTTCTGGTGCATAAGAATCTTTGAAAAATAATTGAGATACCACCAGCAGAACAATACATAGAATATAAAAATGGTACGATACACATAATGACCACGTATGTAAGACTGGGGCAAACATACATAGGTTCACATACATATTTATGCACAACCCAAAGTATATGTCCATATAAATGAATCGTGAACGTTGTAGTTCAGATTGTATAAAATAAATCTTGTTCAATACCTATAATGTAAAAATTTAGCTTGGGAACTTATTGTACTGTATCTAAAGTTTACAAGACTCATCTACAAACCACAAAACTCAACTTTTTAACCCGCGTCCCACCACCGTATTTTCTGTGTACCACATTCCTACATGTAGGATGAAGAACACAAATATTCATGTATAGTCGTAGGATTAAAAAAATTCAACATTATTCGTTAAAATATCCTATTTATTTATTCAAGTAGTGACATGACAAATGACACTGTCTTTCTGTTGCGAGGAAGATGCATGTGTGATGTAAAATCAGCCGTGACGAGCGTAAAATGAATGTTGCAAAAGGGCAAGTGGAACGAGACATAATCAAAGCAGTCACGCACCGATGAAGGCGAACAATTACAGGGTTATCCATCATAAGGACGATCACCAAAAGAGCGACCGTGAAAAACCTGCATACCTGTAAGGGCGAATAACATTTTAGCGGTATGGAATTTGATCGATACATCGCCTATATCTTCGGCGCTACGGCTAATCCGAAAAGTAATCTCAAACATCGGACGAAGAACTAACCCTTAACAAATAGGTTAATTTTTCGAATCGGGCAACAATTCATCATTCTTATTACCATCGTCATGTTATCACCTATGTGAGCTTCGAACAGCATGGAGGGAAACGTTTTGGAGGGGTTTTGTGCGCGTTAGGTTTTCGACGGGTTTGTTGGACAACTTTAGGTGATCGAAAACGGAGGAAAATTACAGAAAACTGTGATGATCAGAGTCATAATGATTACGCTGTATATTATGAAAACAGGATGCATCCCTAGTTATTTTTCTGCACTTCACTAGGATGCAATTAAAATACATAGAGCAACAAGATGGTCAAAATTTCAGTAGCTAGTGGCTTCATCTTGAGTGTTACAGAACTGAAAAATACTTAACTGATTAAAGACTATTACATAGAATATTAATAATTTCACTGTTTTTGATGCATTTGTTCTACTCAACTTTCGAACATATATGCTTATAACTTTGAGCTCGGACATTTTGGTTACACTCTGTCCTTGGTCTGGCATTCTGGAAGTTTTCTTCCGGCAACCTAAAATTTGAAGAGTTGCCTTTGTCCAAGACCAGCGATTAGTAATACTTCACTTTCACATAAAAAATATTGAGATTATTTTACAGAAAATTGCAGGTTGTGCTGTCATGCGACTTGTTCGTTTGTTATAAAACAGCAGATGCGACACAATTATGTTCCAAACAGAGTTTTGGTAAATAAAAAACGAAGATCAGCAGGACATTAAGTCAAGAAACCTCTTCAGCAGAGGCGAGACTCTAAATAGAGACTATCGCATATACTGTTTTGCCTTGTGAGGCATCAGAACATGAACGGTCGTCTAAAGTGTTATTTCTCCTATGCACAGTTTATATGCAACCTTGGAATTAACACAACTTATGAACTTGATAAAGAAGGACAGTCTTGTCCAACGAATCGAAGGCAGTCCTGATGTCAAGAAACACTACGATTGTTGCCTTTGATAAATATGACGGTGTTCTAACATTTGGCGGAGCGTGAAGATATGATCAATACATCCTCGACCAGAATGAAAACCAGCCTGCTCCTCGCGAGTCAATCTTTCTTGGGTTTTGAACAACCTACGAAGTATGACGGAAGCCAATAGCTTGGACGCAATCGGAAGTAGACTTGTCCCCCGATACTCGTTATAACAACGATGTGAACCATTTTTAAAGATAGGGACAACTATCGACTCATTCCACGACGTTGGTACACTCTCTAGTTCCCAGAACTTTGTGAACAACGCAGTCAGTTCCTTATCCAGGAAGTCATCACAATCTTTAAAAAGAGCCGGAGGTAAGTCATCTGGACCCGGTGATTTGTAACGCTTCAAGAGTTGGAGTTCCTTGCGAACTTCCGCCACATTTGGTGGATCAGTCGTCACCGGCCATGAAGAACAGGACAGTCTGACCGATGTTGCCGGAGCAGCAGGCCAGTTGAACTGCCCTTCGAAAAATTCTGCCCATCGTCCAAGACGTCGATGGATGTTAGTGATTGGCATCCCATCATCCTCGCAGATTGTTTCACTCACACCAGACTTCTTGCTGGCAGTGGCTCAGATGAGTTGAAAACACGTAACATTAGCACCTTCTGTCAATATATTCAGAATGAAACTGGATCTCTACAGACTGCAAAGATTAATATAGGTCAGTAGACCTAACCTTGCCACCGAAGACTGGCCTTGAGGCAAGATATCTCCAACCGTTTGAAGCATTGAGCTTACCTGGCGGCTAAGGTAAAATATGCTCCACTTTTAGTGAAAGTATGTGTTCGGTAGTTTCATATCGTTTCGTTTCTATGCATTAGAGGGCATTCAAACATATATTTAAAACGTTCACATCGTTCACCTCATAAAAAACGTAACAAGTCACATTTTGCAGGTTAACCCGTCACCTATTACAATTGCAATCAAATGATAGCTATTTGCAATTACGAATTTCTTCATGGCTACATTCATTTGGTTAATGGAAACTTATTGAGGTGATATAGTTGTATGTTCTGTTACATGAACCTCTCGACACACTACCCTCAACATCTTAATCTTGTATATACTTACTTGCAAGAAAGTAACCGTTAACATATTAACGGTTGGTCTTATTTATCAACTGCTTAATAGCTCTCTTACATAAACACTAGGGACTGTAGATGGCACTTTTTAACTACCTCATTTATTTGAACGAACTTAGAGATGTTATCAGGGCCGGTGTAGACACTTCAGCTTTTAGTTCTGCCCAAGACTGGAGCAGATAATATTATTATTACGTAAATTGACAAATACTAACAGATTTTGTAGTTTGGATTTACTTGAGATGGCCAGGGTTTACGTAAGATCATGATTTTTTGCGTTTTGTTTTCAGATTCACAGTATATTAACAAATCGTTGTGTGCCGAGTGGCATTCACGTACAAGCGAAAATGGAAAACATTTTGTCACCAATGAATTTGATTTATTCATAAACACTGATGGAGAAAAGTGTAAACTTCTTGTTGAACAAGAAAGGTACTTTTCAATATTTTCAAACTAAATGGGATCTTTAGAAAAAGATCAATCATCAAATAAAACGAATGTAATGAATGAATCGTTAAGTCAGAAAGGTAGTTAAGTACTTTGAATTCATAATTCTATGCTAATGTAGTGACTGAAACCACTTCTGACCTACTTATTTCACTTGCAAATGAACCTTCACTGGCTTATTTTCATATTCAAGAACATATTAGAAAATCAGTTCCGGAAATCTTGAAATACCAAGTTGAAAGTTTCTTATATTTTTGTAATATTCTTTATATGTAGTTGAGAGTCGAACATTTAGATTCACAACTACGTGGTTCTTGTTATGATCTTGACTATGCACTTGAGTAAGTCTTGTATCCTTAAATACCTACTTTTAACGACTATAAATCGAAATGTTAGAATAATGGTCCAAAACTCCGTGGCAAATATTCAAATTGTCTTCGTAATTATTCAGACAAACTCAGAGATTACAAGTTATTAAGTGATACAAATATGCATCGTTTATGGTCGTTACATCTTATGTCAATGTGGTAAAAGGAGATAAATAATTAGTAGCTATAAAAGTAAAACCTCAACTAGTCAGTTTACTTCTGTAGATGGTAATACATCTATCTACCACAGTTCACAACTAGTCTTCCCGACTATTTATTACACTATAGTTTAAAACCTCATTGACTAACGTCTTCTTCTTACTTAAACTGTAATGCCTGACGGCAATACTTACTTCTTGGTCCCACCACACTATCAATGCTACAGTGGAACTCATTATTGGTACTTGTATTCTACACATGTTTATCAATGCAGTATGAATCAGTTTGTACTGTGTACTCTCTTTACTCAAGTCGGATAACTCCATAATGATCATAAGTAGACAAATGTCAAACAAGTTCCCCTTGTCTTTATTTAGATTTAATCTGTAACGGCACATAAAGTCTAATGCAACTCTAAATACCTAAAGTAGTTTTTATTATATTTGTGTGGTGTAAATAGGGTTTTAAAAGTGTATATCACAGTTAATATCAGAAACTTCATTTTTCTACAAATCGCTCAAGATGATATAACTCACTGTTATTTAACTCTTTTTTTTCTGCCATCATATATGTATTTAGTAATGTTAGAAGTATCTCAAGGCTACAGTACATTTTAACCGGATTAATGAGCTCTTGAAGTCGAGCTTATTTGCTAAACTTCAGTTGGATTATGCACGCATGAACGCGTAAGTCCCTAGTTTTGCATATAACACACTCAAAATATTACTACTCTATATAGTTATGATTCTATTATTTCTCGGAATTCACTAAATGAATATAACTTATCTCGCTATCGAAGGGAACTACAATGACAACGGGAATTTTGTGTTTAACGCATAACGTATGGTACACTTGTTGACAAGTGGTTTAAATTAGACTGTCGAGCTACGCATGTATGGAGATATCACCTACGACCCTATTGGAGATTGCGACTTTTCTGACAAAGTGCTATACGACGACTAAACGCAACACATGCTCAGTCACAAACCATAACTACTATACGGTAGCTTGTGATATAACTCAGCTAACAATAACACCAGTGGATACGCTTTCAACTGATGACCATCTGTTGGTTAGGACTTAGGTGTTTAGTTCATAACTCATAATTAAAAAATAATCAACATGTTTCGCATAATGAAATACTTCGGAAGATTTCGGGATATAAAATGTGTAACCATTGCTCTTCCAGTTAATAAGACAGTTATGTGAAGCGGAGCACTAATTCCAATCCCTTCAGAAGTTCTGGAAACTCAATATGAACCACCAATTCATTACAAAGTAAGTCCAGAAAGTGTATGCTTCACATCGATTTTGAAAAGAATTATTCGTATACATTCTCAATGGTTTCTATTCGATTTATTATTTGCAGTCCACCAGTTGAAGTAGGCATCGATCTTGTCTCGTGGGATCTAAATGATGAAGAGCTGTTAAGGTATTACACTTGTATCTGTACGATTACCAGCAATGGTCAATGTGCAACAGAATGCTTTATTTTAATTCGCTAACCTTAGTTTGCTTCTAAATTACATGTGTATGGATGCAGTGCTTAATCTTAATACATTGTTTGTTTGCACGTTTTTGATTCATTTTTGTGTGATTTAACACGGTGGTTGTGTGTGTTTTTTGTCAGAGATTTCTTTTCAGGATTATTGCACTTACATGTCACTATCCTATGCTTTCTTGCTGGTCTGTTCGGATTTGTGTTTAGTAAATAAAGTTAATTTTTCCCCTTTGAAATCCTTTTGTAGTTTAAGTCATAAAGAGTCACGAAAACGAAGACCAACTCAATGCAACCAAGATGTACACACTGACGTTTCTTCCCAAAACAAATGCACAGAGATCCCTACAAACTCACGAACACTAAGCCACATATCCAGCACAGTGTCGACAGCAGCTGTACAAGTACGTGATCAAGCTATCAATTTAACCAGGAGAGTTTTGTGGACACAAAGTGCCGATGTGTCTTACTCTATCATCTCACCCATTTTATCTGATTCTAAAGTCGCTAACTCCTCGAGTTCATTTGATGAGAAACCAAAGTTTTTGGAAACCTAGTTTAACAGACGAATCCTAGTAAGGTAATAAGCTCTGTAAATGAGTAGCTAAAACTGTTTTATAAGCAGCTACTTCTTATAATTACTGGCAATGTTGCAAATTGTATCATACAAATACAATATTCTTATACCTATGGTTACATTTCTTTTAAATATAGTCATCGAGCAGTTGTATAAATAGCGTAGGTGTCGAAACATTGACTAGGATATAAAGTTATAAGTTAATCTGGTTGATGACTACTTAACTACATACTTTCCAAACACATACGTAAATAGATACTATCGTGAGCTTCACATTTTACAACAATTAGCGACAGGCAAAAACAAGTATATATTATGATAAAAACTACGGGTAACAGTTTAAAACAAAAAGTATGTACATATGAAAGAACTATGGTACAGTAAAATCAAGCAACTACAAGCGACGAAGAGAAGATTTCATTAACCGGGCTCGGGCTCTTGGACTGCGAGTTGGGGATGCCCGAGGTTGAATGGGAGACAATCTAAACAAGATAAGGTATTACATGAATTTTCGGCAATTCAACATTGTGAGAGTAACAACTAAATTTCGAAAGCGATCATTTTAACTGGTTGAATCAGTATTCATATGGCAAATGGCAGGTTTAAAAGTTTATGATTAGCTAATGAACTCTGGGGACACTTATTATGTGCCTCGTCATAGAAGTATCTTACGTTTTGATATCTGAGAAATTTATTCAAGGTTAATGAGAGTTTGCAAGCAAAGGGAATTTTGCACATTATAGTCCTTGGGACAAGTCTTAAATGAAATAACCGGTAGCAGCGTGTTTAACCTACTCGTGTCTAAACTAGCTGCTGTTATTAAAATCAGTCACACGTTCTTTCAATTAGTCTTGAGCCATATTTGTTGGTTAGAGGATTGAGGTACTTACTAATTGGTGAGTTATAGGTGGGTTGGCTCTGGTTAAAAACGAGCGTGCAGGTCGTCCATGTGATACTTTTGGTTATAGAAAATAGCTGTTTCATGCTGAAGTCAGATTTTGTTCACAAATAACAGATAACATTTTATGTCAGATCTATTCATGCACGTTATATTAAGTTTTATAGAGGCAATGTCGTCAGTTAGTAAGGAGCTTAATTAGTGGAATAACAGTAGGATTGCCAAGTTTACGTTAAGCTGCTTCTGGGATTTAAGTGGCGATGAGTTTTTGTAATTCAACATAAAAACCACTTTGAACAAACAGACTAGTGTTTTAATTGTTACATTTCCCCATTGTGTGATTTTTCTGTCAGTGGGACGTTAGTATATACAAGTTTTTCATGAATTCAGATCCTGAATCAAACTTGCTTCTTATTGACTACATATCTCAGTACACTTAGACACGGTTTTATACTCAACACTAATATATATATTTGGAACATCAAATCTGGAATCCATGACTATATTTTTATTTAAACATAAACACTCCTTTGTCCGTACATATTCAAGTATTACTAAGATCTAGTTTAAGGAACATTTTCAAAATGTATCGTCACGGCACCACTGTACACTAACTTAAAGAACAGCTACACAGACACTTGATATTGTACCAAAGTGACAATAAATTTTGAGACCTCGAAATACAAACAACTTGAAATAATTTCTGGAGAAAATCAGACGTACAATACAAAGAACTATACCTGTATACTGGCGAGTTTGGTGTCATTTGACATTTATCACTGGGCGAGTGCTCCCGCTGACAATTATAACAAACAGAGATACCACAGTCCAAAGCCTGACAATGCAAACGATTCGGCCATTCATTAGGTCTATAAAACGCCACTCCAGAGCATACGGGACATGGATGCAAAAACTCCTTTGTGGTAATAAGAGATTTAATGAAGAAAGAAAACAAAAGGCTGTCTCACCAGAAATTAAAAATAGTCACAACGTGCATTTAGAAATGGTTTTTGTGAGTAGCAATGCCAATGATCTAAAATGGCAAATTGGTCGATTTTGGCTACGTTGGTTCCTATGAATGTGGTCTGAATAGTAAATTAGCTTTCTAAACAAACATTTAATAAATAAAATCACCCTACTATCCTAAAAAAAATATTTCAAATTACAATGGGAGTATAGACATCATTACCCGCTAACCTTTGGTAGCAATTAAGCATTTTTAAAACTAAGAACAAGCGTACAAAGTGAAAATTACGAAGCTTAGTGATCAAGTAATAATAAATTCTGTGTAATTAGTTGTCTGTAGTGCTTGTGACACAACCCGGTGTGGTAACGACCTAACTTAACTGGCATTTTTCCATTCATAAAGTGGGGGGGTGTAAATGCAGACATTCAGTTCAAGAATCTAACTCAAGGGGAAATTGGTTTAAGTCACTAGGTGCATTTTTATTAGTAAATAACCCTCTTTGAAGAACAGTACAACTATTATTGTCTAAAAGCATATTATATATTGGCTTGTGACCAGGTGCTTCCACTACAAATATTTAATACCAACTACCCCATAGTGGTAGACTTGAAATGGAATATGCAGTTAACACGTATAACTTTTGCTTTTTGCCAATCAAACTAGAATGTTGGATCATAATGTTGCAAAGAGCTTCTGACTGTCCAAATATATCATGCAAATTTTGTGAGACATTTACAATGCACCATTGTAAAGGGGAGATCCCCTCTGCCAGCCTTATTGAAGATGAAAATCTATGATAGGCCGTGGTTTAGTGAGCCCACTGAGGGTGTCTAAAAACATGCTTTCTAAACTGACTGACTTATCAGAAATTTACACCATATTTAGCTAATTTGTAAACTTCATTACCTTAGTATAAAACTTATCAACTCTATTCTTAATTAAACAGGAGTTGGAACAGTTGATCGCACTCAACGGTTTACGACTGGTTGTTGATCTCTGTGATCCCTTCGCCGAATTTTCCTAAATTCAGGTTTAGAAATCATGTGCAACGTACCTTGAATATCATCTCATGCTTTCTACTAGCGGTAAACAGCCGTGGTAAGCGCAATTTCAACGAATACCAAGACTTACAAACACTGAGTACTGTAAGACGGTCAGAAATAGTCAGGTAACGAAGAATTTTCAGAAGTATATATTCCGATTTCTCAAAAGACATCAGGGCAGACAATATATCAACACGCCGCTTACCCCTTAAACTGAAAATGAGCGAACAAAGTAAAGCAACTTACGAATTTCTAATGCCGGTACGTCCATGAACTTCTATACTTTCAGGAAAATATCTTTCTCTGAGGTGCGACCAGGACTAAAGAAAGTCGAAGAACGAGTACCATAACCAGTATCCTGCGAACAATCTGGAAGTGATATGGATTCACGTCTAACGCGATATGGTGTCGAAGTATTTTGTAGCAGCGGGAAGCTGCTTTTCTCTTGATATTTATGAAACATCCAATGAAAATGTCAAGCAGTTTCAAAAAGGGATATTTCTGAAAACGCGCCGTCACCTTTCGTACGAAATTTCGGTACAGAAAAACTCCTACAATTAAATTATACGTAATAACAGTAAAAATATCATGATATTTATTTACTGATTTTCGAGCAATCAAGTTTAAGAGATATTATGTGTATCACCATTGTCAATCATTCATTCCTAGCATATATGACTAACAACAGATGATCAATTTCAGTCTCCTTACGTTTTGACATTGATCAAAGACCTTGAATGTATTTAATTAATACAGTGAAGTCCGTCTGTCCACTCGGATTCACTGGTCCTGAGTGTTCGTACACCTGGATTAAAAGGGGGTTTCTCCGTTTTTCCAGGGAATGGGGACCCTAGTATTTTTTGTAGTGAGGGTGTGACAAGCCACTAACCGTCACTTTGGGTTAGGATCAAATTAGCTACTTCAGCTGAACAACCCTTCTCTCCCTTACGATCCCTGTTGAGGAAAAGAATCGGTTGCAGGTACAGCAACTCCACCTCGTTAGATCAAATCTCGTTAAAAAGTTACTTACCAGAATAAACGATCGGAACTTTGATCTGGAAAATGGAAGATCGTTGTATAGAAAAGTTAAGATGTCAGTTCACAGGAAGTTTAACTCCATTTGTAGTTCTATAGCCACTGCCGGTGTCAAGCCCGGGTAAGTGGGGAGGGTTGTGCTTGAGTTCATTCAGTAGAAGTTGACATACCTACCTACACCTATTCATAATCGTATCTTTAGGTTTGAATGCTGTATTCCTTCTTATGCTACTTATCTTGCTAGTTAGTTCCGTTCGGGCTAACGTCATATTTAAAAAAAATTACTAATGCACTTACCAGGTCCAAACGCCCTGGACGGTCGAGAGTGGAGAGAGTTCTCTCTCTCTCTCTCTCAAAAATGCTCTGACATGGATCTGACATAACTACTGCCAGGGAAGTCTTATTCGCTGCCTTCTCGTGGCCGGGGGGTTGTTTACGAAATTGAAAGGATCAAAAGCGAATGTCCGGTGCTTTAACCAGGTTCGTTGATACGAAGGATCTACCTAAAAGAGCTAGAAAAACCTGATTCCAAACCAACGGTGCACATGGGCTCCAGGATCTTGAGGAAAATGGTGTATGAACCTATTGTTGGTCACCGGCTGCTGTGAGACTGGATCTCCTAACGTTGCTCCACTACCTTGTGGATTAGACCTTTAGGTCAAAGGCTCGGATTGTGGCTCCCTAAGAAAAACATCAGCTTCGGTTTGGGCACCCGTGCAGTATTCCAGCCCTCACACAACTCGAACGATTTTTTGTGGCGCATATGTATTCGGTGCCTCATTGTACCAATGTTCATGTGCTTAGATAATAATAATAATAACTTTGGCTATGATTGTGTTCAAATAAATAGATAAACTCGGAATAAGTGAAACCAGTTGGATTGAAGCTGGACAAAACATGATATATTCACAAAAAATGCCGTTTTCCTCTCGTCACGAAGAAGAAAATGCTCCACACACAGAGTGAACTGCTTTGATGTTGTCCAAAGGGGCACGTAATGCACTTATTGAATGGTAATCTCACTGATCCAGGATCATCAAAGCATCCCTCAAAACAAAGAGGAAGGGAACTACAATCAATGTTATCTAATGTTATGTCCTCACCAATGATAGCAGAGAAGATGATAAAGGCCAGTTTTTATAAGAGGTTGCAATTAGTTATAGCGAAGTGTTCAGGAAACGACCTGACTGTATTTATGGGAGGCCTAAACGCTAAAGAGGGGAAGGATAAAAACGTTTATGAAGATATCATGGGAAGATTTAGACTGAGAGAAGCAAAAATGGGGAGAGATCTTCAAACCTGTGTGCATGCAATAAATTAATTATGAGCGGCACAATATTCCCACACAACCGCGTAGAAAAGCCCATGGTTCTCACCAGATGACACCACAACGAACCGCATAGATCATATTTGCACCACGAAAAAATCCAGAGGAGCAATATAAAATGTGAGAACCATGAGAGGAGCTGACACAACTCCAGATCACCACCCGGTTGTGGTCAAGATAAAACTGAAGCTAAAGAAGCATAGGACAACCAGATAAACAGCACCGAAAAATTTTTATGTAACTTTTCTCTGGGATACTAGCGAACTCAACGAACCCGAGATAACTCGCTAAAACAGGTTCCAAGCCCTAAAATATTTACTTGAAGAAGAGAGAACTGCTGAAGATGCCACTTGGAAAGAGATGAAAAAGGCACTATCTTTGACGTGTCCGGAAGTTCTTGGCAGCAAGACGCATCATCATTAGGAGTGGGTCTCTATGGAGACTGTGGACAAGATTGAAGGAAGAAAGAAAAAGGCAGCAATTAACAACGATTTGAGGAACTCTTGAATAGACCTCAGTTATAGAGGCGCCACACTACTATCGGTGCCAGGAAACGTTTTCAGCAGAGTGTTGCTCAGCTAGATAGAAGATTCAGTGGACATTCAACTTCGAGATCACCGGTCTGGATTCCTTAAGGATCTGTCGTGCACAGACCGAAACTATACACTACGGATCATTGCTGTGCAGTCAATTGAATGGAATTCGTCAATGTATACTAACTTTCTTCATTATGAGAATGAGTTTAACGGTGTGAATAGGAGAACATTATGGAATCTTTTTCGACACTATGGTGTACCTGAGTAAATCGTCAATATCGTACGGAATTCATACGATGGACTACAGTGCAGGGTGGTGCAAGGAAGACAGCTGGCGGATACTTTCAAGAGAAAATTGATGTCAGGAAAAGCTACTTACCCTCTGTCTTCTTTTACTACTAGTGTTTGACTGGATTATGAGGACCCCAATATTCAATGAGAAGCACAGAATACAATGAACAGCTTGGAATCAATTAGAAGATTTTGACTTCGCAGATGACCTTGCCCATCTACTCCACACACACCAACAACTTCAGATGGGCACAAACGGTGTAGCAGCAGCCCCTGATTCAGTAGGCCTCAACATACATAAGGGAGAAAGTAAGATCCTGAAATACAACGCAAAGAACACCAATACAGTAACGCTTGTTGACTAAGCCCTGGATGAGGCGGAAAACTCACACATCTGGATAACGTCATCGATGAACGTGGGGGATCCGATGCAGACATAGATGCAAGGACTGACAATGCAAAGACATCATTCTTATAGTGGAAGAACATGTGGAAGTGAAAACAAATTTCAACCAACATCGAAGTAACAATTTTCAACAAGAACGTCGAAACGGTCCTACCGTTTGAAGATGAAACTTGAAGAAGCACCACAATCATCGTCAAAAATTTACAAATATTTACAAAAAATTGTCTACGTTATGTGCTCAATGTCCGTTGGCCGGATACCTCAGGTATGGTCAGCCAATTTGATTCTTTATACGAAGTCAAACAGTAGCTTTGTAAAATATGAAAATCGTACATCACACACGTTATTTTCATATATCTCATCACTTTTGTCTTCCACTCTTCATCATTCTTTCAACCCTGTTTTTATTTTGATTCCTATTCCCTTTGCTTTCTCTTCTCTTTACTTGGAAGCCAATGCTTCCGAGGCCTGTATGGGTAGAACGATTGATTTCCAAAACACCTTAAGTGTGTGCTACACGAACGCTCGTAGTCTTAGAAATAAAACGTCCGAGCTAAGTCTGATGGTGCAAGAATTATGTCCCGATATAATCGTTATTACAGAAACTTGGTTCACCGTTGATATAGACTGTTCTCCTTTCATTGCTGGTTATATCTGTATCAGAAGTGATAGAGTTTCAAGTCGCAAGGGGGAGGTATAATATTTTACGTTAGGGATCACTTTCGTATACAATCAACCATATCGGAGGCTCATATCAGTGGCACATGTGAGGTTGCATGTTGTAAGATTAAATCTAGAAATGGGTTAGTGACTATAGGGGGAATATACCGTAGTCCGTCTTGTCTTGCTGACGACTTTATCCTAAGACACATCTGTTCTTGGAGTATGGCAGAATGTTGTCTCATCATTGGGGACTTCAACGCACCGCATATCAACTGGATAGAGCTTACAGCTCCAAGTGGTGGTTTCGATAGCGACCTTTTATCTACCGTTATTCAGTGTGCACTTGTACAATGTATCACAAAACCGACACATATTGATTTGCATCATGTTCCGTCACTGCTGGACCTCGCCCTCACCCACCACTCTGAGGATGTCTTTGATATCCAGCACCTTCCTCCACTAGTGAACAGTGATCACGTTGTAATTCACTTTAAGTTTAGGACACATGGTATACAATTCGTATCTGCTCCACCCCGTCCCAATATCTGGCGAGCTAATATTCCGGAAATCAGAAACCGTGCTATCTCGACCGATTGGTCGGTCGACGCGGATGGATTGATCGAAGATGAATGGAATAAGTTTAAGGCTACATTCGAGTCCGTAACGTCGCCGTTTATCCCATGGTCAGCACGTAAGCTATCACATTGCCCTCCATGGATTAATAAGGAAACCCGGAAGCTGTTAAAGCGTAGGAAACATTTCTGGGACTTATTCTTGTTGACAGGTCATGCACCATTTAAGCGTGAGTATCAAAAATACCGTAATATCTGTAAGAAAACCATAGCGAAATCCCGTACCACTTACGAACGACAGTTAGTATATGATAGCCGTACTTGTCCGAAACGATTGTTTTCGTATGTTAAACGGCAAATGAAACGTAGTGATGGTATTCCCCCGTTGCTGTTACACGAAAATTCAGAATTACTAGCTGAATCAGATCGAGCAAAAGCTGAGACTTTTTCAGATTATTTTAGCGAAGTCTTCTCTACGTTTATTGTAACAAATACTTGTCCCACTCACACCAAAATACCAACCATTGAATCCGTACAGGTGACTGAGGAAACTGTCCTTCCGTTGATAACTAACCTCAAACCTGGTAAGATACCGGGCCCTGACGGGTTACATCCACGGTTGCTGTCATCTCTTGCGGACATTATTTCAAAACCGCTTGCGACACTCTTCAACATGTCCCTCTCACTCGCCCAACTCCCTAGAGATTGGAAGGACGCTATAGTTAGTCCTATATTTAAGGACGGTCAGCGACAGATAGTATCTAACTACCGGCCTGTCAGTCTAACTAGCATAGTCGTTAAGTTACTCGAAAAGATAATTCGGGTTAGGTTGCTAAGCCACATAGATTTACACAATCTGTTAGCTCCTGAGCAACACGGATTTCGTAACAAGCGTTCATGCTTGACTAACTTGCTTATTGCGAGGGAGGATTGGACAGCAGCCCTAGATCACGGTCTGTCTGTCGACGTGATATTCATAGATTTTAGCAAAGCGTTTGACAAGGTTTCACACGTAGGTCTTATGCAGAAGCTCACGAGCTTCGGAATAATAGGTACTGTACATGAGTGGATAGGAAATTTCTTATGTGACCGCAGACAGAGAGTTAGGGTCAATGGAACGCTATCCGATTGGAAGCCGGTCAAAAGTGGTGTACCCCAAGGCACCATCTTAGGCCCTCTGCTCTTCCTTCTCTACGTTAATGAGTTACCACTGTTACTTAGGTCGTCGACATTATTGTTTGCAGATGATGTAAAAATCTGGAGAACAATAAAAAGTGCGGCTGATCATGTGGATCTTCAAGCTGATTTAGACGATTTAGTTAGATGGGCTCGAGAGTGGGGCTTAGAAATCAATGCTAGGAAGAGTGTACTAATGCACATCGGTCACGGTAATAGTTACCGTTACACTATTGAGGGTAAACCTCTTCCATGCGTTCAAGAGCATAAGGACTTAGGAGTAATATTAAGTCATGACTTAAAAACAACTGCGCATTGCAAAGCAGCCGCTGTCAAAGGTTTTCGTGCGTTATGGTCACTTCGCCGAGCGTTCAAATCTTTTGACGAGGAAACGTTTCGAATTTTATATCCCATATATGTTAGACCACATTTAGAGTACTGTATCCAAGCAGCTAGCCCGTGTCTAGTAAAGGATACTAACTCCCTTGAGCGTGTCCAGCGTGTGGGAACGAAATTAGTGAAGGGTCTTTCTAGACTCCCTTACGATGAGCGCTTAAAACGCCTAAATCTTTTCCCCTTGTCGTATCGTAGGACACGAGGTGACCTTATACTGGCATTTCGTATCTTTAATTATGATTTGGGTGTTAATATGTCTTATCTTTTTGCTCCCTCCAGCACTAATAATCTCCGAGGTCATAGCAAGAAGGTTCATAAACCACGATCTAATAAACTTAAAGTGGGATCCCGTTTTTCTCATCGAGTAGTCAATCATTGGAACGCCTTACCCGAACAAGTGGTATCAGCCCCATCAGTGAATACTTTCAAGGAAAAGCTGGACCTTCACTGGAAAGCAATGTGTCAGGATTAACACAGGTTCATCAACCTACTATCCTTATTACTGAAGACTGACACTTACTCTTCTGAAAGTTATTGTATACTGAAAGACGGGGAATTTTGACTGTTGAGGGTCACTGGTCCACATTGTTCTCATATTGGGTTGGCTCTTGCTCCAATAAGCTGTAGTTTGGTGAGTTTGGATGCATAGACATCCATTGATTCATGTAAAAACAATCTCTTACGCTTTCTGGTCCTAGAAAAATATCCACCAAACTAAGGATTCCATCAGTAGTATATTTAGTGATACAACTTATGAATAAATCTTAACTTCAGAACAATTTCGGAACCCCATGGATGGACTCTAAATTTATAAATCTTAATCTAATTTATCCCTGTTGTTTGATGTGTCATGATAAAGATAGATTAGGACAATGCATAACACCCCATGGGGTTAGGGGTTAGATTAATTTTAAGTCTGTGCTTGTCCACGGTCTTCTTAAATTCAGTAAACCTTCGGAAAAAAAGTTTGAACGTTTTGTTGAGGTTTTCTCGTCATACTTTATTACTGACTTTTCAAGCAATAATACTTAGTACAAATTTTTCTCGCAGATCATATACTCGTAGCGATGCCGATTGCTCCAAATACATATCGGGGCGTTTCCCAACCATCATGTTTAGCCAAAGTAAAGTTTGGATTTTTAATGGGGTTCTGTGTCGGTGTAGCAACTGGTGCTATATTCGGCGGATTCAATTGTTTAAGGTAAGGTTTTTCAAGACCAAATTCTCTACTGTTACTGATGTTTATCAGTGAAATTTTTATGGAATAACAAATTTTCTTTAGTTTTCTAGAAAATTAAAATAGAGTAGACTTATTAAAACACCCGTTTCTTAGAATACCGTCATATAATTTATATCACCTCAGGCCTTGGCAAGTAAAAATCGTGGCGAGACTAATTTAGCGACGACCTTTGAACGAATCTTAAATGACCTTGACAATTATTAGCCAATCAGAAGACAGTATGAAGTGAGAATATATTGTAAGTAATGAATTACAGTGGATATTCTTCGTTTACATGATTTAAAAACTTGTTAAGGTTTGATAAAGGTTCAGAGGCTCTGATTTCATAATGCATATGGTATAGAAACTCGTTCATAGGGCTAGTGATTAGGGCTGTAGCCTAGGGTTAGGGTGCTAACATCCGATCAGTTTACAACGGATTTTAGAGGTTAGGGTTAGGGGTTATGGTTGGGGTCAGGGTGGGGTTGAGGCTTGTCAAAAAAACACCTCTTCTCTAAAATCCGATGTAAACCGATCGCATGTTAGCACCCTAAACCTTAATCTGGATCTGTTGCCTGGAGAAAGACTTCTTGACCTTGAGTATGCAGACGATATTGTCTTACTGTGCGATAATGCCCAAGGCATGCAATCCGCACTTAATCAGTTGGCAATCAGTGTCCGTAAGTATGGTATGTGCTTAGCACCTTCGAAGTGCAAAATACTTCTACAAGACTGGCAGGATTCTAGTCCTGTACTCACCCTGGATGGTGAGCAGATAGACGTAGTCGAGAAGTTCGTGTATCTGGGTAGCTGCACAAGTGCTGGTGGGGGTGTGAGTGATGAGATCAATGCACGTATAGTGAAAGCCAGAGCGGCTTATGCCAATCTGGGCCATCTATGGCGCCTTCGTGATGTTAGTCTGGCCGTAAAAGGTCGGATCTACAACGCGTCGGTGAGAGCAGTTTTGCTCTATGCTTGTGAAACCTGGTCTCTTCTAGTTGAGGACGTTAGACGACTCTCTGTGTTCGATCATCGCTGTCTCCGAAGGATTGCTGACATTCAGTGGCAACACCATGTCAGTAATGCAGAGGTTCGGCATCGTGTGTTCGGGCACAGAGATGATAATTCAATTGGTGTCACCATCTTGAAACACCGACTTCGGTGGCTTGGACATGTTCTACGAATGTCGTCCCAGAGGATTCCACGTCGTGCATTATTTGCCGACTCTGGGACTGGTTGGAAGAAGCGGAGAGGTGGTCAGTGCATGACATGGTGTCGTGGCATGAAAGAAAGCTGCAAAGGACTGGCTTGTGTTGGTCCTTCACGACTCCCTGGTTGGGGTCCGAGAGATGGTGCTACACAGTGGCTAGAGACGTTATCAGATATGGCTCAGAATAGAAGCTAGTGGCGATCCTGCTGTAACCTTCTTTTACTTTCTTCATAAAATGTGGTTCTGTCTCCCTTACCTGAAAGATTTCTTCCGATTGTACCTTTGCGTTCCCTGATTACTAGCACATTACCTTACACCAATCTCTTCGTTATTGTTCTCTCTTTTTTTGTTGCTCTCCTTAGCTTTTTTTTCTTTCTTTGTATTCCTCTCGAATTTTCATTGTTTTGTGTGGCGCATATATATTGGCGCTCTCTTGTACCAATATTCATGTGTCCAAATAAATAAATAAAATAATCTAACCCTAACATTAACCTAACCCTGAACCCTAACCTAATCCTAATCTCTAATCTAACCCTAACCATAAACCCTCACCTTAACCTAACCCTCAACCCTAATCTAACCCTAACCCTAGACCCTAATCTAACCCTAACCCTAGACCCTAATCTAACCCTAACCCTAAACCCTAACTTTAACCTCAAACCCTAACCCTATGGACGAGTTTCTATACAATATGCATTATGAATTCAGAACTTCTGAGCATTTATCAAACCTCAACAAGTTTTTAAATCATGTAAAAGAAGAATATCCACTGTAAATCATTACCTTCTTGTAATATATTTTTACTTTATACTGTCTTTTGATTGGCTAATAATTGAAATTGCTCAAACGCTTCTCATTGGCTCGTCCCTAAATTACAGTTCCGCCGTCCCATCTGTTTTAACCTCTCATTAAGCACCTCCTCTTTAAAATCCGCTGTGAACCGACCGTATGTTAGCATCGCGTGTTAAACTTGGCTCCGTGACCTTGAAATTGCTCAAACGCTTCTGATTGTCTCGTCGCTAAATTAGAGTCTCGCCAAAATCGTAAGATTCGCTTCTCACCTCTTTGGGTGAAAGGAAATTGGCATACCTACCTACACCTATTCATAATCGTATCTTTTGGTTTGAATGCTGTATTCCTTCTTATGCTACTTATCTTGCTAGTTAGTTCCGTTCGGGCTAACGTCATATTTAAAAAAAACTACTAATGCACTTACCAGGTCCAAACGCCCTGGACGGTCGAGAGTGGAGAGAGTTCTCTCTCTCTCTCTCAAAAATGCTCTGACATGGATCTGACATAACTACTGCCAGGGAAGTCTTATTCGCTGCCTTCTCGTGGCCGGGGGGTTGTTTACGAAATTGAAAGGATCAAAAGCGAATGTCCGGTGCTTTAACCAGGTTCGTTGATACGAAGGATCTACTAAAAGAGCTAGAAAAACCTGATTCCAAACCAACGGTGCACATGGGCTCCAGGATCTTGAGGAAAATGGTGTATGAACCTATTGTTGGTCACCGGCTGCTGTGAGACTGGATCTCCTAACGTTGCTCCACTACCTTGTGGATTAGACCTTTAGGTCAAAGGCTCGGATTGTGGCTCCCTAAGAAAAACATCAGCTTCGGTTTGGGCACCCGTGCAGTATTCCAGCCCTCACACAACTCGAACGATTTTTTGTGGCGCATATGTATTCGGTGCCTCATTGTACCAATGTTCATGTGCTTAGATAATAATAATAATAACTTTGGCTATGACTGTTGGGGATAATATGGAACAAACTGACATGATTTCATTGTCGAAACCTATGAAAAATCTATGTTAACGATGTATACTGAAGATTTTTGTCTATATTTTTTGTAGATATGGTTTACGTGGACGTGAATTAATTCAAACGGTTGGCAAAGGCATGTTTCAAGGTGGAGGTACATTTGGCATGTTTATGGCTATAGGAACTGCCATCCGTTGTTAATAATCCTCTCATTAGTTTTTTGACATCTCAATTCCATGTATGCCTTCTTCGATCTGTTTTGTTCTTCCCAAATGCAGAAATGACCTGTATCTACTAACATTCTATGGTGTGCTTATGATGAGGAAACAATGCTTAGATTTAGGAGTCATAGTATTTTACTATCTACTTATCTTTTCTTGTTCCGAACATTGATTCGTTTTAATGTATGACCAAATGATGACTGAATTTATTGAGTATGAAATATTATTTAAAGTTGCTGATAAGCTTTTTTCAATAATCCATGTACATAAATATACATTACACCGTAGTGATTAACGTCTCTGTTATATGCTTTTGTTTTCAGTAAACATCGTCATTTTCATTTTATTAGTGTGTGGACTGTGATACTGCTCGGGTACCCAGACCGAAGCAGGTGGTTTTCTTAGGAGACCACACCCCGAGCCTTAGACCTAAAGGTCTGACCCACAAGGCAATGGAGCATCGTGAGTAGATGCAGTCCCATGGAAGCCGGTGGCCGACAATTGGTTCCTACGTCATTTGTTCCCTCAGGATACTAGAGCCCATGTTCACCATTGATTTGGAATCCGGTTAAAGCACCGGACATTCGCTTTTCGTCCTTTCATCTTTATAAACAATACCCGTGTTGCGAGAAGTCAGTGAGTAGGACTTCTCTGACAGAGGCTGTATACACGTGGCCATGTGAGAGCATCTCGAGAGGGCAGGAGGGCACATCCGACTCTCGGCCATGCCAGGGCATTCGGGGGCACCACTAATCGATCGGATCCCATTAACAGTCGGTTATGTGCTGTTAGATTAGAAAGTTCCATCAAAGTGAGAAGAAATCGGCGTGAGAAACGATGTCTTTTCGTCATCTCCGCCTATGCCCCGACAGATTGCAGCCCGGATGCAATCAAGGATGAGTTTTACCACCAGTTATCTGTTCTTCTCCAGAAAGTGCGTTCGACAGATATTGTAGTACTAGCCGGAGACTTGAATGCTCAGGTCGGGCGTCTAGGCACAGAAGAGAGTCGTTTAGGTGGCCGATGGGGACTCGTTGGTCGCAGGTCAGATAACGGGGACCGTCTACTGCAACTTTGCACAGACCACAACCTGTTTCTGGCTAGCACTAACTTTCGGCACAGTCATCGCCGATGTGCCACCTGGCGTCCTCCCTCTGCATCTCAAGCCTGGACTCAGATTGATCACATCGCGATCAGCTACCGCTGGCGTGGTTGTGTACAAGACTGCCGCTCCTTTTGGAGTACCTATCTGGACTCTGACCATGCCTTGGTCTGCGCCAATCTTGCCTTACTTTTCAGTGGACAACGAAGTGACCGCCATCAACGGATTGATGTTAGCAAGCTGGTTGCAACTTCTGTTGCAAGTAAGTATCGAACCGAGCTAGCCTCTAGGCTAGCTACCACTCCACCGAAAAGTATAGATGAGCATTGGTTGCAATTGCATGACGCCATGAAAATGGCGGGAACAGTCAGTTGTGGGTTTGCGAAACGTCCCGCTTTAAGCACTGGGTTTCTTCTGGTTCCTTACAACTCATTGAAGCCCGTCGGTCTACTCCGGGTGACCGTGAGTTTGACCATAAACGAAGGATGTTACGTAAGGAAATTGGGCAAAGCTTGCGTAAGGACCGAGAAGCCTGGTGGTCGATGCGTGCTAATGAGCTGGAAGCAGCAGCTGCATCTGGTAACTACCGGAAGCTCTTCCAGCTCATCCGAGCCACTGGCAGCAAGAAGTCTGGTGTGAGTGAAACAATCTGCGAGGATGATGGGATGCCAATCACTAACATCCATCGACGTCTTGGACGATGGGCAGAATTTTTCGAAGGGCAGTTCAACTGGCCTGCTGCTCCGGCAACATCGGTCAGACTGTCCTGCCCTCCATGGCCGGTGACGACTGATCCACCAAATGAGGAGGAAGTCCGCAAGGAACTCCAACTCTTGAAGCGTTACAAATCACCTGGCCCAGATGACTTACCTCCGGCTCTTTTTAAAGATGGTGGTGACTTTTTGACTAAGGAATTGACGACGTTGTTTACAAAGGTTTGGGAACTAGAGAGTGTACCAACGTCATGGAATGAGTCGATAGTTGTCCCTATCTTTAAAAAGGGTTCACGTCGTTGTTATAACAACTATCGGGGGATAAGTCTACTTCCGATTGCGTCCAAGCTATTGGCTTCCGTCATACTTCGTAGGTTGTTCAAAACCCGAGAAAGATTGACTCGCGAGGAGCAGGCTGGGTTTCGTTCTGGTCGAGGATGTATTGATCATATCTTCACCCTCCGCCAAATGTTAGAACACCGCCATACTTATCAAAGGCCAACAATCGTAGTGTTTCTTGACATCAGGGCTGCCTTCGATTCGTTGGACAGGACTGTTCTCTGGGATTGTCTATTGAAGAAGGGTGTGCCTGAGAAGTTTATTAACATCCTAAAAGCCCTATATAAAAACACCTCAGGCAGAGTGAGGGCATACAACCACCTCTCTCCATTGTTCCATTCGAGCAGTGGGGTTAGGCAGGGTTGCCCAATCTCACCATTCCTCTTCAACTTTGCCATCGATGACATTCTGGAAACAGCTCTGATGAATGTAAGTAATGGTGGTGTGGATCTGTTGCCTGGAGAAAGACTTCTCGACCTTGAGTATGCGGACGATATTGTCTTACTGTGCGATAATGCCCAAGGCATGCAATCCGCACTTAATCAGTTGGCAATCAGTGTCCGTAGGTATGGTATGTGCTTTGCACCTTCGAAGTGCAAAGTACTTCTACAAGACTGGCAGGATTCTAATCCTGTACTCACCCTGGATGGTGAGCAGATAGACGTAGTCGAGAAGTTCGTGTATCTGGGTAGCTGCATAAGTGCTGGTGGGGGTGTGAGTGATGAGATCAATGCACGAATAGTGAAAGCCAGAGCGGCTTATGCCAATCTGGGCCACCTTTGGCGCCTTCGTGATGTTAGTCTGGCTGTAAAAGGTCGGATCTACAACGCGTCGGTGAGAGCAGTTTTGCTCTATGCTTGTGAAACCTGGCCTCTCCGAGTTGAGGACGTTAGACGACTCTCTGTGTTCGATCATCGCTGTCTCCGAAGGATTGCTGACATTCAGTGGCAACACCATGTCAGTAATGCAGAGGTTCGGCATCGTGTGTTCGGGCACAGAGATGATAATTCAATTGGTGTCACCATCTTGAAACACCGACTTCGGTGGCTTGGACATGTTCTCCGAATGTCGTCCCAGAGAATTCCACGTCGTGCATTATTTGCCGACTCTGGGACTGGTTGGAAGAAGCGGAGAGGTGGTCAGTGCATGACATGGTGTCGTGGCATGAAAGAAAGCTGCAAAGGACTGGCTTGTGTTGGTCCTTCACGACTCCCTGGTTGGGGTCCGAGAGATGGTGCTACACAGTGGCTAGAGACGTTATCAGATATGGCTCAGAATAGAAGCTAGTGGCGATTCTGCTGTAACCTTCTTTTACTTTCATCATAAAACATGATTGTATCTCCCTTAACTGAAAGAATTCTTCTAGTTGTACCTTTCCGTTTCCCCAATTATTACTATTATTATTATTATTATTATTATTATTATTATTATTATTATTATTATTATTATTATTATTATTATTATTATTACACTACCTTACACTAATTTGGTCGTTATTGTTCTTCTCCTTTTTTCTTTTACGCTCCTTCTTTCTTCTCTCCTCCCATTCTCGTTGTTTTGTGTGGCGCATATATATTTAGTGCCCTCTTGTACCAATATTTACATGTTCAAATAAATAATTAATAATGTACGCTTTTGTTAAATACACTTCAGGATAAGTTCTACACATGTGTGATATGTTCTACGCCTCGATTCTCAAGTCTTACTCTTAATTCAACTGAATCGGAAGATAAATATTCTGAAATATTAAAACTGAACAATAAAATCTAAAAGTATTCTGTACTTTTTATGTATTTATTGTCTATTTAAACACAAACATTAGTACAAGAAGGCACCAAATAGATATGCGCCATATAAATCATTCGATTTGTGTGAGGACTGGAATACTGCATGGATGCTTAAACAGAAATAGCTGGTTTTCATAAGGGGCCATTCCTTGAGTCATTGGCCTAGAGGTCTAATCCACAAGACGGGGGAGCAACATTAGGAGATGCAGTCCCATGGTAACCGGTGACTAACAGTAGGTTTATACGCCTTTTGTTTCCTTAGGATCCTGGATCCCATATGCATTATTGGTTTGGAATCAGCGTTTTCTATCTCTCTTAGGTGAATTCTCTATATCCACCAACCCGGTTAAAGTATCGACTGTTTGCTTTATGTCCTCTCACTTTCGTAAGCAACACGCTTTCCATAAGGAGGCAGTGAATAGTACTTCCTTGACAGTGGTTGTATACGCGTGGCCATGTGAAAGCATTTCGAGAAGGAGAACTAACTCTCCCTACCCCTGGCCGTACCACGGCATCCGGGGGCTTCTATATAGTGACTAATATACATTATCCAGTCAGTCAGGAATTGGAGAGGGAGGTTGATTATGAATATAGTGGTCTTGAGTGCTGTTAGGAGTATGAGGGCGGTTATCACTTCCCGGTTGCCCACACCGTGGAAGGGTTGTTCTGGAGGTACCTGAAAAGGAAATTGGATTAGAAGTGGTCTTAGTGACCTGGAAGCGTGACCGCAGTGCCCAAGGGACAACTGCTTGAGGTCGGTCACACACGACCTTGTTATGGGTAATTTTTGTGTTAGCTCCGTACTTATTGAGACCTTACCGCCGGAGACGGATATCCGTGGGATAAGGCGAGGTGTGACATTTTTAGGGTCGACCTTCTCTAACCCCACCCCTCCTTGTGGGAAGGCAGCATCGCTGTCATGCTGGTTGTCTGAAGGAAACACCTTACTGCTGTCACACCTCTGTACAGCCAGCAGTACGACTTCGCCTTCGGATCTTGGGTTTGTTGCTTTTAGTCTTACCGCTCTTCAACCGACCTGTCTGACATGGTAGGACCTTGAGGAACGGTTGTTCCAGCCAGTATAGCTCGGTTGCTTCATCACGATAGGCAAGCCCGACCACCACGTCAAGGTAGCAACAACGGTCGGGATATACATTATCCACTTAGGCGTCTACCTTTGTCCGGTGAATAATTCACACTATGTACCATTCTTATGTCAACACTTCTATGACTCACTGTTAAGCTTACATGTGACGCAATTTTGATATGTATATGCCAACCATGATGTCGTAAATAGTAAAACAATGGATGACATTCATAGTATTGTTTTTTACTTAATGGTGCTTTGATGTAGATCATGGAGAAACTATGTTCATTCTACACTTTGGTCTGTACATCTTGATTAGTCAATACGGATATATCGCGTTTGTTTTACATCGTATGTACCTAGTTTGAATGTCGTTTTCTTAGTGATCTTATCACATGTACAAACGATGTAAATGTTTTTGTTGTGGTCTGGTTTAGTGGTTAAATTTTGGATACAAAGATCAACATGTTTAAAAGTCATTGAAAAAAGAGAACGATTAAGGGATGTGGCAACTATAGGTCATTAATTTCAATAGAATTAGTGCCTAACTATCAGGTTTAACTCTTACCTCATCGTATCGCTTGCTAACAAGTGTCATGTAACACGAGAACTAAGGCTAGAGTTTACTGTCGATTTCGTCTAACCATCTAAGGCCTTTTATAATAATATAATTATCCTATCGGTCTTCATCTTTCGATTACTTTATTACTTGTTTGTCATTTTTCTGAATCGTTGTTACATGCTTTAATGGTTGAAGAATTACATTCTTATTGTGGTAAAACAATACATCCTTGGTAAATAAATTAAGAAATTGGATATACTGTAGGGATTAGAATTAATTAAATGCCCTGATATGGACGAGAGTGGGGAGAGTCCGCTCTCCCTCTCGAAATGCTCTCACATGGCCACGCCTATATAGCCTCTGCCAGGGAAGTCCTACTCATTGCCTTCTCGTGGCAGGGGTGTTGTTTATGAAAATGAGAGGACGAAAAGCGAATGTCCGGCGCTTTAACCGAATTCCAAATCAATGGTGAACATGGGCTCCAGTATCCTGAGGGAACAAATAACGTAGGAACCAATTGTCGGCCACCGGCTTCCATGGGACTGCATCTACTCACGATGCTCCATTGCCTTGTGGGTCAGACCTTTAGGTCTAAGGCTCGGGGTGTGGTCTCCTAAGAAAACCACCTGCTTCGGTCTGAGTACCCGAGCAGTATCACAGGCCCCACACCTATCGAATGAGATTTGTGTGGCGCATATGTATTTGGTGCCTCCTTGTACCAATGTGTTAAGATAAAATAAATAAAGCGACACTAGATACAGTTTATGTTCATACGTAGAATATCTGTTGCCTTCGGAAATCTAATTTTTTATTATCTATGGTAGATCTCGGCAGCATAACTAGAAGTCGGATTGCTTTGATGCAGTTGCCTTCATCCTTTATCTCCCATTTTTGTGTTCTGTCCCACGACTTTGTCCGTTACTATTAAAGTATATTTTTTATGTTTGGTCTTTCACTACGGTCACTCATGTTATGATACCAAATTCTTTGCTTTTCATCTTATTAATGTCCGCTTTTGATATACTAATTTTTAGTACAAACATGAGGTTAATATACATTAGTGAGGAATCTTTTACTATTTGCAGCTGTTGAAATATGACTTTTTCTAAACACAAATACATGGGATCACAATATTATGTAAAATATCAGATGGCTGACATCAAGCTCTATTAATTGAGGTTGATACAGCATAATTACCAACCGGTTAATCATTATATTTATTTCAGTATTGTCAAAGTTACTAGTGTACCGCTAGGTCTCTTCCTAATAATAGCCTCTCCCATTTTGATGCTGAAAGACGCCCTAGTTTGAAAATTGAAAGGGAAATTTGTTGTTTTTCCAAGGTTGCACAGATTGATGGAAGTAGATATGACGGATACATACTTCTATTCAAAAATCAACAATCAGTTATATGAAACGTAGAACCTGGCACATATATGATGGGTTCGATTTGCTACACTAGATCAGCACAGTCAAATGGAATTATCAAGATAAATACCAGAGTATTTGAAATGAAAGCAGTATCAGTGGTGATATGAAAGACTAGCCATTAAAAAATGTTATCTAAGGGACAAGAACGAAATTGTAGAATAGAAAGTAGTATTTTAGAGCTCAAGATCTAGGGAAGAGTAAAGAGTATATAAGTCTGCGCTTTGGCGAGCGATTCTGACCTATGCCACTTATTGGCTACGAGAATCACGCAGATCCTAACCTGGTAGTCAGTACCCACCAACTCGACTCAGTTCGACAGTCAGTAAAGCGTCACCATGTTTTGATCAGGCAGCCCCTGGCTTTTTTCTAGCTTACTATACAGAATTCATTTTCTAATTATCATCATTAGTCATCATAAACTTGCAGAATGTTTTTATTTTTTCTAAAATAACTAAGATAATGATATTTGGTGCATAGATAATTCAGTTTATTTGGTTAAATTTAACGGATAACAATGCAAACTCGCACATAAATAGATGAAAAGTGTACCAAAATCGTATGATCATAAGTAAGCATAACAATAAGTAGTATAAGTGTAATGAGTATGGAATGCTTTCAATAAGTGATAAGTAAGATAAATAATATGAAGTATATAATATTATGCTTTGTGTTTTTCGTTCTCCTATCTGATTCTTCCGTTAACAAACTATAGAAGGTTTTGGTCGAACAACCAATGAACGCATACGTAACCCACCGTCAGCACCACAACTTAAAAATCGACAAGCTGTTGATGCAGCAGTCATTGAGCATTTCTGATCATGAGAAGAGTGTGTAATAGGTATTTGGTTATTTAGATTTGTCGAACAATCATTATTTTTAGTAGAATTACTGTCATTATTATTATTACTGTTATTGACATGAATCAATGCTGCTCCTGTAACCGTCGGCAATAGACGAATATCTGAAATGCCTGGGTTAGTAGCAGCAATGATAGCTGCTGATTGATTGCCTCTGAATAGGGCGGCGGCAGCGATAGCTGCTGCACCACGACTTGGGTGCAGGTCACCACAGAAACTAGTCAATAATTCTCGTTCAGATAGCCTCCATATCTGAAAGAATAAATCAGGAAAAGTTTGACATGTCTTACTAATGAAATAGTAATATACTACTAACTTGGTTAAGTAGTTTCTAGTTGTAGGGCAAAAACCACTGTGCTTAGTAGATTTGGTTTTCGACATGTGTAAATGAAATTAACATATGATTGGGCAGTGAGCGTGGACAACCAAACACTTCGCCTACTGACTATTAAATATGTGATTTCCTTCCCACTTATTGATTTCTACTCCGAACTCACTGAGTGTAACTGCCTATAATTGTGTGGAATAAGGTATTATCTAGTGTTAACCTCTCTACTCTGAGTCGTGAATCCTGGATCTGATATAACTTGACTAGTCTCATCATCATGCTAACGCATTACCGTAGTATACCTGAGAGAGAAAAAATATTCTAAACCATCCATTATGCCGGTTTTCAAACAAAGCATCAATATGATCTGGAACTAGGATGTGGTTATTTTGTTTTTGATAGTTCAGAAGGGTGTCAGCCTATCTGACCAGTTATTAGCAACATAGACTCCGGTAAGCGTATTTATCGATAACTAATGGTATGTGAAGATAAATATAAAGTCATGGGAGAAGCGTTTATAATTGGGACAGAAGCAAAATTAACAAGTTATGAGAGTGCTTGGTCGTTAATAAGGTGGCCTGGAGTATTACTAAAAGTGTGTGTGAGTGATGGTCGTCTCCTGGTTCCGCACACCATGATAGACTACTTCTGTTCAATGGAACTGAAAAACAAACTGGTTTGAGAGTGGTTTTGGGAAACCAGGACCATGAGCACAAAGCTCAGTGGTACTGCCTGTAACTATAACACTTATTGATGTGGGTCCGAATCTCACGGCAAGGTATCAGTTCTATTAAGATAGCACATATGCCTGGCTATGTGGCAAGTAGCGCAATATTTCTTGTCGATTACATCCCACCATCGAAAGCTGAATTTGGTAATATTTTGAGTCTACTGTATGATTTCGAGTACAAACGATTACAGTACTAAGCTCATTTTTCTCATGGATTTATATCATTAAATCGAATTCACACAATAAGAGATAGTTAAATATCAACAAACAATCTATTAAACATACTTTAACAATTCCATCCGCTCCACCAGTAACTAAACAATCAGTTGCTGAATCAATACATAATGTTCTTATTGGTGCATCATGAGCTGAGAATTTATGCAATACTTTTGGATTTCGCATATCCACAGTACATATATCACCATTTTTAGTACCAACAATAACGGTTCTATCATTATTGGTGAAGAGTCGTTTTGAATTAATATTGTTACTAGAATAAATGTTTGTATTAGACGGCCAACTATTGGTGTTTGTAAGTGATCCACAGTAAGCAATTGATGTGCATGGAGCATCCAATTCTGGGTCAAGAACACCTTAGCGTAAATAGGTGAAGTAGATAAAGGAGAAAAGTTGACGTGATTATCTAATCAACACTATATATATGTTTGAATATAATAATAACTGAAATCTAAATAACAATAGAGAATCATGGAAAAGCTTTCCTATCTTAGTTTAGGACTCCTTAATGTGGTAATACGCACCAACAAACATATGCGTCATTGGTCCGGCCGATAAATCACTGTTCTCTAGTTGGCGGTATCATTATGTCATATATTGATAGGGGCACAAGGTCATAAGTTATAACACTTTCAGTTGTGGTTTCTCTTTTCATTTTCCTCTTTTGTCAGTAGGAATTATACTACTTATATTGGCCCGTATAAGTAGCACATACCACACATGTACTCACCAGTTGTGTAGCGATTACGATAATACTATCTGCGTCCATACAGTAAATTAGGTATTCGCAACAGATTTTTAGCGTGAATCCTATTGTTTAAAAACTGAATATACTAAAAAGCAGTAAGCAACCATTTCAAAGCTAAATTAAGAATGGATTATAATACTGAAAGTGGTTTGAATAATTTTTTCTGGTTAGCGTTTTTTTAGCGAGTTAGTTTTCTACGGGATAGGGTCGCTAACCCTATGCCCAACCCTCCTCTTTTATCCGAGCTTCGGACCGGCAGTAGCCCCAGAGGGGCCCCAGGTGGAGCAAATGAACAAAAATAGGGTAGAACTAGAAAGGAATGCCCATGATAGAGTGGGTTGGAGAATGTTGGTCGGCGGCCTATGCTCCATTGGAAGTAACAGGCATAAGTAAGTAATAATACTAAAAATATGAACCAAATTTTTTTTCACTACATTGGCACCGTCATAATGGTGACATATACTTTTTATTGACACTAGTTTATGTGAAGGGGTTACTCCTTGAATAGAATAATTTTTGAAGTGAATGAAAATTATCAAGAAAATGAATGCATTCTTTGCTTTCTTATGTCAACTTACTGGTTTATACCTAAGTAAGTGTTCGGTAATATTAAGAAATAATGAATTGTACTAAAAACATTATAGCTTATACTACATACAACATATATGTAGGGTAGTAAACGAAATAGCATAGTCTGAAGCGTTAGGGCTTAAATAACGCTTAAAACTGATTGTCTGGCGTCGGAATACTATTACTAGACCACCAAGATCATTTTTATCGCTTTCGCGAAGTTTTCATTTTTCCGACTTTTCAGACCCTGGCCATGTGGACCTGAAGGTCTCATATGCGATTAGAGGTTCGCCATTGATATTGTGGGTGGTTCGGTATTACTTTGGCAAGTTTTGCTGACTGTTCATGAACAAAATTAGTTTGCTAGTTAACCGATTTCATTCATACTGGTGGTTGCTTTTCAGTGTTCTCAAGGGCCATTGCCATTGGGACATTGTAAGGCATGTCATCATTGCTAACGTTAATGAGTTTGACTGTCGTGTAAGCGGAATAGGTCAACTTTGGCCTGTTCGTGTTGTGCATAATTGATTCATGCAACCATTGATCGGAATAATTAAACATGTGACGTGAATGTGTATATGAATGGTGCGAATGGTCCACCAGCGTGCTTGGTACCTGTGTGGTCGCGCCACATGATTGAGCTGTACTATTCAGATTGTAGCTTAAAGCCTGTACGGTGTCTGGTTCTCCTATGAAGCGGGATTGGACCGTACTATTTGGGCTATAAATTTTAAGCCTGGGCGGTATCTGGCTCTCCCATTAAACGGGACTGAGCTGTACTGTTTGGGTTGTCACGTGAGAGTCTGGATGACGTCTGGTTCTCTTGAAAACCAATGTACAGTTATGCTGGCCCACAAGGGTATATTATATTATATAACTAACTAAAAACATCACAATACAAACACTGTTGTCAGTAATACCTCTTTGTATTTGCTTTATTTATACTTTCAGGTATCTAATGTTTAACTCCGCTTGTAGCTCTTCTAGGGTTACACTACCGGTCCAAAACTTCGGTAATGGAAGGGGGTTAGGCATAGGATAAACAACCCAATCTCGTGGAAATTAACCTTGCTAAAAAAACGCTAACCAAATCAAACAATTTGGTGTTTACCTCTAACTGTATAATTGACTGTAATGATAAGTCTCTTTTCAGTAAAGAAAGATAGAATAATCTGTGTTCCATTCAGTTGGGAAAACCAAAACATTCTGCTCTATGGCGGTTTAACAACCAAAGAATTGGTTAATTTCATTTATTAGTAAAATAATATAAATGTAATAAATGGATGAAAGTAAAAACGAATTACTTACGAATAACACCACATCGATTCGCTGGTAATAAAGTATCCCATAATGTTAAATGTGATGCATCTTGATCTGTATTAACAGTTCCCCCGGAATAACTGATACCCCCACCTCCGCCGCCGCTGCTACTACCACCTATGATATTGGCAGAAGTGTAGTGTGTTGGCCCACCAATACCACTATTTCCGCCACCATAATTAAGACCACTACCAATGCCACCTACACCAGCCCCACTGACATCTATTCCACTGACAATATGTGGAGTTGTTGTAGTCATCCCGCCATTGCCAACTGTAGCTATTAGACTACTACAGCCAAGGAAACAAAAATCTGCTAAACCTTTTGCATGGCAACGACAACGCTATAATACAAGAATGGGAGAGAAAGAATGAATGGTCAAGCTATGATGGATAAACAATAGGATATTTAGAAAAGCGTAGTAGAAAAGAAACATGACACTGGTCACTCATTACTCAGTGACCAATCAATTATAAAAATATCACAGTCTACGGAAGGTCATGCGCTAACTAAACAGTAGCTCAGTGGTAACCTCCCAGACATTATGAAGCTGGATGACATAGGTTTGAATTCATCGGCGAGCATCAGTTTCCTAAAGATAGCAGGTACGCCTTTCTGTCATGAGCACCAGCCAGTACAGAATTAAGTTCAAGAGAGGTTTCCTACCGGTCTGCCCTAACCACCTAGAATCTCTACATAGTGCACACATTGTTGAATAATTTATAATAGAGGCTAAATTACAAACTGATTGATAGAATTCGATCAAGAGGACTAGATAAATGACATATTGGTCACTCACTACTCAGTGATCAATCAGTTATAAAGAGTGATGTAAAACAAAAAGCACATGCTTTTAACTCAAAGTATGAAAGCTTAAGTTGCATATTGTATTTTATACAATGATTGGAAGTCAAATTCACGATCCGTATTTTGTTAGCTGGTGATGTACGCGGATACCAAACTGTTGAAGTATGCAGTGAGATACAAATTTTGTACCTAACACCTTAAATATTTATGGGTTATCCGATAGACCACTGAGTTCAGATAGCCAACAACTTTTTAACGGGCATGATATTTTATTATGAGTTATAAGTACTTGAGCTTTCCTGTTGTTGATATTCAAAACGATATCTGCACAGTCTCTGTTAAAATATAGACAGGGTTATTGTTGACGGGATACATTGAGGACGACATACACACCCTAAATTCTATTGTTACACACATTAACCAAAACAGAATGCATTTATCGTTACGAAAAATTCGACGTATCCGTTAAAGCTTCTCATAATTGGTTTATCACTGGGTGGTGATCAATGTCATGTGTGTCGAGTAATTCTTAGTGCAGATCAAATGCTACCGACCAAGTTTCAATGTGGCCACTAGTCTAAGTGACTCGACATTGCGTGCACTATGTTGAGATAAGATGATGGTTGGAGGTAGTCAACAGGAAACCCTGGACCCGAGTTTCGTGCTACTTGGCACTCGTCAACAAGGTGTACCTGTAATCTTGAGAACTGGTGATCCCTGACGGATTTGATCCCGTGCCATCCAGCTTCACAGTCAGAGACGTTACCACTGGACTATCCGGACCACGACCGACCTCCTGTCGGACTGAGATGTAATCACAATTGACTGGTCACTGAGTAGTGATCAATGTCACGTGTGTGACTGTGGAGCTGGGTGACACGGGATCTAATCCGTCATGGAGTACCAGTTCCCTCAAGATTACAGGTTCCAGTATTCCTCTTCACATACACCTTTTCATGACATCGTCTTGAACCATATTCTTAATAGTTAATGTTTCTCATTATCATTGCTCCTGAGATTATTTCAACACCTTTATTGTTTTTCTTGTTGAAATTACACCTTATCATGACAAGATGTCCGATTATAACTTGGGTTAACTCAGTACATTTATGTCGAGTTCTGTGTTGATTACAACTGATTGAGTAATAATTATATGAGCCAAAATTTATTAAAATCATCAAATGATTAAAGTGAGACTATCATTGACAACTTGGAAGTCATATACGGTCATTTCTTCCAAGTACGGGACTACTATTCAGCAATGCGCATCTACAGCTCTACACGCGGGAATCAAACCAATAGGACCTTCGATCTCACACGCGAATATTTAACCTCTAGGCCTCATAATATCAATGAAATTCAACAATCTTCACAATCCTTTACTGACAAAAATAGAATAATGATTATTAAAGTTATTAGATAACACGAGTTGAATTAATACAAGTAAGTATTCGGAATGTATAACTAAACTACTTACAAAATATGGTAGTTTGCCCGGCATGGTTGAATATAAATTCCATAAACCGAAATTTCCTTCAGAATCTCCACAACCAAACTTGATCGATACAAGATGTTAAATTAGACATAAATAGAATAGATTACGTAACATATTAGTGATGAAGAGGAGTAGCAATGAGTAGAAAGAAAAAAAAGAAAGAAAACATCAAAAGTAGGTGAAACATAACATGGTAATTTTAAAGTTAACATTAATTTATCTAATTCCTGAACAGTTAAACGTACATGAAAGGTAATGTTAAATCTTCTAAAGTGTCTAATCTCACGATTGAGATACACATGAAACCAAAGCTTGAAGAAAAACGGCTTCCTTACGCCTGTTACTCTCAATGGAGCATAGGCCACTGATCAACATTCTTTGTCCTGGACCTTCGATCTCGCGCGCGAACGCTTAACCTCTGGACTACTAAGCTGGCATCCAGCAGTTTTAGTGTCTAACTTCAAAAACAATCCACGACGTTGCGCGACTGTCTACCACTGTTTTCAGTGAGTAACTGTCTCACAACAGACACGGTTTGACTCCACTGGTCACGTCTACTCAATAGAGCTATAGGAAACACATCTTGAAGCCAGTCACTAGTAAACATATGAAAATCATTGTTAGAATGAGGGTTTGTGGACATTGTAGTAATTTAATGGCTGAATTAATGAATCGGTTTAAGATAGACCACCTTGAGAAGTCCCATACTAAGACGAAACGACCGTTCAGTGCTTCCAGGTTTTCCAGGGTGGTCTAGCCTAAAGCAACTCATGAGTTCTACCATTAAATTACTACAATTTCCACAAACCCTGAATGACATGGCTCAAAGTCGTTTGCAATGGCGCAGGTGCATCCACTCTTTGTGTTCTCCCAAATTTTGATCTCCTTATTCCTCCCTGTCTCCTTTTTTTCCCTTCCCAAATTTATTTCACTGTATCACACTCTTTAAATAACATCTCCAAACACTAATCTTCCCGATTACTGCTTATACTCTTATTACCTCTACCACTACGGGATTTGAATCGACCACGGCATCTCTGTGCTAATGTGGTGTGGCAAACCGAACTGATGTACGCACGTACGTACGAAGTTCTACGTTGTTATTGACTGACTGACAACCTTACAATTTTCAACAGATTATTATCAGTGTAATTTTAAAGAACACATCGAAACTATAATCGTGTGCTTACTCCTAGTAACTTACTTCAAGATGCGTTCCTGCATTTCTACTGAAAAGTAATGATCAGTGGAGTTTAGAAATCTTAAGTGTCAGTTGGCGCACCATAACACTACCTGATTGAAGTTGGAAATCTGTAAGAGTGAATATTAAATCATGTGTCTAATGATTGGGGCGATTACTGGGTTTAATCTCTAAAAACATCTCACACTAAGATGAAACACTGTTTAATGCTCCTTGGTTTCCAACGATACTTTGAGATAAATCTTTATCAAATATCACCTACATACGCTTACTAATTTGACTGAATCTCTTCTTATTTAGTTATTAAACAGCTCAAACTTAAGACATATAATCAACTATGGTCACACAGTGCTGCCGGAATAATTTTTCAGACGAATCTACAGGGTCAAAAGAACTAGTTCAGAGAACGTTTAAATAGGGAATTTATGCACGGTTGAAGATACCATTATTGATTAATTGAAATCAGATTTTTATTTACAGACGAATCACATTCCTCTCTTATTTCATCATGGTCATAGAATCTCCTTCGCATTCTACAAACCGTGAGCGTCAATTAAATTTAATTGAAATCGCGAACTGATCCATGGTAAACAACCACTGGAAATCTGGAAGTGCCGGACGGCCATATTTCTCTCTCCTTAGAAGTGTTCATCCACGACGCCACAAACGGGTATCGAACTGAGAACCATCGGTTTAGCGTACGGACGCTTAATCTCTAGACCACTGAGCCAGAATTCAATGGTGTTCAGATCAGCAACCTCCCGAGCCTCATTCTCGGTTAATTCAGACGGAACTGATTGATATGTGTATGCACTGGTTTATACCAGAACAAAACGACCATCCAGCTTTTCAATGGTAATCTAACTTAGATCGGTTCATGATTTAAATAAAATTCAACAATACCCATAACCTCATACTGACTATAATAATATTTTCCACTTCCACTTCGTAAAGTAAACAAATATCTTTTAATTTTTTTTTGATAAATTCTGATTTCTTATTATCTCTGAGAATATTATTAGACTGACTACTTACAAATTTCTCAAGTAGTAAACTATACAGCGAGAGAAAAAAAGTTATATGGAAAAAGAAGTAATTGTAACACAACGTTACGACATTAAAAACACACTTACACGATATCCACTATCATCAAATTGTAATGCTGTTACACGTGCACCTCTAGAACCAGCTGGAAATTGTCCTAACATACCAGCAGTTGTTAAACTATAAGTATTTGTAAATCCAGCAACAACTGGTACTGGAGTTGACCATTCGAACATATGCACTGAACCGGTACCTGTTCCACATAGATCTACAATATAGAATAATAAAAAATGAAATTTAAAGAAATCCTGTAAAGTTTTTGAAAGCATGAAGTTTACGTCAACTATTTATCAATAGACGAAATTGAAAGGAAGAAAAGCGAATGTCCAGAGCTTGAACTGGGTTGGTGAATATAGAGGATCCACCTAAAAGAGTTAGAAAACTCGATTTCAAACCAATATTGTACGTGGACTCCAGGACTCTAAGGAAACAAATGGTGTATGAATCTACTGTTGATCACAGGCTGCCATAGGACTGCATCTCCTAACGTTTCTCCACTGCCTTGTAGATTAGAACCTTTAGGTTAAAGGCTCGGGTTGTGGCTCACTAGGAAAACCATCTGCTTCGGTTTGGGCACCCGTGCAGTATTCTAGCCCTCACACAAACCGAATGATTTATGTAGCGCATATGTATTTGGCGCCTCGTAGCAATGTTTATGTGTTTAAATAAAATAACAAAATAAATAAATAGACCATATAACACATGAACTCTATACATTAACATATATAGAAAATATGAATCAATCATATGGGCAGAAATCAACAAAACAAAACTTTTAAACAAGAATATGAAGACAATAAAGATTGTAAACCATCCGAAAACAACGATTCCAAGACAAAGTCATCAAAATAGACTGATTTAACACCTATAGGATTAAGTGAAAAACACATTTCTATATGAGGGAAGCTCTGATGACAATAATGAAAGCTATTTAGTTAAACCAAATACAAGTAAAACAATACTTGAATCATGAATCTTCTCACATAGTTTTTTTGTTTATCATATCAATCGTTTATTAATAATAAATAGACTGGTAATAATTGAGTTGTATAATAAAGAAAAAAGTATAACAATCTAATTCTGAAGATTATTCGTTGAATAGTTTCAGGACAAGTTTCTAACGGCCTGTTGTCTTATAAGATCCTGCTTTGGTTTGGGCACGCGGGCAGTATCATAGCCCCCACACACGCAAATCAAGTGACTTGTGTGGTGCATACATGTATTCGGTTCCCCTTTGTACCAATATGAACTTAAATTAATTGTTAACTCATAAAATCAATTTATATTTCTCAATAGAAAATACAAACAAATAACTTAGGAATATTCACACTGGAAAACGAATATTAGTCAGTTAGAATGTAGAACTTGGTACATGCGTGTACATCGGTTCGAGTTGCCATACTTTGTTAATATATATGAAGTTGTCAGGTCAAATCCAAGAATAGTAATAACAGTATCGATAGTAATTGGAAAGACTAAGCATCGAAGATATGACGATAAAATAAAATAAAAATTAGCGAAATAAAAATAAAAAAGAAGTAAAGATCTAAGAATCTCAGGATCTGGGGACAGACAAAAAAATGGATGCACTTGAGTGATTGCAAATGTTTTTGAGATATGTCATTCAAAGTTTCTAACCATTGATTACGATGATCATGTGAACTTCGACCAGGTAGTCCATAACTATTAGGATGACTAGGTCCAATTATCAGTGACTTCATGGACTGATGGCATGTTTTGGTTTGGTCCCCCTTGCTTTCTTCCAGTTTAGTCTTGTACCAGAAAATATCGTCTGTCGAGGTAGGCGGTGGTTGGGCACATGTAACACATGTCCAAACCAACTCAGTTGATAAAAATTTACTACCTCGTCAATCAAATCATTATCCTTACCTAGTACTTAATTCCCAATCCAAGAAGTGTTTACCCGGTGGTCCCAAAATACACGAACGATGATTTGTAGACATTTATGATTGAATAGTAGTAAACTATGACTATCCTCTACTCTTAATAGCCATATTTCACATCCACAAAGTTGAATGAACAGAGCTACTGAGAAGTAAACTCGCCCTCTGGTTGGAAGAAGGATATCTCAACCTACAACACAAGTGACGCAAGTCGCCGAAGCCAATAGGGACTTCTGAGTCACTGTCGAGATTTCATCAGACAGTAGGTCATCACTACTGATGATACTCTCTCAAGATAAGTGAAGTCGATACGTTCAACTACTTCACTTTTTATCATTAATTCAGGAATAACGAACATATAATTTCTATTTAAGTTTAAATTTCTTTCCATTCCCTCCAAACACTATTGCATAAAGGACCGAACAAATTACACTGAAAACGTCAATTTTCACTACATTTTATTTATTTATTTAAACACGTAAACATTGGTACAAGAAGGCACCAAATATATATGCACCACACTTCGCTATCCTATTCGTGTGAGGTCTGGAATACTGCACGTGTGCTCAAACCGAAGCAGGTGTTTTTCTTAGAGCCACACACCTAGGCTTTGACCTAAAGGTCTAATCCACAAGACAGTGGAGCAACGTTAAAAGATACAGTCCCATGGTAGCCGGCAACCAACGTAGGTTCATACGCCTTTTTTCCCTTCAGGATCCTGGAGGTCACGTGGATCATTGGTTTGGAATGAGGGTTTTTTAACTCTCTTAGGTGGATCCTCCGTATCTAGCGTCCTCGTTAAAGTGTCGGATATCCGCTTTTTGTCCTCTCAATTTCGTAAGCAATATCCCCGCCGCAAGAAGGCAGTGAGTAGTGCTTCCCTGGCAATGGCTTTATAAATGTGACCATATAACAGCATTTTGAGATGGAGATAGGACTCTACTCACCCTCAGCCGTACCAGGGCGTTAGGGGGCTATTCCTGTTATTCTTATTTTGTTTAGATTTTTCGGAGGAAATAAAAACTATTTCATTTTGATGATTTGAACTACAGATATTAAATAAAAATCATAAGAACAGTAATGAAGTTGATAAGTTTTGCTAAATTAACGCACGATCTGATTGTCTACCGGCTTGTAATAACTACAGGCTAAATCTACACGGGAAATCTAACACAGAAGAAAAGGCATGAAGTATGGGAACGACGCTTTACTCCAAGCTTAGTGTATGTCCAGAAAAACGAGGGTATTTGTAGAGTTCCACATGACAGTGAGCTACTAGGGGTCTCTGGAACCATACTAAACATGGTAGCAGAAAAATGACACGTGATTCTTCACTTTCTGGATGTTTCTGAGGGGCTTCTATTAAACGCTGATTGGACAAAGTGTTTCCAAGAGTTTTCTGGACCCATATGGACTTTTCTAAGGAATATTTTTAAATTTTCCAAAAGAAATGATGCCAACTCAGTGGGTTTTATAATGATCAAGCCTTCATCACGAAATCGGAAAATTTTTGGTCCCATCCTTAACGAAGTGCACACTGCCGATGAGTTACACACTAGGATATAAAATTTATCCAGTGCTCTATATTTTTTGATGATACTTCAAATTGAGTTCGATCTGTCTTCGAAGCATTGCTCGTATATCCTGGAACTACAGAGTAAGTAATTCAGTTGTTAGGAAACGGGTACTAGGTAAGGATAGCAAATCAATCGATGAAGTAGTGAAACTTCATCAGTTGAGATGGCTGGGACACGCGTTTCGTATGCTCAACCACCGACTGCCCCGATGTGCGATATTTCATGATGTAGGAGTAGGTTGGAAGAAAGATAGGGGCGGTCAGACCAAAACATGGCACAAATCCATGAAGTCATTGACAAGTGGACTGAGTCATATTGGTAGGCGTAGACTACCTGGTTGGGATCCACGAGACGATAGCAACCGATGGTTAGAGACCTTGAATGGCATGGCTCAAGATTGTTTGCAATGGCGCAGGTGCATTCACTCTTTGTGTTCTCCCAAATTCTAATCTTCTGAATTCTTCATGTCCCGTATTTTTACTCTTTCTAAATTTATTTCACTGGGTTATACTCCTTGAATAACATCTTCAAACCCCAATGTTTCTGATTACTGCTCATACTGTCACTACCTCTACCATTATGGGATTTGAATCGACAACTGCATCTCTGTGCTAATGTGTTATGGCAGCATGAACTGATACATATACGTAGGAAGTCCTACGTTGTCACTAACCGACTGACTGACTGTGATAAATGCAATCCACAGATAATAATAATAATAATAATAATAATAATAATAATAATAATAATAATAATAATAATGGCCGTTATACATAATTGAACTTACAATATGGCAATGTTGGATGCGAAGTTAAACTATAAACAGCGGGCAAAGTTCGTTTTAATATCTGTGCCAACAGACAAAAGGAAAAAAAATCATATTAAGTAGTAATAATAGTAGTGTATTACGAAGTAAAAAAAACACAACGACAACGATTCTATTAGACAGCGCTAAAACAACATCTAATAAACAACAACCACACATTGAATAATACATGAAAGTATGTTGATGATAATTGATGCATTTTCACTGTACACCATTACTAAAATCATTTTTAAACTTAATAAAAGAAAACAACGTTGATGACAAACAATTGAATATGTGACAGTAATGTTAAAAGTATACGCTACATTGATGACTTTGGGTGACTTATCAACCAATCAGAAAACGCTGTCCAATTACAACTCAATCACATAACGGTGGAATAAACGTTTTGATTATAATAGTTAACTCTCACAAGTCAAATTGTTATTCTTTTTGTAGTAAAGGAGGAAAGTCAAGTTTACATATTAGGAGTTAGGGTTACCATCCCTATAGAATATTTGTCACTAACTGACATCAGTTATAATACAAAAAGGTTAAGGTTTAGGTATTAACAGTTAAACTGAAGTTTTCACAGTTGAGTTTACCAATTTAGGTCAGGGTTTTTAACACGAACTGATATCAGTTATCATGCAATAAGTTGTTACCTTCCTGTTTAATTAGTGTTGAGATTTAGAGTAAGAGTAAGAAAGGGAGGACATTATTTAGCTTCACTAAACACTTTTGATTACTCTGTAGTGACCTACTTTTATAAAGAGAACGCGATGGGTTCAATGGAAACAATCATTGTTATAACCAATTGTACCAGTGATTGTTTTACTGTGCTCGTTTGTTTAACTGTTTTAAAGACAGCCATATTACTACTCCGTTACTTTCCTGTGGATTGTGACCTTGTCCTCTCGCCCACTAATTCCGCTTGTATTCCTTTTGGCACGATCTCGGTATTCGCTCGATACCACGAGATCGCCAACGAAATAAATCTGGTTACGCTCCATTTTTGCCTTCTGATTTCTCTGGTACGCGCTTTCTTGTAGTGGTGTTCATAGTCAATCGAGACTCGACTCCACGCAACAACTGGTGAGCCAAATCTTGGAACACGTCTCAACCTCTGGTCAAACATTCCAAAGAAGTCAACTCGGTGAGTCTATCGTTTATCTATCCACGTCTGTCGTATATTTTCATATTAATATTTCTCAATATATAATATACTCGATATGACGGATAGCGACAAGAATAGTATTAATGTCATAGACTCAGACGTACAGGCCATCCAATTTTGACCTTTCTCATTTATTCCCCACGACCCAGAGGTCTGATTTGCCGCATTAGAGTCTCAATTCGAGACCCGCCGCATCACGAGCCAAAGGCAAAAGTATGCCTACGCCCTCGAATCATTACCCGGGGACCATATAGTGGCTGTCCGCGAGGTTTTCCTCAATTCCAATGTACCTAACGCCTATGATCGCCTCAAAGAGGCAATCCTCAGACATTTCCTCCCATTGAGGGAGGAACGACTGAGGACATTATTAGTACGTCACCCTCTGGGTGATGCTAAACCAAGCCACCACCTCACGCGCCTGCAATCTCTTGCAGGACCCACGGCAGCTGACTCCGAAATTGTCAAAGAATTGTGGCTCGAGTCATTACCAGCACACATCCAACCTACAGTGACGGCCCTGCTCCAGGACGCACCACTTAATCAGGTAGCCCTCATAGCAGACAAAATTTTGCCGAGGACTAGTAACCGAGACAACTATATAGTTGCCGCGACGGCACGTCCGAATGCAAACATGGACGCCGATCACTCCTCGGCTCAAGGCGATAGGGACGGGTGTATTCACACACGTCTTAGTTTTCGAGATCCCCTTGAGCCGAGGAGTGATCGGCGTCCATGTTTGCATTCGGACGTGCCGTCGCGGCAACTATATAGTTGTCTCGGTTACTAGTCCTCGGCAAAATTTTGTCTGCTATGAGGGCTACCTGATTAAGTGGTGCGTCCTGGAGCAGGGCCGTCACTGTAGGTTGGATGTGTGCTGGTAATGACTCGAGCCACAATTCTTTGACAATTTCGGAGTCAGCTGCCGTGGGTCCTGCAAGAGATTGCAGGCGCGTGAGGTGGTGGCTTGGTTTAGCATCACCCAGAGGGTGACGTGCTAATAATGTCCTCAGTCGTTCCTCCCTCAATGGGAGGAAATGTCTGAGGATTGCCTCTTTGAGGCGATCATAGGCGTTAGGTACATTGGAATTGAGGAAAACCTCGCGGACAGCCACTATATGGTCCCCGGGTAATGATTCGAGGGCGTAGGCATACTTTTGCCTTTGGCTCGTGATGCGGCGGGTCTCGAATTGAGACTCTAATGCGGCAAATCAGACCTCTGGGTCGTGGGGAATAAATGAGAAAGGTCAAAATTGGATGGCCTGTACGTCTGAGTCTATGACATTAATACTATTCTTGTCGCTATCCGTCATATCGAGTATATTATATATTGAGAAATATTAATATGAAAATATACGACAGACGTGGATAGATAAACGATAGACTCACCGAGTTGACTTCTTTGGAATGTTTGACCAGAGGTTGAGACGTGTTCCAAGATTTGGCTCACCAGTTGTTGCGTGGAGTCGAGTCTCGATTGACTATGAACACCACTACAAGAAAGCGCGTACCAGAGAAATCAGAAGGCGAAGATGGAGCGTAACCAGATTTATTAGTACTTAGTCACATAATCTGTCTTAAGAGTATTAGCTCAAGTACCATGTAAAATTCACTTTTCGATTGCGCAATAGATAGTTTCATTGATTCTAAACATTTTAAGAACCTAATCTTGTCAATTTTGACTTTTTCAGTAAAAACATACACATTATCTATCACTGAGAATACATGAGGTGTTATCTTGATTATGACTGGTCAACTAAAGACAGTCAATATTCTATACTTTTACCGACAGTAATTATCTAATACATGGTTTATTAGAATTACAGAAAGACAAATAGTATAATAAAAACAAAATCAAACTAAAAAAACAACACTCTAATTGATTACTCACAACAAAGAGACGTAACCAGTTTTGTACATGCATAGGATAACAGATACATATATGAGTGCATACCCTTTAAAAAAGGGATTTAATTAATAAATAAAAATGATATACCGTGCTAGTTAAACGTCTGCTACGTTCCAATGCATGTTTAGATAGATTGACCAAATTTGCATGTAGGGGATGTAGGTTTATACTACGAAACTGTACATACACACATATATATGTACATACGTATCAAGATGAAAGTATTTGAAGAAATAATGAAAAGAGATTGCAAAAAAGAACAATATCTGTATATTTCATAAGCAAGATGAATTGTGGTTAGTAGTGAAATTAAGTACGTGTATTTTGTCCGATTCGAAACTTATTTCATACACATAGTTCCTTTTATTATCTTAAACAGAGCAAGAACGAAGATTGGTGCAGAATTGGTGGTCAAAGGTAAACAACTAGTGTCCCTCGACGGACTTGATCCCTTATCATTTAGTTCTACGTTGAGAGACGTTGCCAATATACTGCATCAATTTTCGTTCTTGCTCTTTTCAAAACTTATTATTTGAATGTACACCTCTGTATAACCCCCCGGGGCCCCTCTGAGGCTACTGCCGGTCCCAAGCTCGGATAAAGGAGAAGGGTTGGGCATGGGGTTAGCGACCCCCAAAAACGCTAACCAGAAAAAAATTACACCTCTGTATGTATCCTAGTCTTTAGATGCACATTGGGAAACAAAACCCAGTACCATTTTTGGGATATTCAGAAAAATATCCCAAAAATTATTCTGTTAAGTCTAACGCTATCCTTGGACTTGAGATGGTATCATTTTCCTATTGGTCAAGATTTATTTCACGTATCATTTTCCTACTGTTCAATACTTATTTCACGTGTCATTTTCCTGTTGGCCAAATATTGTGCAAATGTTGTTTTCTATTTTATGGTACGATGTGGTCTGCTTGATTGGTATATAAACAGAGTATGTTTGAAATATAACGATTCATATCTCAGAGGCTGAGACTTGCGTTCTGGACTAAACTGGCTGGGCTAGACAGGAAAGCAGGACCAATCAGGACTCTAGGTTGTCCTCATGTGTTTTACGCGTCTTTGGTCCGATCGATAATTCGCTGCCGTCTAATCTGCAGTCACAAGTTATAACAACCATGAGTTCTTAACGTCAATGAGTTAAAAATTTAAGGTAAACAATAACTTGTTTAAGCGGTATGATGTTTATATCATTATTAGTAGAGGTTTGAACCTTTCAGGTTATTGATATTAAAGACTGAGTTTTAATCAGTCTTCGTTGGAATATGTGCATATTGTTTACATATAGCTAACTCGTTATAAGTCTATCAAAATAGTTGGGTTGAACAGACAGTAGAATCCCGGATGTGTTTCGTCTTGTCTGAGGTTCATCAACTGGATGTAAAACTAGATGGTAATGTTGATGTGTTGTAGTGGGAATTAAATCCATTACCTTCAAAAAAGATTGATACATCGAACAAATCAGAAGTGATTTCAATAAAAACTAATAAGTAAGATTGAAGTTATTCTGATAAACTATTCATGGTGACTGGCTGAAACTTTTAACTCATCTCAATTATTATTCAACTTGTAATAATTACATTATATTTTTGAAATAACATTCAACTTCTTCGGAATACTAGTAGATGCTTAATTATCTAGGTCAAGCAATAAACGATTCTATTGTGTATACGATTGACTCGTCCCGTATTGGGTATTTAAACGGTGAAATTATAATTAATAGACGGCCTGGCTCTTCTGTCGCACACGCAACAACAAATGCAGGAGAAGAGGACCAGTGTAGCAGCAGCCTCAGCATTAGTAGGTCTCAACATACACAAACGGAAAAGCAAGATTCTCCGATACAACACAGCATACACCAATCGAAACACACTTGACGGAGAAGCTTCGGAAGGTGTAAAAACCTTTACACATCTGGGCAGCATCATTGATAAATACGGTGGATCTGATGCAGATGTGAAGGCACAGACCGGCAAAGCAGAGGCAGCAATTGGAACTACAATCTGGAACTAAAAACAACGTTCTGTCAACTAACACCAAATTCAGAATTTTCAATACAAATGTCAAGACAGTTCTACTGTATGGAGTGGGAACTCGGAGAAGTACGAAAGCCACCATCCATAAAATACAAGTGTTTATTAACAGTTGTCGACGCAAAATACCTGGGATCCGTCGGCCAGATACTATCAACTGCAACCTACTATAGGATAGAACAAACCAGATCTCAGCGGAGGAAGAGATCAGGAAGAAGCGCTGGAAGTGGATAGGACACACGCTGAGCAAAGCACCCAATGGTGTCATAAGACACTGCCAAATGAGAAGAGGAAGAACAAAGAACACATCACACCGAGAAACGGAGACCGATATGAGAAGAATGAACAACAATTGGATATAAATAGAAAAGAAGGCCCATGACAGAGTGGGTTTGAGAATGCTGGTCGGCAGCCTATGCTCGATTGGGAGTAACAGACGTGAGTAAGTAAGACGACTGTAGCAACGCCAAAGTAACCTTGAGAAAATTCACCTAACTACTAGGGTTTAAAAAGGATTATAAATTGGTGTGAGAAATCAGAATCTGGATTTAGAGTTAGAAGTTAGGCTTAGGAATTAAAGTCAGAGTTATCATCACGAATTGACATCAGCTACAATGCCAAAATGACTATTTGGCCATATGGATGAATGAATTTCACGTTAAAATCCACGACTCGCTATCTCATTATTTCGTCCATAAATTATAATCACGCCTAAGCAACTATCAACCAATCTATGACAAGTTAACATAACTCGAAAAAAAGTAATATCTTTGATTAGTACACATATGGATCAATAATCTATCCATTACAAAGGATAAGAAAGTATATATGATACATCAGATATCCTTCTGGAAACCTCAACCAATCTCACTGTCTACTTTTATTTTTAATGTTACTTTAACTTACAAATTACACACGTTAACCGCCTAATGTACCCAAATGCCCTGGTACGGCTGAGGGCGAGGAGAGCCCTATCTCCCTCTCGAAATGCTCTCACACGGTCACGTGCATACAGCCACTGTCAGGGAAATCCTGCTCACTACCTTCTCGTGGCATTACTGTTGTTTACGAAATTGAGAGGACGAAAAGTGCAGCGTTCAGGCTTGAATTAGTGGATCATCAAAGCCTTAGAAGTACATAAGCTTTTTTATTCGACCTACCTTTGATTGAGTAGATTGATTTGAAGGAAGACTCATTTGGAGCGATGTGTTCAGAGTTGATTAAATGCTCCAGTATTAAACTGGTAACTATTTTACATTCTCCTTTTAAAAGCCAAGCATTTGTAAAGTGATTGCTCTGTGCAGCCAACGTAACCTGCTACACAGGAGCAAGTAAATTTATAAAAGCATATTGATATGACCCAAAGAGGGAGTTTATCCTTAGCATATCCATGAATGGTAGGTCCACTTGAGAGAACAATACGAAGTTTAGCTGAATAAAAGATTTTATTCAGGAATACGTCCAACCTCTCAACCTTCCTTGGCCCTAATTCCCTTCTGTAGTATGCTTTGGTCTCGTTTTGTTTTTATTGTTACTTTGTAATCAGTTACTAGCATAACCTTTATAACCCATGAATTGTTTTCATCCACTTAATCTTCTCTAACCCATTGATTATTATGCAATCTCCTTTTAATATTTGAACTTACGAATCATTTCATGATGCAATCTTTTCTTTCTTTCTATAGACATATATACTTACCAAACAACTATAAATACGAATGTACAACTTATGTAAAATGATTTCGTCGAGAAGAAAATTTTCTTCACTGAATCATGAGGCGGGGTCGTGGATGCACACTTTTGAGGAGTCCCACGATAGGACGAAACAGCCGTCTAGTGCTTCCAGGTTTTCCATGGTAGTCTAGCTTCGATTGGCTGATGATCTCAACTACTGAATTCTTTTTAGTTTAATTTTGAAGATAATTAACGCTGAATTCAATCGATATCCTCCCAATGGTTGGTGTATTTTCTTCTACGTGTAATTCTCTAGTGAATGAAGTAGACGTTTTAGAAACACGAAGAAGTCTGTTTGGATTTCCCTTATGTCGGTTACTTTTTTGAAAATCTTTATGTCACATTTTAGAATCCACAAATTATGGTCTCCATTCTCTAGTGTTAGCAATTAAATAACGGTAAGTCTTTACTTTGCTTTAGATAAGGTACATGCTGTCCACTATCCTGTTCTAAAAATTCGACAGTCAGTATCTTAAATTTAATTGATCCATTAGTAAAATATAATTTTGGTTAAATAATTTAAACGATATCATGGGTATTGAATAATTCGGTAGATGTAATAGCTTGACGGCATAGTGTGTGTGTGTGTGGTTAGTGGTATGGTGTGTTTGAAGCCAGGGGGAAATGAGTTCGAATATGAGTCAGTTATTTATACGCAACCTAACTCATTCTGTGTCGGTTCAAATTGCCATATCACATTAGCACAGAGAGATGAATTTATTTCAGGATAAGTCCCCGAGAAGCATCAACAGTATCGACTAGTAATGTTCGAGTAAGGAGCCTTCATAAGGTTTATGTACTTCTGAGGTACGTCTTTCAATGACAGACACTGCCACGGAATCTCGCGGTCTACGGAGTCAAATGCTGCTTTTAAGTCAAGAAAGACCACCATTATCGGACGTCGATAAGTATGCTTGTGTTTTAGAACCTGACGAATGGTGAATATGTGGTCGATGCAGCCACGACCAGGTCTGAAGCCAGCTTGATTCTCTCGCGTTTGCAGTTCACGAGTCTTAGTTAGGCATCCGATAATTATCGAGGCTAGTATTTTGGATACTATATTAGTTAAAATAATCCCTCTGTGGTTGTCACAGGATGATTTTGACCCTTTCTTATATATTGGGACGATAAGTGATTGTGACCAGTCAGATTGAATAACGTCTAATTCCCAGATCTTAGCTAAAATATTAGTCAACCTAATCGCTAAAATTGGACCACCATCCTTAAAGACCTCTGGAGCCAATCCATCTGGAACAGCCGCCCTTCTCCGTTTCAGATTAACTATAGCCTTTTGAACTTCAGCTAGAGTTGGGGGTACATAAGGTGATTTCAGGGCTCATGTTCTAAGGGAAGATAAAAAAAATCAAAGCATCTGTGCCACTGAGGACGATTTTGAGTCATGTCATTCAAAGTCCTTAACCATTGGGTACGATAATCACGAGTATGTGAGTGGGTAACATTTACGCTGGGACAACTCATAAAGACGTATAAAATAAAAGATGTATCCTGGATTCAATTGTTAATCCTTGTTTACAAAAGCATTTAACAACCGAACTAAACTGCGTAATTTTAAAATGATAGAGATTTACAGCTCAGGCAAAAGTTTTGGTGGTATTTGGTTCTCCGAGCTAAATGACTGGATTGTGAAAATCTTATTATCGTTTCGAACTTTATGTACAAGTGAGCTTTTCAGCTGTTTCATTCAGATCAACTAAGAATCAACGAGCTTGTTGACATACACCAAATCTGTAAACTCAAATGGAAAAAGTCAACCAATCATATGGCCAGAGATAATCAATATGAATAGAAGAACAAATGAAGAAAACCAATTACAAACAAGACCATCGGAGCAAACTGATATTATACTTCCTGAATAACTAGAAAGTTCGCTTCTAAATGAAGTAGGAACTGACAAAGTTATTTAGAATGACAATGATAGCACCGTAGTTAGATTATCTAGCTCAGAAAACGCAACACCGAAATATTGCATCATAATAATTACAAACGTACCACATGTGTACCGCTAGGATTACTATCACCAGTAGATAGGGATGTGACTGTTGAAGATGTTATATTGATGTTGTAGTCTCCGATTGATGATCATTACTACCAACTTTTGTTGGATTTGTGTCACATACAATAAAATCATCAGTCCCGCCTTCAGGGTGTCGACGTAATTGGGGTCTGAAAAATAATGATAACAGAATTAGGAACAACAAATAATGTAATCACTTCAGTCTAATCGGTATATATGTGATTTCTAGATGAAGATAGGGGGTTTATAGAGATCTTTTAGATGATAATCATACTACATCGCAGATTGATTGAAGTTAGAAATGTATACCACTAGACACTAACCCTTAGTGGTTCTATTGCTTAGGCATTCATCGTAAGACTAAAGAATCTTGGATTAGACCGAGCCCACCGACTGCATATTCCAGTTTGGATCAGTTCAACAATCTTCCATGTGTATATGAGCGAGAATTGTGTACATCATCATTCGGCTACAAACATTTATTTATTTGAACACATAAATATCGGAACAAAGGGGCACCAAATACATATGCGCCACACAAATCTCATTCGATATGTGTGGGGGCTATGATACTGTCCGGGTGCCCAAACCGAAACAGGTGGTTTTCATAGGGTGCCACATCCGGAGCCTTCGACCTAAAGGTCTAATCCACAAAGCAGTGGATCAATGTCAGGAGATGCAGTCCCATGGTAGTCGGTGACCGATGATTGGTTCATACGCCATTTGTTCCTTTAGGATACTGGAGCCCATGTGCACCATTGGTTTGAAATCAGGGTTTTCCAACTCCCCTAGGTGGACCCTCCATATCCACCAACCTGGTTATAGCACGGGACATTCGCTCTTCGTCCTCTCAATTTCGTAAACAACAGTAATGCCACGAGAAGGCAGTGAGTAGGACTTCCCTGACATTAGTTGTATGCACGTGGCCATGTGAGAGCATTACGAGAGAGGGAACGGACTCTCACCACTCTCAGCCGTACTAGGGCATTTTGGGGCCGGCTACAAACAGCATAGCTTCCAATGCATTTTCAGTCTTATTTTACACAGCTAGTTGAGGAATCATCTGGAAAGCATGCATGTTTAACTAGACTACACCGTAGAAAACAAAATTTTCTAAACTTTTAATTGATGTAAATTATACTTACTTGCGCATTAATTCCAAATCGTATTCAACTTCATCAGCATACCATGATGGTAAATGAACAAGATTTTCAATATCTAACTCGATAATCTCTTTCGGTGTAGCGATTGCAATTGCATTGTAATTAACCTGTGACAAAACAAGGAATAATGTCATTATAACATATGATAAAGTGTTGAATACTTAGATCGATAATAAAACTGATCTCTGCTTTAATCTATATACTTGAATAGAGTATGGATCTGTGTCATTTTGGAAGGTTCTAAATGATATCACTGAAAGTCTTCATCTGTTATTCATAATAATGGCATGAACTTGAATTAGATAGTTTGTAGATATCAACAAGGCTCAATTAAATAGACAATAACTTCACAGACTGATTCCATGTCTTGTTTAGGTCGCTTTATCTTTCTTTCAACTTACCTCTGCATTAGCTAACATCATACAGAGTGGTATGTAAAAATACATCAGAAAAATTTACATTTCTAATAAAAAGGAAATAGGAAATTCAGTGAAACGAAATGAACTCGTCAATCATAATATAATTATTAGTTAACGTATTTATTTTCAGTGAATACAGCAAACATCTACAGTATTTTTGATTCACTATTTATATTAATTAAAAACACTATTTCTTAAGGTTGGACAACGACTGACGGGAAGTCCTATTCACTACCTTCTCACGACAGGGGTGTTTACGAAATTGAGAGGACGAAAAACAAATATCCGGTGCTTTAATCAGGTTGGTGGATATGGAGGATCCACCTAGAGAAGTTGGAAAACCCTGATTCCAAACCAATGGTGCACATGAGCTCCAGTATCCTAAAGGAACAAATGGCGTATTAACCAATCGTTGGTCACCGACTACCATGGGACTGAATCTCCTGACATTGATCCACTGCCTTGTGGATTAGTCGTGCAGGTCAAAGACTCGGAGTGTGACCCCCTAATAAAGCCACCAGCTTCAGTTTGGGCACCCGGACAGTATTCCGGCCCTCATGTAAATAGAATGGTTTATGTGGCATATATGTATTTGGTGCCTCCTTGTACCAATGTTATGTGCTTAAATAATAATAATAAGGTTGGACAGTATATAGTAGTGAAGTCTAAGATGTGCGTTTCATCCTATTTAGGACTTACTAATAAGATGTAACTCCATAACCCCATACTGAGATATGAACTCAGTACTTTTCGCCTAAAACAACAACAGTTTATCCACTAAACTATTGAATTCAGATAGCTACTATTTTTGAACTCAATCACACAGTTGTATATGTAAGAGTTTGTTAATATTAAAGTCTGAACAATCGCTACCGGGGTACTGAATTCCACTGCGACCCACTAGCCAACATGGTAATGTGTACCTATATGGCATTACAGACTGATCAATCGTAGTCCTGAAATATTGACAGTGAGAAAATCAAAATCCTTAGAAACTAAAAACATTTGATTTGTTAGTGTAATCAGTAGGTACTAAAAAAAAGAATTCCTTAAATTAGACACCAATAGCAATCAATCTATTAGAGAATTAATAAAAATCACAGTAACCTATTCATTGCATAATAATAATAAGTGAATAAATGGATAATTCAATGTGACGAATTAATTAGTAGTCTTAAGTCAGGTGAATAATAAATATATTTTAGTCATATCCCAATAAGTAGGAAATTGTGTTTCTAACGTTTCGTGACTTAATGTAAGCCACTTCTTCAGGGTTTCAGAGAAATTTTTTGGCATACTCTTTTTGCATAACATAAATGATATATAACCATAGCGAAGTTAAAAACATATACAATGAAGGATATAGAATATATATATAACTAAGAACAGAGCAAAAAACACCCGAATAAGTTAAATAACAAAGCATTTCTTTTTTTGGACTACAGCGATTAGCACACCAAAAACCAAGAAGATGAAAAGCATAGATATCAGAGCCTCCTTCTTTCTCTATTCCCTTTTAGTTTTATTTATTTCAGAGAAACAAACTAAGCAACCAATTAACATTCAAGCTAGCTTACCACAACTGCCTTGATGCGAAAAAAGAAACATGTATAAACACTTCAGTTTTTTCTAATAATTGAGAGAAAAAATATACATATAATAACAAATTCATCTTTTCACAGTTAAAATCACGAGTTGATCTAAGCTAGACCATTAATGAAAACGTGGAAGCACTGGATACTCGTTTCATCCTCCTCAACAATGAGTATCCACGGTTGCAAACGCGAATGCTTAACGTCTAAACCGCTGAGTCGGCATCCATCGGTGTTACTATTTAACTTCCATCAATCCATGGTCTTGAGCAAACCGTCATCCATTACTTGAGATGAATATTTGTCTCACATCCGACAAGGATTGGACTTCGTTGATCACGGCTTCTCATTAGAACTCCAGAAGTAACATCTTGAAGCCTGTCATCTTTTCAAATTCACGACAAATTCTCCATCATAACCACGTTGAGAATAATTCTCTTAATGCCTATTATATTCAAGTGGCATTATGATTATCTCTATTAACGAGACGAAATTTTTTTATATCCAAGTGAAGATTTAGTTACGAGTAACGTCTGTAAACTATTAATAGACCGAATAGTTATTCAGTAACTAGATTATGTATATTCATATTCCTTCTATTTTAAGCTTTATTTTAACTTAAAGACTATTATTATATGACTTACTGTTCTTAAGTTATGTCAAGTTTATTAATTATTGTCTCCCACGTTTACAGCCATTTTTTGGCTTGATCATCTACAAATGTTATTTCTTATTTTATAGTATGATGCGGCCTGTTTGACTGGTGTATAAACCAAGTGTGTTTAAAAGTGGAAACTGTTATTGGCGTTCTGGACTCAATTGGGCGGGTTAGGCGAACAAAGGACTAATGAGGACGCTGGGCCTATACCGGGTCGAACGTCATTGGCTTGGCACAGTATTAAGATTGTGTAAGTGGTACATCGATTGACGAATCACGTGATAATTAACTGGATTTATGATACAACAAAATCCTCCTACTACGCAATTTATTCACATGATTTATTTTGATAAGGATTGATTTTAGGACCTAGTCGGAATCAATTTTCTTTCGCCTTCATCTTAGAAGGCATTTGTTTTAGTTAAGGATGATTAGTTTTCGCAGTAGTGTATATTCATGATTGGACCAACTGTATGATTATGTAATCGAATTGATTTTTTCGGCTTTATAATCTTTTTCTACTCTTCTATTTGTTTTTCAGAAAAAATCATTTTGGATATGTAGTTTGTTTGCAAAAATTATTTTCAAGTTTTGTCACCTTAGATCATGGGATATCGGCTCCACCATAGTGATTAACATATTCAGATTGTCCCCAAATGCCCTGGTACGGCCGAGAGTGGGGAGAGTCCGCTCTTCCCCTCCAAATGCTCTCACATGACCACGCGTATACAGCTACTGCCAGGGAAGTCCTACTCATTTCCTTCTCGCACCACAGGTGTTGTTTACGAAACTGAGATGACAAAAAGCGAATGTCCGGAGAGTCCATCTAGGGGAGTTGGAAAACCCTGATTCTAAACTAATGGTGCACATTGGCTCCAGTATCTTGAGGGGACAAATGGCACATGAACCAATCGTTGGTTACCGGCTACCATAGGACTGCATCTCCTTACACTGCTCCATTGCCTTGTGGATCAAACCTTCAGGTCGAAGGCTCGAGGTATGACCCCCTAAGAAAACCACCTGCTTCGGTTTGGGTACCCGGACAGTATCACAGCCCTCACACAAATCAAATGAGATTTGTGTGGAGTATGTGTATTTGGTACCTTCCTGTACCAATATCTGTGTTAAAATAAATAATATCTAAATAAATTCAGATTTCTAGCCAACGTTATTTGTACAAGATAATAAGAGTTTGTAGTTTCTTATTGTTGATATTCAAGACAGAAAATTGTTAGTCTCTGTTGACGTATGTCCATCTTAAACAGATTGCTTCAATATAGCGTTACAATATGAAGAATATTCGATTTCTTGCTAGCAGTAAATTACAGGATATACGTTGTACTTCGGGCTCATCATACAGATGGGTCTACATTCTAGTATAGATATGAACATCGAGACTCGATCCTAGCAACTTACATTTCATATGTCGTATTGTCCACTGGGAGCTACTATATATATATATATATATATATATATATATATATATATATATATATATATATATATATATATATATATATATATAGGATTGATTATTGAATTAATACACACAAACACATATATGAAGTATATATAATGTGATTGATCTTGTACTGTACTATATCTTAAAAGCTTATGCTATTATGTCACTAAGAATGCAGCGGAACCATTTCGACTTAGGACATTTGCAAATAGACATAAATCGTGTGTTATTAATTATCTAATCAATCAAATGATGTGATCTAAATACTACGAACCTCAAAGACAACGATAATGATGATTAAGTCGTATTAAATCACAAACCGATTTTAGTTAAATAACCATTGAAAACTTGGGACTCCTAATTATCAGTGCGCATACACGACAACGCAAAAGGTTATCGAATCCATGATCTTCGGCTCGCACAATAATGTTTAGCCTCTAGACCACTAACCTGGGATCCAAAAGTGTCAATATTTAATTCCAAATTACGATATTGCACAGCGCTGACCTATTTTGTCCGCAGTGAATAGCTGTTTCAGACACAACATGGTTGAACTCCACTGGTCATAACTTCTCAATAGAACTCCAGGATTTGTATCTTGAATACAACCAAGTTGGGTGTGAGACAGCTATCCACTGCAAGCAATTGATTAGGTCTTGGCAATATCGTGAATTAATTGAAATAAGACATTAAGACTATTCGATCCCGTGAGCAGGTCTTGTGTTCGATTCACGGCTGCCGAGCTGCTAGTGCACACTGCTGGTAGGTTCTACAATAGAACGGTCGTCCAGCGCTTCTACGTTTCTAATGTTAATCTAACTAAGATCAATGATCATGACTTAAACTTCAAAGGTTCCAAAATCTCTCTATGACTAATAAAATTTTTCGGTACAATAGAAAAAATGAAAAAGATCTCAACTGGATGCTTTCGCTATCGTCCAGTAGTTGTTTGAATCGACTGATTCAATAGTGATGTTTTCACTAATTATTTTAGGTAAATATAATCAATGTTGCTTACTATTGTATCCAGAAGAAATAAGAGTGCAACATTTTACAATGACAATTATTGATATAACATTGATCACAATTAAGCGATTCACCAATTATAAGTATCTCAGTCCTATAGGAGGTCAGTAGCACCCCGAAAATCTCATTGGGAACACTATAGACAATGGAGTTAGGTGACGCGGGTTTCGTTCCCACAGAGGGCATTAGTTTGCCCGACGTTACAGGTACACCTAATATCCAGTTTTCTATCGACTAAGGCCAACTGCTTAACATAGTTTACGAAATCGAGAGGACGAAAAGCGAAGTCCCAACGCTTTAATCGAGTTGGCATATATCAAGAATCCACATAGAGGTGGTTGGAAAGCCCCTATTTCGAACTACTGGTGCTCATGGCCTCCAAGATCCTGAGGGAACAAATGGTATATGAACCTACTATTAGTCACCGGCTTCCATAGGACCACATCTATTAACGGTATCCCATTGCTTAGTGTATTAGATCTGTCAGTTAAAAGCTTGAGGATTGGCCCCCTAAAGAAACCACCTGCTTCGGTTTGAAGCCCGGACAGTATCCGAGACCACACACAAATTGAATGATAACCTGTATGGTGTTTATATTTTTTGATACCCTTCTGTACCACTGCTTACGTGTCACAGCAAATAAATAGACAACCAATGGTCTTAAAATAAAAGATTAACTACGATGTTTAAAGAGATTTCTTGAGTTCGATTCCCGACAAACGGTCCCAGAACAAATACAAAATTGATAATGACCATAATCCACAAAAACGTGTTTTCAATCATACAAACACTGACAATTTTACCTATCTAAAATATACTGCTTATAAGTAGGTTGAGTATTCTATTCAATTTATTGAAAAACCAACGATCTATCCTCGTTAATTGAAACAAACATAACCATAAAAGAAAACTATTTCTAACAACAAATATTTCATGAAATTTACCTGATTAATGCACATAGCTATAAGTGGATCATGTTCTTTATGAATAAGACGAACAGCATCATTAAACAGTAGAGATCCTGAAATAGTTTGATTTGAAGATTGGGTCTGTTGTTGTTGTTGTTGTATTCTTGTTTGCTTCCCTGACGATTTTTGAATATCAGTCTAAAACGAGACCAAGAACATTCAATAGGAATTATAATACATATGCATAAAATATGAAAGATGTTCGCTATATAATCATTTTATATCCAACACAACTAACTACAATTGATTGACATTTGAACGAAAACGGAGATTGTATTGGCCTAATTTAACATCTAATCAGTTTAACACTTATATGTGATACAGCCATACAGGTGTCAGCAGACAGAATAAGTTTGTGGCTGTGTCTTAAGTGAATGACTTTCCATAATTCGATTGTCTGTTAGATTATGCTCACATGAATTTATTTCGAGTTCTACAGTCGAATAAATATTTCAAGGGGAAATACAGCATCTTTACCTTGAAGTCGAATACAACAACCTAGAGAGAGACGAATTAGTTTATCATAGTAAAGACTCCAAGAAAAATGTATTTGGAAAAGTAAACTCGCACAAATTCAATACCATGAAACGCTAATAAATGCTTAAGGTGGAGGTAGCTTACATAAGCACGATGTGAACTTGAAGCTTAAGCAGTACGCCAATTAAACTATACATTAATAGAATTTGGTCTACATTAGGAGCTAAACAAATACTACGTTGGATACTACTTAATGATTTTATTTATATAAGAGGCTAGTCATGGACTGGAGAGTTCAGTGAGAAAGTTCTAGACTGTGAAGCTGAGTGATACAAGTACAAATCTCACACGGAACATTAGACGTCTCAAGGGCATCAACTAGCACGAAACCCATATCAAGTAAGATTTCCGGCCGAATATCTCCAACCACCTTACAACTAACTAAAACTAAGAATATCAACAATATTTTAATAAACTCAACAGGAACAGTAGATTTTCTTACCAATGCAGCAGAGGAAAAATTTTTCAGATTAGACGATGATGCAGAATTTATCAAACCAGGTAGATTGTTAAGTTCCGATGATCCCAAAGCAACTGATGATGATGATAACGAAGGTGATGGTGATAATGTTAATTTAATATTCGGTGTAATAACGGACTGTATAAGACATGGTTTACGAAATATATGACGTAAAAATATATCATCTACTCCAGGTTGTCGAACTAAGTAACACCATAAACGTTTGACAGGTAATGAGAATGGATCACGTGTTCTATAGAAAGTAGAAGCGGAGAGTTGATAAATAAAGAGATCCTGTACCAATGCTGATATGTTAAAATTTAGAAGTAGATGTCCATATATGAGTTAACGAATCAACCGTGACATAAGAACACACTGAAAACCAGAGATTAATGAAGAGGTGTATCATTCTTAATGTTTGGGACCCATTATTGATGATTCATGGTCACGCAACGTCATGAATTAATTGAAGATAGACATTAACACCATCGGATCCCGGCTTAGTAGCCCAGAGACTAAGAGTTCGTGCACGAGACTGAAGGTCTTGGTCTCGATTCCCACATGTGGGATCACCGATGAGCACTGCCATTGGGGAGTCCAATACTGGAACAAAACGGCCAACTAGTGATCCCAGGTTCTCAATGGTTGTCTAACAAAGGTCAGTTCATGACTTCACTACAGATTAAAAAAAGGTGACTGAAAAACTTACTGAAATGGAGTATTTTTAAAATTTATTAACTTTTTCAAACGTAACATCGATCTTGTTGCTCCGGGTGAAGGAAAGTCCAATTTTGACACTTCAACACCAACTGTCAAATTGCTACCAGTTTTAATTGCAGCAGCCGTTTGTGTAATCGAAGAAGAGGAAGAAGATAAATCTTCTTGAATACCTGGTAGGAAATCTGTCGGTGGTAGAAGATGTTCATTAACAAATCCTTTATGCTGCAATTTTAAATGAATTGGATTCAATGCTGGTGGTGAAGTTAATTCTGAACGATAACCAACCAACCAACAATCAGCTAGACGTGTTAACGTCATTAAACCTGGTGCATGAACAGCCAAATCTATGTAAAACATAAAAGATTATATATTGACAGATTATGAAAAATATTGGTTTATAAGTTATAATATGATTGCTTCACTACTGGTGAAATACATATTCAGCTAAATTGTGTCGGATCTGAACAAAGTACCCATGAAAGACAATAGATGGCCGTGGAATATCATGGATTGACTGAAGTTATACACCATTGGATTCAGGATCAGTTGTCTAGAGGGTTCAGAGTCCACACAAAAGCGAAGATTCGGAGTTAGAATCTCAGTTTTGGGGTTCGGGATGTGCACTCTCGCTGAGTAGTTCAATACTAAGACGGCCATCCAGTGCTTGGGAATTTTCAACGTTTGTTTAATATGAATCAATTCGTGATCGCAATAAAACTCAACAATCCCAATAACGATAATTTCATTTTTTTGTTTATAGAGAGTGGATTAAATCAGTAACATACATCACTGAGGCTTTAATCGAATAAATCTTTGGTTACCACATCAAATTTACTTTTGAATGAAACATCATACAGGTGCTTTCCATACTATTTAAGACCAATTAAATGGATATATCTGCATCCTAATGTTGATATTCACGCTGAAACTTCCACAGCAAACGGTAATACTTTATTACATGGACTGAGAAGTTTCGATAGACAAATTATTAAATGGGTTTGAAGTTATAAGTATCTGTAATTTGCCGTTATTGATACTAAGAGCTGAAATTAATCAATCACTCTTGATATACATAGATATTGACCAGTTCGCATGTACCTAACTTTGTAGTTACAATTTTATTTCATTTGTATTGTGACTAACCGTGGAATGAAAAACACGCATTTAATCATGCCAATAGAAACTGATCATAGAAATCATGAACCGCAGATAACGAAAGGTGGTCGTGCAATGTCATAAAATGATTGAACTAAGACATTAACTCCATTAGATCCCGACTCAGTAGTCTAAAGACTAAGCGTTCGCACACGAGACTGAGGGCCATGGTTACGAGTCTCGCTTACAGAATCATGGATGCACACGTCCACTGACGAGTCTCATACAAGGATGAAATGGCTGTCTAGTGCTTCTGGGTTTTCACTGGTTGTCTAAAACTGATAGGTTCATGATATAAATGAAATTCAACAATTTATACGACCATATACTTACAAGAAACTGATCAATTTCATAAACCTTAACATTGACGAGTGAGAAACAGAAAAAAACAGATTAGATCTGTCAGAACACAACTACTAACATTAATAAAAAGGAAATCACCTTCTCCACTGAAATCAATAATTTGTATAAGTCTATTCAATTCTCGTTTAGCCAGTTGCATTAAACCCAAACGTATAAGTCTCCATGCATAACTATCACTGTAAGTCCATTGACGGTCATTTTCAAAAAATGCTAATTTACGATTTCCTAAAGCATCAACCGTCAGATTATAATCATCTTCTTCACCAACATCTTCATCCTCATCATCGTTATTGTCATCAGTTGGGTCACCACCAACAGTAGAATTAAATTCGGTAAAATCTTTTAAATTAGTATGTGTTGCTTGTCTTTTGTCAGATTTCATGTAGAAAATATTCAATGCTTCATAGAATTCCGATTCTAGTCGACTACCCCACCAGGTATCCATAAAATCTGGATTCAAATGTAAACGTCGTAAAATCCACTGTGGTTGTAAACTGGACAGATTTAATTTTGTAGGAGAGGATACTACTTTCCCAGAATCATCTTTCCCTTCAGTTAGTACGGCCTTTTTAACCCCATCATAATCTTGTAAATTATAGGGATGATCAGAATAACGTTGACCATCATCATTGTCATCATCTTCAACATCATTAACATCCAATTGTTTATTAGGATTCATATCAGCACCATCGCCATCACTTTGGTCATGATTATCATCGGTATGATTCATAAACTGTCCAGTTAAACGATAATGTAACGAATTTTTCAGACGGTGTCGTACAGTTTTACGTTGTTTTAAATTAGAACAATGTTTGATAAAGCGTTGTACTCGATTAATACGACGTTGTTGTTTTAATAAAGCTCCATGATATGTATCGTATTCATTCTTTGAAGATGGTTCACTAGCATCGGAATCGAAAATCTCACTGGGATCATCAATTAAGTCAGTTTGTTTTGGAGGCTACAAACCAGAAAAAAATGCTTATATACATCATAAAACGGATACTTATAGTTAGTCTATACGTACATATTTATTTAAACACATAAACATTGTCACAAGAGGGCATCAAATATATATGCACCACACTTCGGCATCCCATTAGTGTGAGAACTGGAATATTGCACGGGCGCCCAAACTGAAACAGCTGGTTTTCTTAGGGGGCCACACACCGAGGCTATGACCCAGAGGTCTAATCCACAAGACAGTGGAGCAACGTTAGGAGGTCCAGTCCCATGATAATCAGTGACGAACAGTAGGTTCGTACGCCTTTGTTCATTCAGGATCCTAGAGGTCATATGCACCATTGGTTTGGAATCAGGGTTTTCCATCTCCTTTAGGTGGATCCTCTATATCCACCACCAAGTTAAAGCGTCGGATATTCGCTTTTTGTTCTCCCACTTTTGTAAGCAACATCCCTTCCGTGAGAAGGCATTGAACAGTACCTCCCTGACAGTGGTTGTATAAGTGTGGACATGTGAGAGTATTTCGAGAGGGAGAGCGGACTCTTCCCACCCGCGGCCGTAACAAGGCATTTGGGTATACATATATATATATATATATCCCGAGTTTTAGATAGGGGCAAAAATGATTTTTTAATGAATTTTTCATTTTAATGGTCTATCAACTGATATAAGTTGGTATAAATTATAAGGCATTCACATTTTTAACATGATTGACAACCAGTCAAAATTAATGCCGATTCTTTACTAAAATGGATTGGAAGAGAAGAGTTGAAAGAATAGAATATTCTTTGAAGATGAAACTCAGTTTTATATTTTTACGTTAATGAGGTTTGTAATAAAGGCTGAATTTTATAGTTTATCCGATGGGTTGATTTAAGTTAGACTGTGGTGTGCAATACTTATGCGGACAGATATAAGTAGTATGTAGCAAGAACTGGGATCGAGCTTGAGACCTTCAGCTCTAGAGGCGTACGCTTAACTTTAGAACTACTGAGCCGACATCAGATGTTTTACATCTCCACTTAGATATTTAAGGGTTAATTGCTCACCATGTAATCCGAAAGTCCTTGGTTCGATCTCCAGTTGATCATAGGAGCGCACTATTGACGAATCCCATACTAGGAGAAAACAGCTGTTTAGTTTTGTGATTTTTAATGGTTAACTGAATATGATCAGTCATCTGTTTTTATTGAATAAATGCATTTAAAATGTTGGAAAAGATACATAGCTTTGTTGTTCAGTGAGATTTGATTTTATTGAACTGGGTGGTTTAATTATGAGCTTACAAAGGGAATTTGGATAACTTATTATTTATTTTTCGAACCATAAGCATTGATACAGAAGATATATATGCAACATACAGGTTATCATTCAATATATATATAGGCTGGGATACTGTCCGGTCGCAAAACTGAAACAGGTGGTTTTCTTAGGGGGCCACTCCTCAAGCCTTTAACTGATAGATATAACCCACTAAAGAATGGGATACCGTAAAAAGATGTGGTCATATTGAAGCTGGTGACTAACAAAAGGCTCCTTTGTACCCATCAACTCGGTTTAAGCACCGGACATACGCTTTTCGTTCTCTCGATTTTGTAAACTACACACCAGTCACCAGACGGTAGTCAATAGGACTTTCCTGGTTGTTGCTATATATGCATACCCATGGGAGTGGATTTTGAGTTTACTTTGAGCGGACGTTTCCCATTCTTGGTTGTACCAAGGGAAAACGTAAGATCATACTTTAATTCAGTATGATATTTATTCAGTTTAACATTTTTTTGTGTATTAATTTAGTATGATACTCGTTCAGTCCAGTATGTATACACAGCATTTTATTTAATTCAGTGGAAAATCTATATGTATTCCCACTATAATTCATAGTTAATGTGTGGTATTCGTTGATTAATTGTCAAATGTCAGTAAAACTTGTGTATAAAAATGAATGGATTTAATGAGTCATCAACCGATCTAAATTAGGCAACTATTGAATACCTGAAAGCACTGGATGACGTTTTCGTCCTAGTATTGGACTCTTCAATGGCAGTACGCATTGGCATTCCGCATGCGAAAATAAGGTCAAGAACCTTCGGTTTTACCCGCGAACGCTTAAAGTAAAGATCACGGAATAGTTCGGTCATTCCAGGTTTTTAATGAGGGTTGAAATTAGTTCAGTTCATAACTTAATGAAATTCAACAATCTCTACAACCCTTTACTGATGTTTATGTTTTTATTGTATAATCATTAGACGACAGGACTATGGTGCTTCTATATTACATGTATTATTTGCTTTTGTTGAATTAATCATCTATTGTTGTACGTTTTATTATGCCGTTCTCAGCCTGTTTATGACACGGTTGTATTTAAAGTATAAATTCTTATTTGGAGTATGCTGTGGTCTGATAATTTATGCATACAAAGTAATGAGTGTTTGAGATAAATATAATGGATGCCTGAAACAGAAGTAAAAGCTTGCTTGATGCGTTCACTTTTCCGGACTCGAGGCTAAGAGACAAAATTAAATATACATATTGGTGGACCAATAGGAGTTGAGACTGGTTTGAATTTTGTTCAAGGTTAACCTTGTTCGTCGAAGCATATCGTTGTTCAAAATTAAGCGCGCAAGGAGATCACAGAATTCTTATTGATGGATCTCTTTTAGTCTATCGATAAACCTGTCAGTCATAAAAGCAAAGTGGATAAGTAAAAGCAGTAAGACTGAAGACTCAACAGAGCCCATCTGAACTTAATAGAGGCGATCCGGATACAACAGTAACAGACCTTTTTTTCATAGTAAAATTTATAGTAAGTTATTCACTAGAATAATCATCATTGTAAGGTGATGGCAGGAGGTAGTAAAAAAGAAACCCCCGAACTAGGTTTCGTGCTATTAAACACTCGTCAGCATGGTGGACGTACAATCTTTAAGGAACTGATGCTCAATGAAAGATTCGGTCCCGTACAACTCAATTTCACAGTCAGAAACGTTACCACTGAGCTATCTGGGCCGCGAGTGACTCCTAGAAAGAAGGACTAAGATGTATTTAAAATTGATTGTTCATAGAGTAGTAACCAGTGTCATGTATATCAGGACCATCTTAGTGCTGATCAAATTTTATCGATCAAGTTGTAATGTATCCAGAAGTCAAAGGTGACTCGACATAGCGTGCACTATACTGAGATGTTAGGTAGTATTTGGCAGTACTTGACAGGAAACCATGACACTGGTCACTACATAGTAATTAATCCATTTTAAATAATCACTATCATTATATAAACAAAATTTTATTCGTATTTACATTTATTTAAAACAGGAAACAACTCGGTGGATTACAGTATTCATAACTTGATTTTAGTTAAGGTACCACTGAAAACCTGGAAGTATTGAGCAGCTTTTTCATTTAGGTATGTGACTGTTTAGAAATGCGCACCCACTGGTTGACTTCATGGACATCGAGAGTGAAACACTTATCACTAATGAAGTTGACAGGTCATCGCATTATGTTATGTATTGCACAAATTGATTAGCATTATACCATTGGATGTTTGTAAAAGTGGCCTTGATGGTTGGGCATCTCTATGAAACTTCAAAACCTTGGCTTTGACCTCTTGTAGGGCTATTGATGACCAATGTTAACAAGTTAAAACAAAACAGATGTCTAGCACCCTCTGATTTTACAATGATACCCTAACTGAGATCAATTGATGGATAAATATAATTTATAAATAAAACCATTTTCCACAGAACTCCTTCACCCAGATAATTTTTTTATTTTTAAGAGAATAAATACTGAAAAAGAAAATTTTTTACAAATTCAAAACTTACACGTTCCAGAAGACAAGAGAGAATGGAAGATTGGGCAAATATAAACCATTCCTCTGGACTGACAGATGACTGAGATATTGTTGTTGTTTTTGTGGTGGTGGCGTCGGCGGCTTGTTCTGAAACTTTATTCTCTACACCATCGTACCTGGTTGTGTCAGATTTTAAGTCTGCTATCGCCGCAGCTTCAGCATGTGCTAAAAAACGTATATGTTGACTAGTTAGCTTTGTGGGATTTGGTGGGCTACCAATTTTCAATGCAACTGTACAAAAAAAGGAGGCCAATGTATAAGTGTGTATGTGTACAATAACAGGAAAATTGTTAATTGAACAGTGTTAGAGGTGTTGTTGTCTCTTAGCTCCTATATGGTTAACCTAAGAAGGACCTATTGTCTTTATGAACAACATAGTCAGAATGTACTTCATAGAGAAGTGAACTACTAGAATTTCTTTACTGGTAACTTATAGCTTGTTCTGTTTGTAAGACACGACAAAAGACAAGAAGTTACAAAGTATTTATGTAATACATTATACATAGACTTCAATCTTACATTTAGATCTATCATTGTGTTCTTGACATCCGAACCGTCATCTGATCTGGTCTCAAAGTGTTCTGTCAATGCCGTACTTTCAATCTACTGAAACCCTTCACTCCATCTGACAATTATAACAACCTCAATGTCATGTTCCGCTACGCACTACATAAAAACAATCTTATAAGTAGCGTCCATTACGTGTTGACTTGAAATTTGATTTTTTGTTATTCATAATTATGTGACTGTTGCTTGTATGTTTGGTTTCTCTACTAATCTGAACTTTGATATTCAAGTTCTTAATCATTTTTCCTACCAGAATTGAATTTAATGTGATTATTTATTGATGCTTGATTAGAGTGACTGAGCTTGCACCATTGTAGTACGAAAAAATAGCTGTGATATATACATAAATATCGGTTGTTAGGCTGTGAGGGCAAACATTACCTTGTATACTTCGTTTTGAGTAAGCAAGTACAAATTTTATGTACTCCAATTTGAGAAAGTGGTAATGAGCCATGCAGTCGATAGCTATATTCGTGTAAACCAATGTAGTAGTGTTTATACTAGTCTTAGGCTTAATAACTAAAAAAAGAGTAATGTCATCCTACTATTACTACTACTACTACCACTACTACTATTAGAGTCTCGAGTAATATCAGGGTTCGGATCATAGACAAACAGAAATACTATACAGAAAAGCAAATAAAGAGGAAGAGAAAATAACTTTATGAAGAAATCACCTTCGATAGCTGCAGCTGCATGGTCCCTAGCTCGCGTTACAGCTTTCTCTGGACTTCTTGATTTCGATCTGTCATGTTTAAGAGTAGATGTCGGTCTAATTTAGCAAAGAAGAAAAAGCGAATGAATATGTTAAGATTTCTTGCACGAATTAACTTGTTTGATAAATCGACACAAAAGAATTATTTAAATGTAATTGAAAAGAAATGAGCTAATGAATTAAAGATGATGCACTCTATATGTGAACACTTGAGGTGACCACACAGTTGGATCGTGAATCAGTGTCCTGTATCAAATAAATTATAGACAGTAATGACAAGTGAATCCATGTTAGCAAATCGGAGGTAATCGGTAAGAAACCTTGGACCGACGTTTCATGCTAACAGGCAATCGTCAGTAAAATGTACCTGGAATGTTACATTGACTCATGATCTTTGAAAGACAGTACTACTGAGTTATTCCGTCAGCGACTGGTCTCCTGTAGGACTGTAATATTTGCGCCATCTGATCGCTGAGTAGTGGTCAATGTTACGTGTCGAGTTCGTTATATCGATTACCTAAAACTAACTAACATTAAAACATTGTACACGCAAAATCGAGTCACTTAGACTAGTGATCGTACTGTAAATTGACCAAGATTGCTCGATCAATAACAGGCAGAACTAAAGAAACATGAAGTTGGTTACCGTTCAGTTATCAATTCATTTAAACAAGTGCTATGTTGAAATTGAATTAATTTTTACAAGGCACCTAACTAACTAATAATATGATTATTAATTCATGTTAAGCAAGATTACACTGGATGTAAACAATAAGAGAAGTTAAGAGATAAAGAAAAACAGTTAACATGTAAACACCAATGTTATAGATTTTTATTTGATTAAACGGTGAGACTATAATTTATGGACGACCTTTGAGCTAAGCTAGACTGACCTTGAGAGTGTCCACCTAATATCTATGACCAAATGAGGGTTCTAAACCTGTTTGAGGAATTAGAATTATGTTTTACAGTTGATGATCAACGTTAGGAATTAGATTTCGGGTTTTCATCACGAACTGACATCAACTATAATGCCAAAACTCTATTTAACCAGATTGAATGAGCGAATTTCGCGCCAATATCCAAGGCCAATTATCTTATGCCTTATTGGTTCGTCCATAAATTATATTCTCGCCGATAAAACTAATTGGATAAAAGTCGACCACCTTATGAATTTAAAACACCGTTGTACAAATGAAGTAAATATTATCTTTTAAAATTAACCAAGAATAAAAGGAAAATGATGGATTTCACCACATTATCATTTGAAAATACAAAGGTATGGTAAAACTATCTGCGTACGCATGATTTTGGTAAAAATATTAAGGATTGAGAGTCGATCAGTTACAACGTAGGAACAGGCACATGTATGCATCGGTCCAAGTTAGGAATTGAAAACATTTATAAATAAGAAAAGTTGTAGTAAACTTGCACAACAACACATAACAAACATTTAAGAATGATTGATCAATGGTTTTACGTATATAATATTCAGATAATATCACAGAGTACAGAGTGTGAATAATAAAAGATGAAACGATCAGATAGTTGAAAAGAGTATAACTTTTGAGGAATGTTTAGAACAATGTAAACGGAGTCAGGATTAATGGACAGTGTTTTGAAGAAAACTAGAATATAGGGTTCTATTCTGACCCCAATCTTATTGATCACGCTTCAGTCAGTCAGCTACAACATAGGATCAGGCACATATATGCATCGGCACAAGTTGCCATACCTCATTAACACTACAAGATGAACACCGGATTCATAAAATTATTTAATTCACAGGTGGTAATATATAAAAGAAAGATTGCATATAAGAATATAGTACAGGAAGAAAGAAGTAGATCGTGGAAAGAAAGGTATGGAGCGATTCTAATCTCATGGTTCAAGGGAAGATGGAGAGTGTATACATCGACGCCATTGTGATCGATTCTGAGCCATGTCACCAGGAGTCCCCAACGATTGGTTACGATAGTCACGCGGACCCCAACCAAGTAATCTGCATCTAACAACATGGCTCAGACTACAAGTTAGTGACTTCAAGCACTCAGGGCACCCCTAACTTTCTTCCGACCGTCTCCTAAATTAGTCAGCATTGCGCGTCGTGGTAATCGTTGTTCGGGCGTACGTAACATGTGGCCCAACCATCTCAGTTGATGGAGATTCACAACTTCATCAACTGATTTACCATCATTCCCTAATACTCTGTGTCTAAACCATCTCTAAATAATATTCTTTTTTTTGCGATATCCGCGTCGCTTATTACTTATAATTGTAAAAACGAGAAAACACCGCAATAATGTTGAGCAAAAATCATGGAGGTCAACAATAACCAATCAAGATCAAGGTCTGTCTACAGAACAGGCTGAGAGTCATATGTGAAGAAGTTCGAACACTTCACTCCTACTTGAAGTTTATGCTGATAATGTCGTTAAGATGTACGATGAAAAGCTCCACGATCAAAACTATCCAGCTCAGAGAACAAAACTTCACTTTTGAATTTACCCTTTGTAATATAAACTGAGATAAATCGATTGATGAAGAAGGAAGTCTTTCTTGACCAAGTTGATTGAGATAAACATCTAACATGCTCGAGCACAGGCTATATTGACGTGTAATGTTAACTAGTGTAGAAGTAAATTATAAAGACGCTAGAGGTAGGCAAACTAAGACGTATCGAAAGATGTAGACTATCTAGTTGGGGTTCATGCATGTTAATTTTGATCAACGATTGGATGACATATGTGTCAGAATCGGTCACAATATTGTAGATGAATTCATAGTTGAGATAGTGGAGAAGATTTGTAACTCAGGTGGATGATTTCGATAGTTTTGTTCTCAGAGCTGGATGGTTTGGTCGTGGAGCTTTCATCGTTCTTCTGAACGACAACATCAGCACAAACTCCTACCTGAATTTTGTGCTGACGATGTCGTTCAGAAGAACGATGAAAGCTCCACGACCAAACCATCCAGCTCTGAGAACAAAACTCCATCACAATGAATTCATATTTTGTATTAGTTTAAGTTTTAGGTTATGAAATAATCTCATACTAATTATTTCACGAATTCATTCGTTCCTTTTGAATCGTACTGTCTATGTCTAACATTTTTCATGTTACCGTTGATACCGTTACTAGTTGTACGATCCTGATAATTTCATCGCCCTGTTTTACTATAGTGTATCAACTTGAACTGGTGCACATATGTATGTATATCATGCTCCACGTTGATCATGACTGACTGAAATCAATCAGTAATAGGATACCATATGAAAATTTTTATATATTCACCAGTGGCTATTAAATACTCACACCAAATAGTGTTTTATATTACATAATAAAGTGTGGTTTATATATGACTTGAGAATTCAGTTCAACTATCAATAATCATTAAGTACAAATTCATACATTCGGTTTCAAATCCTACACACACCTACGTATACAGTTCATATGAGAAGTATTCATGGTAATTAACCTTACAACAGCATTTAACAAAAGTAAATGAAGATATTATTGAGTCGAACAGAGGATGGAACCATAATGCTGTCAGTTTACAGGAAGCTGACTTGGACTGGTCAATATTTAAATTTCCACAGTTTTTGTCCATTGCAACACAAGCGAGCCTTGGTTAAGTGCCTTTTTAATAGGATTCAAAGAATATGCACCACAGACACGGTTGAAAAAAACGCAAAACTGATGACTGACCTACTTATATCTAATGGTTATCCACTAAAGTTTATAAATAGGTGAAAGAGTCAGAAAACACCGAAACTGTTTATATCTCTTCACCATTTAGAGATGAATCTAATAGTATTGTTTTAAGACAGAGACTAGCTATCAAGAAAACCTATTACGATGCTAAACTGGTTGTAATAAATGAGGATAATCGATGTTTCAAAACGTCTACTAAGTAGTTAATCGTTATTTATAATCATCTACTGAAAAACAATGTATGTTTATTTATTTTTACAAATAGACATTGGTACAAGGAGGCACCAAATATGCATGCGCCACACTTCGTCATTCTATTTTTGTGAGGAATGGGATATCACTCGGGTGTCAAACCCAAGTAAATGGTGGATTATTCCTTGGGCCTTTAACCGAGAGAATTAACCCACTAGGCAATGGGTTAACGTTAAGAGATATGGTCCTATGGAAGCCGGTGACCATCAGTAGGTTCATATGCCATTTATTCCCTCAGGATTTCGGAGTCCATGTACATCAATGGTTTGAAATAAGGACGTTCCAATTCCCCTAGGTGAATCTTATATAACCACCAACCTGGTTAAAGTGTCGGATATTCGCTTTTCATCCTCTCAATTTCATAAATAACATCCCTACCATGAGAGGGTAGTGAGTAGAACTGAGAAAGCATACGTAAAACTAGAGTGTTCTAATAAACAACCAACCAACCACTGTTTTATTATCAAATCATGTAACAAGATAAGATTATCGTATTATATATATTTCGGAAATTTCTGTTAGCATCTCAAATACATCAGTGAAAAGTGTTAGATACATAGATAGATACTATTTACTTACGAAATTCGAATGAATTTTAATCGTTGCGTAATAATATCTATGTTTCTTTTAAAAATATATTTGAAAATAAATAAATAGATCAACAAAGAATTGTGAACTATACACGTACAACACTATTATGGTAGATTTTAATTCATACTTTCAGATAAGTGGAGTTCTTTTTCCTGGTGGCCCGGGATCTGACTTCAGTGAGATCGTTTCTAGTTGCTATAGATATACATATCGACTTAACTCGTGTTGGTGAATAACGGAATTAAATAAGTCAAATACGAAAATGGATGTTTGAATAAGTATATTTTGTATACTCGTTGATCGGAACCGACAATCAGAGAGACGTAGCGAAGGAAGCGAAGAAGACAGAACGAAACAACACGCAGTGGAGAAGGCATGTGAGCCAACACCATTTAATCAAGCGTTAATCAATATTTATAGTCACACAAAAATAAGCTGCAGACATGTGATGAATAGGATAAGAAGTGTACACACATACGGTTACATAAATAGATTGGCCTGTCGGAAAACTAGAATAAGATACATGGGTTTAACATAATAACTGACACTACAGTTTGGATAAGAATTTATAAATTTAGAGAAGTGAAAATCAAGCATGTTGGAATGGTAACAATCAAAGATAATGATGTGATTCAAACCGTAAAATCTACAAGTAATATTCGAGTTGTTTGGTATGTACTACTAACAAAAGCCATACAAGGAAACACAGAGTTGTCCGGTGTTACGTGCTTTCTTCTTGATAATCAGTCAATGATGTTGCCTATTTTTAAATTAGAGATGTAAATTATGCGTTATATGAACCGGATTCTACGTTCCATGCGGCTGACAGATACTTTTAACAATGGTAACAAAAGAATGATGCATAACAATTCCCTCGTCAAAGTCTATAAAGATCCAGAAAACGCCTGGATACATATCCAATTGGCATGGAATAGATGCTTCTCAGGAACGCTTGGAACGGTGAAGGATTACATGTCACATTTTGGTAGGATAATTACCTATATCGTTGTTGTATTTAGTATAAATGTTGTATTGGTATAATTCTATACGTTTTTAGAGGACCAAGGTCACACAAAACCCTTTAAATACACTCGATTACCTGAACGCAACTAACCTTGGAGTAAAGCTCATACCTTTCGCACCTTTTACTTATTGTTCAAGTTGAAGTAATTCGGAGTTTAAAGAAGCATTTAGGAAGTCAGTAATAAAAGTTGCAGAATTGTCTCTTCTCAAAATGCATTTAACATAATTCTCTCCAACCTCCGAAAAGAATTACTTTAAAAAAGTAAACTATACAACAACTTACCGTTTAGGTCGACTCGGTGGTACAGGCTTCTTTTCTGAAGTTATATTACTTAGTACATTACTATTACTAGTAGTAGTAACAGTAGCAGTAGTAGTAGTGGTACCAGGTTGTGTTGGTGGTCGAAAAGGTTTAGCTCGATATGTTCCACCGAATACACGACTCCATGTTTTCCCATCTAATCGAGCACAAGCTAATCGATATAATGTGAATGTATCACGAGTATGCAATGCATAAACTAATAAACCGAAATAGGATGCAGCTAAAACTTGAGATAATAAACCAATAATTCGACGACGATCCACAGATTGAATACGTGTTACAGATGACGATGGCGATGATAAGTCACGATCTGATAGATTTTGTGTTGATGTGATACGAATAATTTGACTAGTACTTACACTATTACTTTGTAATTGAGGTTCAGTATAACTTTTTAAACACGTTAAACCTATATGAAAATACAATAGAGTGAAAAATAATCAGAAAAGCCGAAAAGTGAAACGGTTAAAGTATGATATGCTGACAACCTTGGACGACTTACTAGCCGATCAGGAAACGTTACATAGTTACAAAATATGTTGGTTGCGTAACAGATGTTTTTATTGATTCCGGGCAATTCAAGAACCAAATATTGCCAATCTTCACATTATCTATTACTGCACTTTTGAATTCGCGCAAAATACACGAGGTGTTCTCTTAACTGTGATTGGTTAACTCAAGGTTGGCAGTATGTGATAGTCTTGCCGAGAGAAACACGTAAAAACCGAACATTCACCCAATTAGTTGGCATGTACATAGAAAAAAGAACTTAAGTTATAAGCAATACAACTGAACTAATAAATGGGTAAAAAACTATTGAATATTGACTGTATTGTTTTAATGGTTTTATGAAATTTGCTCGATTGTTCTGATACTCAAAATTCAGTATAAGTAATTCCAGTTGGTTAGTGCGTTTCTTCTTAAACAGATATCTCGATAGTTTTTACATTTAAAAGTTGAACATATTTTAGATACTAGCTAGCACACTTATTCGACAAGTTAGTAATGGCCTTCGTGACTAAATAGCTTAGTAGATAACACCTTGCCTGATACACGACGTAATAAGTAGGGTACTAAATTTCAATTTTATTGTGTACATCAACTTTGGAATGCAGGTGGATCAAAATAACAGGTATCATTTCATTTGAAGTGATTTGGAAAGGAAACTGACTTTATAATAATCTGTCAGGGAGCACCAGTTCTCTCACGATTATAGGTACATCTTGCTGACGAGTGCCGAATAGCACGAAACCCGGGTTCAGGGTTTCCTGTTGACTACCTCCAACCACCATCTTATCTCAACATAGTGTACGCAATGTCAAATCATCTAGGCTAGTGGCCACATTGCAACTTGGTCGATAGCATTCGATTTGCACTAAGAAGGACCTGATACACATGACATTGCTCACCCACCACCTAGTGATCAATCAATCGTGAAGAAGATAAGTTGTTGTATGAAGTGCTTCTATGATAATGTTTTAACTCGTGAAGCTGGATAATGAAGACATGAATCTCAAAGGAATTAGTGATTTTCTCAAGTTATGCAGTTATATTTTGTTGACGAATCTTAAACTAGCACAAAACATATGTCAAGTAAAATTTCCTGTCGCCTACCCCCCTTTAACCACAAAATATAAAAAGAGAAAATTTTACGAAATAGGGTTAATTTTAGAGGAAGGTGAGATTGATATACATATTTGCATATTTAATGAATAATCTATCTATACATATAACACGTAATATTAAAATAAAAAGTGACTTACCTGGCCATTTAGACGGTTCTGTATTTGGTCTAAATATCTGACCAGATACACATAAACGATCAACTAAAAGATAAGAAAACAGACAGAAATCAAAACCCATATTCAGCTTGAGGTAAGTACAATCAAAAGTTGAAAAGCGACTTAAATGTTAAATAAACAGAGTTATTTCCATCAGTGGGTCTATGATGAAGTTCAACAAAAACGGAAAAAGTGGACAGCCTAGAAGGATACCACTTGAGGTTGCAAAAGTAGATGACATTTCGTTTTAAGCTCTGACTCGACTAGCAGTGTTCGAGTAAAGAGCCTTTACAAGGTTTATCTACTTCTCAGGTACGCCTTTCAATGACAGACACTGCCGCAGAATCTCGCGGTCTACGGAATCAAATGCTGCTTTAAGGTCATGAAAGACCACCATTGTCGGACGACATGTTGGTAGATGCAGATTATTTGGTTGGGGTCCGCGTGACTATCGTAACCAATGGTTGGAGACTCTGGGTGACATGGCTCAGAATCGATCACAATGGCGTAGGTGTATACACCATTTGTCTTTCTTTAAACTGTGATATTAAAATTGCTTCAAATTTTTCTTTCTACGAACTAATTCTTTCTTCCTCTACTATGTCCTTATATGTCATCATTCTTTTTATATATATATATATATATATATATATATATATATATATATATATATATATATATATATATATGCCCTGGTACGGCCGACAGTGGGGAGAGTCCGCTCTCCCTCTCCAAACGCCCTCACATGACCACGCGTATATAGCCTCTGCCAGGGAAGTCCTACTCACTACCTTCTCGTGGCACTATTGTTGTTTACGAAAATAAGAGGACGAAAAGCGAATGTCCGGCGCTTTAACCGGATTCCAAACCAATGGTGAACATGGGCTCCAGTATCCTGCGGGAACAAATGACGTATGAACCAAATATTGGTCACCAGCTTCCATGGGAATGCATCTCCTCACGACGCTCCACTGCCTTGTGGGTTAGACCTTTAGGTCAAAGGCTCGGGGTGTGGCCCCCTAAGAAAACCACCTGTTTCGGACTGGGCACCCGGGCAGTATCACAGCCCTCACACAAATCGAATGAGATTTTTGTGGCGCATATGTATTTGGTGCCTCCTTGTACCAATATCTATGTGCTAAAATAAATAAAAATAATTAACATCAGTAAGGCATGCTATTGTCACCACTGAATTAACTATTTCTATGAATTCGGTGTTCATCTTGCAGTGTTAATGATGTATGGCAACTTGAACCGATGCACATATGTGCCTGGTCCTACGTTGTAACTGACTGACCGACTGAAATAGAGTTATAGGTTCGTAACAACTATGTGTGTATAACAGTAATTTTGCATGTTAAAACAAAACCACAGTATATTATAAACGAATGAACAAACTGTTTTGTTGTGGGCTACAATATAGTTAGCATTATAATACAATGACTGGTAAGGATTGCCAGAATAGAGTTCGATGGAGAATCTGAGAGGGCGGTTTACGCTCCTTCACTAAGGGTGACCAGCCTAAGTAAGTAACTATAATCTAATAATATGGCCCATGACACTAGATTATCCAATCACTAGACTAGACTGGATATTCACTCTGCACACTAGATATAAACTAGATCATGTTATACAAGATAAACAATTCGTGACTGAAAACATAGAATCAGATTTTAAACCAAACAATAGTTTATTTGAACAAATACATTAGAAATTTAAACACATACACAGTGAATCTTAAAAAGAAGTCAGTAATATCAATATTGTCTAAAAATGAAGTTCATTGAGTCAATCACACCTTCATATCACACAACACATGAGAACTTTTTTTTCCCTAAATGATGCTGCAGTGACCTAACTACAACATTAGGATTGGTCACCTTGTTAACATTGTTATAACAATAAATATCTAATGTATTTCACTAAAATCATAAAGTTAGACACCCAATGAAATCCTGGAAGGACTGGACGGCTGCTTTATCCTAGTATGGGACTACTCAGTAGTGGCTAGGGGAGCTAAACCACGTCGAGTGTGAGGAAGGTATTCTACCAAAGATAACGGAAGATGGCCGAACACTATCGTGGACTAGTACATCGTCGAATCTCGGTTCAGAGAACCACAGGTTCGCTCATGAAACCGACAGTCCTACTTTTTATACCCAATTGTAGGGTCATGCCCCAGATGCCCTGAGACGGCCGAGGGTAGGAAGAGTCAACTCTCCTTCTTCAAATGCCCTCACATGGCCACGCGTATACAGCCACTGTCAAGGAAGTACTATGCACTGCCTTCTCGCGGTGGCGGTGTTGTTTACGAATTGAGAGGACAAAAAGAGGATGTCTGGCACGTTAACCGGGTTGAAAGATATGGAGGATCAATCTAGGGGAGTCGGAAAACCCTGATTCCAAACCAATGGTGCACATGGGCCCCAGTATTATTCTAAAGGAACAAATGTTGTATGAACCAATCGTTGGTCACCGGCTACCATGGGACTGCATCTCCTTACGTTTCTCCACTGCCTTGTGGACTAGACCTTCAGGTAGAAGGCTCCGGGTGTGGCCCCCTAAGAAGACCACCTCCTTCAGTTTGGGTACCCGGACAGTATCAAAGCCCATACACAAATAGAATGACGAATTGTAGTTCCCCTCCGTACCAATTTTTATGTGTTCAAATAAATAAATAAAAATGCAGGGTTGTGGATGCGTGTTGCTGCGAATTCCCATACAGGGATGAGACGGCCATTGAGTTCTCCCAGGTTTTAGTGGTTGTCAAACTTTGGATGATTCGTAGTTTCAGTGAAATTTAACAATATTGTTTATCACTCAGCACTAGGCATCCGTAACTCCACCGGTGATTGAACTCAAGACTTTCAGGTCTTCTAATAAGCGCTCAACTTAAGGACTAATCAGCCGGGATCTAACCGTTCACTTGGCAAGACGAATTGGTGTTGCAAAGTTGAACGACCGCCTTGAACTTCTAATACTAATAAAAATTGCAATTAACTCACAGACCACACTCCAATCCACTCACTCACTCACTCACTCACCTGAACGAGCATTGATAGTACTTGTTGCAGGTAGAGCAAATACTTTTTTTGTCAATGGAGATGATATATCAGAAGATTGCATGGAGTTCTCATCGACTGCATAACCAAGACCAAACCAACCGCCAACAGTTAAACATTGATGTATACATCCAGAAAGAGCAGCGCATAAATTACGTAATAAAAATATTCTACGATGACGATCGCCTGTAGGTGCCAAAATACAATCAGGACAATGAAATGATGATGGAGATGTAACAGATGATTTCGATGTCCTTGATGTAGTATTAGTAGTAGTACTGGTACAATTGCATTGTTGATAAGGAAAAGGTAACAGAACACTTACTAAAAATGGAGGTGGTAATGATTCCAGACAAGTGATTAAATCATGAACCATATACTATAAAAATGAAATATAAATAAAACAAAAGCATGGTTATGATGATTCAATGATATAATTTAAATAGTAAAGCTTTATCATACTTAAGGAATATAATGGAAAGTTGTGAGGATTGATGAGTTTGGAATTTTACATCGCTGACTGTATTCAATCAGAAAATCATTGAAAACCAGGGAACAATGGATATTTATTTATTTATCGGTTTAGGCACCTGAGCAGTATCCCAGCCCTCACACAAACCGAATGATTGATATGGTGCATATCTATTTGGTGCCTCCTTGTACCAATGTTTATATGTTTAAATAAATAAATAAATGAACAACATATTTGAACTATATGAAATTAAACTTTTTATTTGGAATACCATATCACTTATTTTGTAGTTTGCAATTAGTACTAATTCTTTCTTCCTGTACTATATGCGTATATGCATTCGTTCTTTTATATATTACCACCATTGATTTAACTACTCTTATGAATCCGGTGTTCATCTTGCTGTGCTAATGAGATATGGCAACTTAGACCGATGCATATATGTGCCTGGTCGTACGTTGTAGCTGACTGACTGACGAGTTGATTAAAGACACTATTAGTTCTTCATATCAAAGAAGAAAGAAAGAATGGGTTCGAGGCTGAGAATATATGTGAACTATGTTTAAACTAGTCTAATTAGACTGATTAACTATAGAATATGATAAAATTTGTTCATTATAGAATAAGGTTTGAAGAAAATAAACTAGAAGCGACTAAACTGAATTATGTAAGTTATCTTGGTTGGTGGTTTTGTATTTTATTGTAATCAATAATTGAAAACATTGGGTAACGTGAACTAAAATCGATTCTGATGGCATAGATTGTTTCACTCTCCTTATAGTTTCATTTAGATTCGATGAATTCAATCTGTTTTTTATTGAATCATATTGTCTATGTAACTAACAAACTAACTGTTTATTTATACGTAATTGATAAGATTTATTTATTTATTTATTTTAACACATGAGTATTGGTACAAGGAGGCACCAAATGCATATGCGCCACAAAAATCTCATTTGATATGTGTGAGGGCTTTGATATTGCTCGGGTGCCCAAACCGAAACACGTGGTTTTCTTAGGGAGCCACACCCGGCGCCTTCGACCTGAAGGTCTGATCCACAGGGCAGTGGAGTAATGCCAGGAGATGCAGTCCCATGGTAGCCGGTGACCAACGATTGGTTCATACGCCCTTTGTTCCCGCATGATACTGGAGCCCATGTGCACCATTGGTTTGGAATCCGGTTTAAGCGCTGGACATTCGCTTTTCGTCCTCTCATTTTCATAAACAACACCCGTGTTGCGAGAAGACAGTGAGTAGGACTTCCCTGGCAGAGGCTATATACGCGTGGTCATGTGAGGGCATTTGGAGAGGGAGAGCGGACTCTCCCCACTCTCCGTCGTACCAGGACATTTGCGGGCCCATGTTTGATTAATGTTTCATATTAGTTAGAACTCCTTAAAAAGTTAAAACAACAAACAAGATTTTCTTTATAGATAATTTGAAATCTCAAATAAGGATTGAACTCAGAAACAACTATTAATAAGGTCAGCTTTGGGCTACTATACTGCTCTCTACATTATGAGTTCCACTGGTTATGAAATTATAATGTCAAAGTTTCGGCTTGAAATTACTAATAGTATTAGGCTAGTAAATTTTTTAATGAACAGTCAGAAATCCCGCGAGCGGGATCTTGGATGAGTACTGTTGAGGAGTCCCACAATAGAACAAAATGTTCATCCGTTGCTCGTAGATTTCCAATGGTGGTCTAACATCAATCAGTTCATGATCTCAATTAAAAACTTAATAATCTCCACAACTCCATACTGATAAAAAAAATTGTCAAGTCAATAAAATTTACCTTGATACGCTTTACTGAATCTGGTAGAAGTAATGCACCCGGTGGTAGACGCATCAATGTACGCAACAAAGGTATACCATCAATTAAAGCCATTGGTGATATTGGCCAACGTGAAGAATCAAGAGAAGGATAACAGACATTGGTTGGACGTGTTGCTACTAACAGATTACTATCGGATTTATTTTGTGACGATATCGTTGACTGACTTGTAAATAGATAAGATGTTGAATACAATTCACCAAGTAATAGGGATAATTCAATACGAACTGCTGGTAATCGTATACCACTAGACCCATACAGATCACAGAAATTAATTAACGATATTAGAAAAGGTTCATGAGCCTAGACGCGTGCATATATACCGGGAGAGAAAGAGAGAGAGGACATATAGATAGGAGAAAAACATAATACTCATGTGATGAAATAGCAATTAATAGCATAATTTCAGAAACCCCGTAACTTTCTGGTTGGTGTCTATCTATGACGAAACCTGTGCTCAAACTAAATAGATACCCGTGAATAATTAACACCCAAGTAAATGATAATCATATACGTAATTGATAATTGGCTTCGAGATGAATTTCTTCTGAGGTAATAAAACGTTATGAGATTAGTCGAGTCAACATACATAGACGGTATTAGGAATACTATTAAAGATGTCTTGACAGACATTATTTCTTAGTTATCCACATTGTAAATTAATACTTTATGGATACACATGAAATGGGAACTGGATTAGGACAGGACTTAGTGAGCTGCGTGTATGATTGTAGAGCTCAATGAACAATTGCTTGAGGTCGACCACATAGTCTTTTTATGAACGGTTTTTGATACACTAGCTCAGTAATTTTACGATTCGACTCTCTGACTAAATGGTTTTATTGAGATCACTAGAAAACACGAAAGCTGTTGCTTAAATTCAGTGGTCTAGATTTCTGGGAAGGATTCGATCTACAGCACGATGATCTTATGTGCTGATAGAGGTATGAGAGTGGTTCTCACTATTCCCGGTTTCCCACACCGTGGAAGGATATTTCTTCTTGAGCAGCCTGAAATAAAAACTGAATTAGTAGTAGACCTGGCGACCTGACAACTGTTTGAGGCCTGTCGCACATGGCTTTTTTATGGGACATTTTCGATGTGTTGGCTCAGCACTTCAAAAAGGCCTAATCACTAGAAACGGATGTATGTGGGGTATGAAGAGGTGTGAGAATAATTGTAGTCAAATTGTCTTCTACTATAATGACTGCAATTTATTGGTGGTGAACATAGAACTTTGATATCGAGTTTATTGTTGCAATTGTCTTTATTGTTTATTTGATGAGTCTAGTAATTCAAAGTTACACGTAATTGGGGAAAATAAAACGAATATATCATCAGAAAAGCTAAATTAAGGTACTGGACTAAATATTGTGCTTTCAAGATGCCGTTAAGAAGTTTGGTACAAAAACTTTCTGGTCTTCAGTTGCCATCTAATGAATGTTAATGCTCCATGAAAACTATCTTTTACAGTATAAGCAAAAGTCCAGTCGCTTCAAATACAACAGTCCAAAATGAGAGATAGTTTTATGTAGGAATGATAAGAATGAAAAAAAATAAGAAAAAGCACCAAAGATAACATACTTTTATCCAATCATAACGTGTTTTTAATCGTTTTAACTCGGCATCACGAATTTCTGGAGAAACATTTGATAAATTCATTAAGATACCAGCTAAAACGGTACCAGCACTTCTTGTAGTTAATAAATATGAAGTTGTAGTCAGTGGACCGGAAAATTCTGAATAATCTAATAAAAACAAGCAGAGAGAGAAAAATTGTAGGAGAAAAAAAAGAAAAGAATTTATATTACAGTGAAAGATAGACATATTTACAAGTGGGATATCAGCAATGCCCCCAATGTTCAATACATGTGTAACTGCTCCCGACATTTTCCAACATTTCTCGGTTCATTTAGTAGGTCAGCGTTGCATATTGGCAATAAAATCCAGTAAACAGTATACTCGATTATAAAGTATACATCTGCTAATTGAATGGAACTTAATTGATATTGTGAAATGAGATACATTTATTTTACATTGAAAACATTGCAGATAACCTCAATCTACGTTTAAAATTTGCAAATACTTAATGGTATCATTTAAAGATTCAATTGGGAATTTTCCATGCAGGAGATTTAGTCACCCCAGGATCAGTAAACAGAGTATCAAAGCATTGTAAAGTTACAGAAGATGATGCTGGAGTTTGAATCGAAAGTGTGATACCTTCTTGAAGAGAAAACTATAAACGAGAAGTAGTGTATAACAAGTCGAGTTATGAGGTAATATATTAGGGAACAAGGAGAAAAGCTTTACAATCAGACCAAAAGTGTACCTTCTAAGGAAATGATATCAATCGTATCTAATAAAAATGGCGTAAAATCGAAACTGTGCTGGAAAATAATAAAGAAATACAATTGTCACATAAATAATAAATTCAGATTTTCCGTTTTTGAGACTAAAGATTGCATTTGATCAGTCTCTATTAGCATATGAGTATCTTGAGTAAATAGTCATCATAATGCCTTGAGTTACAAGTTTCTAGCAAAGATATATTGTGGCTAGCAATGGAATACATGACATGTGTTTCGCTCTTTTCAAGGCTCATCAGTCGAACGTACATGTATCCTAGTGTTGACGTTCACAGCATGACTTGAACACCTTACATTTCTCTGTAAATAATGAGATGTTAGTACATCAAACTGATCACCCAAACAGGATGAAGTTGCATCCTGGCTTCTGCTAGTCACGATCTAACATTACTGAATATGATTACACTTTTGTTTGTTTCCGAAATAAAACAATCAAACAAACATTTAATACACAAATAAATAAGAATTAAAAAAATGTTTTGATTTTCTTTTTTCTTCTTCTTGACCTACCAAAACTAGGTTCATTCAACTGTTCACCACTAGCAACAACGGGATTATTAGTTGGATGAGTCGCAGATGTTACAGTTGGTGTTGTCATGGATGATTTCGTTAAACCAGTCAATGTATTGACACTAGCTAATTCATTTTCAAGCCATTGCCAAACATGTTGACGAAGTGAAACACCTTCAGACTAATGGTGATGAAAGAAAGGAGGAAAATAATAATAATAATAATAATAATAATAATAATAATAATAATAATAATAATAATAATACTGTAAGTCATTTGTTATAAAAATCATAATTAGAATAATTTCAGCGATTGGAATTTCAAATTAGTTACAACGGTTTTATCTAGCAAATTCATACTATTTTTTTATCCATTCTCATGGAACTAATTAAAATTAGAATTAGAGTTTAACCAGATCAGTTTTGAGACAATGGGAGACGGTGGCGCAACATCGTGGATTGTTTGAAGTTAGACATTAACAGCGTTGGATGCCGGCCGGTTCGGTGGTCTAGTGCTTAAGCGCACGCGCGCGAGACTGACAGGTCCTAGGTTCGAAGCTCGTGAGGCGGGATCGTGGATGCGCACTGCTGAGGAGTCCCACAGTAGGACGAAACGGCTGTCCAGTGCTTCCATGTTTTCCATGCTGGTCTAGCTTCAATCGACTCATGAATTCAACAATTAAATTACCATAATATTCACAAAACTCCTCTCTGATTATAAAAAAAAATTAGAATAAATAGAATTGAACCAGCTAGTTACACTACGTTAATGTTTACTTATCTATTCAATTGAGATAGGATACATATCAGTGAATTTGTAGTGTATCTGTTTCTTAATGTTCAATATTTGTGTGAAATCAAGTATTGATATGAATTATTTCATTTATTGAGTGAATCAACGTTGGATATAAGAACATAGCTTTCTTTGAAGATTTAGTTTCAAGCTTAAATTCCCACTTTATTCGCTTTTCTCATTCGCTAAGTTAGGATCATAACTATTGGCAAAGGATAAGTTGTTCTATCACAAGTTGAATCTCTTTAAATATTAAATTAGCTCTAGAGTTCTTAAACTCTCATACATTAACATGAAGAGAGGGTTTATTATTGAAGTATAATATACATAAGCAGTGTGATCTATCCGGTTTCGATAGATCCCGGTTCTTGTAATAAAGAATTTTACCATAGGCTAACTAAAAATACAACAGGCACAACAGAGAGATAGAGAGTATTCGCTAAAAAAATAGGAATAACATCGTCAAGATACAAATGAGGGGAAAGTTGCGTAATAAACCAATGTAGAAATAATTGAGGTTACTGCTCAACAGAACAATTGTTATTAGTATACAAGAACCTCTAGAGAAGCAATTATGGAAAAGTTATTGATCGATAAATGCCTCGTAGAACTGATCATCTTTCTTTTCAGAGGGTTAGTAATTGTGGCACAATGAAGACACTACTGAGACAATAATGTTCATGTAACATGTTCAAGCCATCGATTTCGATGTTTGCAATGGTAACACTTATCTATCATAAATAGACTGTGATTAATCATGAACGTATATAGGTGGATTTTAAAAAATCAAAGTATACGAACCCAATATACCTTGTCTCAATCATCAGCTAAACAGATAAGAAAATCGAACTTCAACTACTTTTCGGCAAAATTAAGATCTTTGTACTAGTCAGTTTTGGCATAGTGTAATGAATTCAGCATATAATGATATTTCAAATGACTTAAGACTTGACGACAATGTGATTTGATCCAGAGTCATAAAATGGCCACAAATGGCCTGGTATGTTCGAGGATGGAGAAATTCCACTATCCTTCAACAAATGCTTTAATATGGTAACGCATATGTAGCTACTGCACGGAAGTCCTACTAGTTGCCTTCTCGCGGTAGCAGTGTTGTTTACGAAATTGAGAGGATGAAAAGTGAATGTCCAATGCTAAAACCGGGTTGATGGGCACAGAGGATCCAGTTAAAGAAGCTTCAAAAACCTGGTTTCAAACCAATGCTGAACATGAGATTCAGCATCTTAAGTGAACAAATGACGCATAAACTTATTCTTGATTACCAGGTCCTATGGGACCTCATCTACCAACGTCGAGTCAAAGACTCGAGGAGTGGCGCTCCAAAGAAAATTACCTGCTTCGGTATAAGCAACCAAGCAGAATCTCAGCTCTCAAACAAGTTTTGTGCAGTGTATATATTTTTGGGTGCCCTTTTGCACCAACATTTATGAGTTTAAATAAATAAATAAACGCATAACATGATACAAAATAAAAAAAATCATCTACTTACTTCGGCGCCAGCAGCCAGTGTACTTAATTCTTCCGCCAAAATCTTCAAACAGGCAATAAATTTCAATTGATTTGCCATTAAGTCCACCACACCTTGATCTTTAGACAAATCACATGTTTGTTTATTTGTTTTACATAAAGAATAAATAAACAAAACATTATAATTCGTATTCATACAATTTGTTTATTTATCAAATTGACTTTAACAAGAGTCAGTGAGTCACTCAGCTACAACGTACCACCAGGCACATATATCCATCGGACCAAGTTGCCATACCTAATTAGCACTACAAGATGAACAGCAAATTCATAGAAGTAGTCACTTCAATGGTAGTGATATATTAAAAAAGATTGCATACAAGGATATGATACAGGAGGAAAGAATTAGTTCGTAGAAAGAAAGTTATGAAGCGATTTTAATCTCTTAGTTTAAGGAAAGACAGAGAGTGTATACACCTACGTTATTGTGATAGATTCTGAGCCATGTCACCAAGTCACCATTGGTTGCAATAGTCGCGCAGACCCCAACCAAGTAATCTGCATCTACCAACATGGCTAAGACTAGAAGTTAGTGACTTCAAGCACTGATGCCACGTTTTGATTTGGTCACCCCTAACGTTTTTCTAGACATCAACAAGAAGAACTAATTTAGGAGAATAACATAAATTCCATAATTACTCATCAGCTCCTTACAACCTCTAAACATAATTGTATGAATCTTTTTAAAAATAATTCAGTGTACATACTTTATAAATTATGAAATAGAAAGAGCTCTCATTAATGAAAAGAGTGATACAAGGAGGTATAGTTTTGACTGGATATTTACATATAACACATCTATTTTTAGTATGCTTTCAGAAGCTTGAAGTTATGTGCGACTATATAAATACCCATGTTTTTCTGTACATAAACTAACCTTGGAGAGAGGCTTTACGAGCAATTCGCGCCTATTCTCTAGTGTTTATAACTAAATACTGTTACCTGATTAGCTGAAAAATTGCTCAAGGTAGAAGTCAGTATAGTACAACATTCTTACCTTGGTTACTTTAAATTATTTACCCAGAAACGAAACAGGATTATTACTCACTTTCGATATTATAACTACCTATTGAATGAAGTGAAGGTCGTTGTTGGGCTGATGGTGATGACATTTGTTGTTTTTGATTCATATGAACTGTACTACTCTTCACATGATCAATAGTATCATCATGATCTGTTTGATCATCATTATCATCACTCCATTCAATTGTAAATTGATCTTCTGTGGTACATTTTTGTAAAGGAACATCAGGTGTCATGAATGTGAAAATATCATCATCGTTACTAGTTGTGTTTTAAAAGAGAGATTCAAAGAAATAGAAATTAAATAAAAAGATGAATCATATTTTTTGTTAAAACTACTTTTGTAGTTTACAAAATCAAGGAATGATAAACATCACATTCCCAATGTACTAATGAACATCAGGTGATTACCACTGAACCGAATTAAATTTGGGAGGAAATTCAAAGAGTTTTAGTGAGATGTTGTGATTAGTAAAATATAACTGGGTCAAGAGTGAGATCGATATCATAGGTGGCATTTAATGACGTTCACAAACTATCATGAATTGAAGTAAGTTAAAGATGGAAATTACTAGATGCTAACTAAGCGGTTACAAATTGGAGTGCTAGCTGAAGTGTCTGAAGGTCCTTATTTCCATCCTTGATGAGGTCATGGATGCACAATAACTGAGAAGTATAATACTAAGAAAACAAGCAGGACAGTGTTTCTCAGTTTTCAGTCGTCATACATTTCGTGACGTAAACATGTTAGGGATGCTAGATCCCAAGAAAATCACTTGGTTAAAGTCCTGCCCTTGTGCGCGGGAATCGAACCCATGAACTATGGTTTTGCGAACGAATACTTAATCTCTAAACCAATGGGTCAATGTTCAACGGTTTATAGGTATATCATATGAAAAACCTAATGGTAATGATTAGATAACTCAGTCGGTAAGTACAAGTGGTGAAAGCTGATCAATAAGAAACTTCAATATTGCAACCTGATTGAGAGAATTTGAATAATGGATGGCAATCAGAAGTGACCCAAAGGTCAAGTGCATTTCAATGTGGTCAATTTCTTAAGGATAGTGTGGTATATATATATGAATGACTATTTGTGCGTCTCATTCAGTAGTCCAATACACTTTCTCGCTCAAGTAGTCAGTTGGGGGTGTTGGTGCATAGCATACCGTGTATCAGTATCAGATTTACGACACCGCACATCACAACAGAATTAATTAAAGATGAAGTGGTCCACATATGTTTGAATAATTAAATAAACATACTTTCGTTTATTTACAGATTGCACGACAGCATCTGAAGAGAATACCGATTGACGCCTTGATTTACTTTCGATAGATTCATTAACTGACATTCTATGTAAACCAAGTATAGATGATGAATCGGAAGATTCCAATGGGGGTAATTTAGTCAAAACTTCCAATGCTAATGTTGGACAACCCAATATAAAATAATGATGGGCAGTACGAAAGTATAAACGTCTTTCTAAACTTTTTACACGATATAATATAGTAGAATTGATTAGATTTGGAGCTTGTAAACGTTGGTGACGTAAAACTAATGGATGTGATTGTAGATACGTGTAGAATTTGAAAACACTTGGACATACAGATGATGGTTTTGAAGTATCCCTACCAGTTATGAAGCTTTGACTACCACTAAGATATTGAGGATGTTGTGGGCTTTGATAGATTGAATCGGTTAAACTATCTCTCTTTTCAGATATGATAAAATCTTCAGAATTACTTAATATTCCAGGTCCTTCTAGTAATGTTTGCAAGGCAGCTAATGGATCACCCTAAAATGTAAGTAAAAACCACATGATATGAACATTTGTCAAAAAAAGTTGATAAATTATAATTATTCAAACAATAGACAAGTTCTTTTCGATAGTACATTAAAGCAATATCAGATGCCAGTGATTAACAGATCGGAAATGCAATGGAACCCATTTATCGAATATAAGTATTACGTACTCCACGAACATAGCTGATACTTTAATGTGATGAGCAAATAAAGACATAATGACTAAAGAGCTTGTTACTTAAGGTCCTACGATGCCAGGCAGGTTGACTGAGGAATGGTAAAACGAAAAGCAATAGCCTAATGTTTGAAGGTTGAGATGTATTACTGACTGTACTGGGATGTGATAAAAATAAAGTGCTTTCTTCAGATAACCAGGGTCTATATTGATACTGCCTCCTAGCAACGGAAGGAGGTAGTATCGTCTTGTCTCATGTATTTCTACCACCAGCAGTAAAGTCTTTAAAGTATAGAAGCAAAACATTATAAAACCTATAGCAAAATGACCGTGTTTCATGGGCTCCAAAGTCACACACCTGAGTATATATGACTACTTCAAACCCAGTTTCGTTTCCAGGTCCCTTAGAGACGAAATATCACTCTACGATATGTGGAACCGATGTCTAAATTCTAACAGCATTTGTGATTCTCTTTTTCAAAATCAAATCTCTTCGTTACTTTTTAGTGTTCTTTCTACGACGAATACCAACACTTTTCCTTTTGACTGTATCACTATTAATGTAGCGTACACAAAGTGATCGTCTACAAACTAAAAGACGAATACACTAGAGTAGTTGTTCACTGTGTTTTACTTAGAGTGTTGAATAAAGCTATCATTATTAGTATTATTTCTAATACAAAAGTTAAACAAAGGAAACGAAATAGAAAATAAAGGTAAATTAACTAACCAATGTCCAAAACGCCATGCTTCTTAGAAATGGATCCTGATGTTTAATTATATGTTCCCTTAGAAAATCATGATATGTCGAGGATGTTGTTGTTTGTTGACCTGGAATACCTTGAGCTGATGATGTATAAAGTCTGTCAGTATTGAAAAAAATAACAAAAATTAAAATGACAGGAAATACAAAGAGAGAAAGATTACAACAGTATTCATTGAGTAATTGAATAAATAAGCAATGAATATAAGCTGAATCATACACAATGGACTCATTGTTGATCAGATTTCATTAATCAATTTGTAATGTGATCAATACTCTCAGTGGCTTAACATGATGAGCACTATGTTTCAAGGTAAAATGATTCGAAATTAGATATCAGAAAAACCTATATACCTGAATATCAGGTTAGCTGGGACTCGTTAGTTAGGTGTAACTGGAAATCTTGAGAGAACGGATACTCTCAATATAATTCATACTCACGTGAGTACGGCTATTTCTTTCTAGTACGAGTTTGCTTAGCAGTGTGTTTAAACGACCACACATGGAAGTGAACCCGGTCAACAGTTAACAGTTTGGAATTGTTGACCAAAATAGAACACTATGAACGTCATCACAAAAATAAAGTAGACTAATTGCGTTATTATTATTATTATTATTATTATTATTATTCAATATTATATTATTGGCACAAGATAGAATTGTTACCACAAAGTATTTCATCGAGTTTCCTCTTCTTATTTCTTGATCGATCCTGATAGCAAATATTGAGTGATCGTCAGTTAGATGTTAGCAGTTCAGGAATCGACATCTGAATAATGTTCATTCCCCTCAATGTATATTGCCAACAATCACAATGTTTATGATCGTGGTTTTTTGTAAGTTGTACAATGAAAGGTTGCAAACTTTGCATAAACGCAACTGAATAGGTTATGCAATTAATAGACATAATGATGTGTTAGCAAAAAAACACACAAAAACAGATAACTTGTTGAAATATCTAGATGGCAAGAACAGGTAGCCCAGATATTCAAGCAGGCCACCTTAAATTCAACATCCCTGCTTCAAAAAAAAACAAATCTGACAACCCTTTCACTTGAAATTGAGAAGAAGCGATACAAATTAAGATTATTGTTGAATTAAATATCTAAACCATCCAGTTTAATATTCGTAAGGATTTTGATAAATTCAGTAATTACTCAGTTCAACCTGTTGTTCTACTGTATTCTGTTAATTATTCACTTAGTTTAGAGATTTGTACATTATGAAATTACTTTCAATCAAGTTTAATTATTTACGTATAAATTAACAATTACTGTAAATGGGGTCTGGATATAAAGAGTTAAGGGGATAACGTTGAAGAGTAAATTAAGAACATTTAACAATTGCATGCAACCTGATGTTGATATTTTCAATTTGTTTCATTTATTTAAACACATAAAGATTGATACAAGGATGTACCACATAAATTATTCGATTTGTGTGAGGGCTGGAATACCGTACGGGCGCCCAAACTGAAGCGCGTGGTCTTAGGGGGTCACACCTATAGCCATTGACCTAGAGGTCTAATCCACAAGGCAGTGGAGCAACGTTGGGAGATCCAGTCCCATGATAGCCGGTGACCAACAATAGGTTCATATACCATTTGTCTCTTCAGGATCCTGCATCCCATGTGCACCACTGAATTGGAAATCAGAGTTTTCCAGCTCCCCTACATGGATTACCCATATCCACCAACATGGTTAAAGCGTCGGATATTCGCCTTTAGCACTTTAAATTTTGTAAAATCAAACACTTCCTCCACGAGAAGGCAGTGAGTAGAACTTCCCTGCTAATGGTTGTATATGTGTGGCCATGTGAGAACGTTTCAAGAGGGAGAGCGGACTCTCCCCATTTTTGGCCGTACCAGGGTATTCGGGGGCAAGTGAATAGCAAATAATGTTTTATAGGATTCGTGATGTTCTGTTAATTTACAAGTTTTAGTTGAGATTACAATATATATACATGAATATATTATCTAAATTAACGTACCTAACTAATAAAATACCCATTTGTAAATCTTTCAGAGTATCCAAACAAACACGTACTGCATCATTTAAACATCCAGCCAATAAGAATAATCCAGCCGCTTGAAGATATTTATGTTGACTTAGTAAACGGAATGCGTTTAATTTAGCTTGACGACATGCTGGTTGACCTGGTGTAAAATCGGATCGGAAGAAATTCTCCAATGTTTTATTACCAGTGGTTCTGGTAGTTTTTGTTTTCAAAGAAAGATTAAGTAATATGTTAGTAAATGAAAATAAAATGAAGAAAAAATTTGCAAAATTAGTTGTATAGGTTAGATTGTATTACATAAATAGGTCTCCCTTAATATGTACACACTTGGTGAATTAGTTTGACGAGTGTACATCACAAACAAGGAATTAGTACGTAAAGATGGATAGTGACTAGCAGTGGAATCCATGACGCGCGTTTTGTCCTATTCGGGACTCATCAGCTAGATGTACCTGCATCTCAGAGTTGATGTTCACTCTTTGAATATAATGCTTGTGAATTAAGACTACATCGAAATACCCACAATATGTACATATGCCAATAAGCGAATGATCATTTGCAGTCCTAAACACCAATCGGAAGATTCAAACAAACAAACAATACCAAACAAATTAGTAAGTTAGTAAATTCACTTGTTGTTGTTTTACTTGTATCTCCCCACTGTTATTTAGGACTGCGAATGATTAGTATCTTTTTGGCATATGTGCATCCTGCACGGATTGCCTCGATATAGCCTTAATTCGCAAGCTTTTTAAGCTGACGAGTCTCAAATAGAATGAAACACGCGACATGGATTTCACTGCTAAATAAGCACTTTTGCAGTTTTTCCGAAATGATTTATAAGTGACGCTTCTCTTAATGAATCATTATGCAATCAATTCAGATTTATGTGATCATAGAATTTTATTTATTTTAACACATAGATATTGGTACAAGGAGGCACAAAATGCATATGCGCCACACAGATCTCACTAGATATGTCTGAGGGCTGTGGTACTACCCGGGTGCCCAACCCGAAGCAGGTGGTTTTTCTGGGGGCCACACCAGGAGTCTTCGACCTGAAGGTTTGATCAACAAAGCAATGGAGCATGGAGATGCATTCCCAGGTTAGCTGGTACGCCACTTTTTCCCTGAGAGTATTGTAGGTAGTGCGCACCAGCGGTTTGGAATTAGGGTTTTCCAACTCCTCTAAGTGGACTCTAAATATCCACCAATCCGGTTAAAGCGCCGGACATTCGCTTTTCGTCCTCTTAATTTCGTAAACAACAGTAATGCCACGAGAAGGCAGCGAGGAGGACATTCCTGGCAGAGGCTATATATGCGTGGCTATGTGAGAGCATTTCGAGAGGGAGAGCACACTCTCCCCACGCTCGGCCGCACCAGGACATTTGGAGGCATAGAAAAATGATTAAGAGATAAAGGCAATAACCAAGTGTATATGCGGTAAACTTCCAATTTGACTGATATCAACCAATTAAAGGTGAATTCATCGCTAAATTATTGTACAACTATAAATAATACAATAATGTGATGCCATTCATAATTCAATGGGAAATAAACAATTGAGACATATAAACGATATTTCTTGATGTTAGGGATTCCTTAACATGAAATATCTTAAATAAAAACCTTCAAACAAATTAAAAGTCTCCAGAACATTTCTACAGTTGAACAGTGAATAGAAAATAAAAAGGGTGGTAAGTAGCCAAAAAGGTCATATTCATGTACAGGAAGACAAAGATAACCATAGGTTAAGACAATAACCTTGATAAAGAAAATAAGTAATTATTTCATAAGAAAATTTAGATGGAGTTTTGTTCTCTGATCTAGATGGTTAGATCACAGAGCTTTAAATGGTCTTCTGAAAAACATCATCAGCACAAACTTCAGATAGAACAGTTCGTTCACTACATGTGGAAACGTTGCCAAAGGGGATGTGTGGCGGGTGCAGTTCTGCAGACGCCGTTGCGGGGCTGGAAGAGGAAAGGTTAGTGTTGGTCCGGCCTTGTGAAGGGGAAAGATGTTGAATGAAGTGCTTTGGCGAGGCGGCGCTGTCCGTAACAGTCGTTGTTGTCGAGAAGTTGGACGTCCAGTTGTTGGGGAACATCGGAGATAGATGACCCAGCAGGTTGAAATTGCTGCAGTAATCGCAGGCAGATTCGACATTTCGGCGAAAGGACTAAAGTTTGTGCTGATGTTCAAAATGAACAATTACAGCTCCACGACCAAACCATGTAGCTCAGAGAACAAAACTCCACCTAAATCATCCACCTGATCTACAAATCTTCTCCACCTTCTAATTAAGTAAATTTCCCAGAGAATTCTGATAGCATGAAATAGTTTTAACATCTTCTTGGTTACTGAAACATTTCCTCGAGGAATAAGCGAGGGCTTTCAACAATGTATTTAATTAATACGGGCGAAAATAATGCAACAAAAATGAACATTTTTGTTTATCGAAATAACATGAGTAAAACATTTACTTGAATAATGCAGCCACCATTTTAGCTTTATGCATAGCCAAATAAAAGACAGCAGATTCCATCGGATCTTTAGTATTTTGAAATGCTGTACGAGCCATCTGTTAGAAAACAAGATGAATAAAACGAATGAACGCATTCCAATATATTAGGCAGCTCCTAGCTTTCTTCCAACCTAGTCGTAAATCTGACAATATAGTCTGTCAAAGTACGTGGTGGTTAGGCATTCGAAAAAAGATGTCCCAGTAACCTCAGTTAACGAAAATTTACTATTTCATCAATCGATTTGCAAACTTTAGCAAGTATCTCAAGCCTAACTCAGAAATTGCTCACACAGTGGTTCCAAATTACACACCAGAGGTGCTTAAAAAACACTTACAATCGAATACTAGAAGCATACGATAATCTTCTATTCTTAATGGTCATGTTTCACATAGAAAGTAGAAAAGAAAGAAAAAACCAGGCAGTAAACTCGTTCATTCTTGGTAGAACGATAATTCACCTATGCTATATATGATGAAAGTTGGTAAAAGCCAATAGAGATTTCTGAATCCATGCCGAGAATTCATCAGACACTAAACCACCAGGACTGGCGAGAATTCCAAGTGAATTAATCAATATGTCTAACTACCTTACTACTTACAAATAATTCAAACGTTAATCAAAACCAGACTTAAAGCAATATCTTGCAGTCATCGGTAGAGAAACGCTTGCCAAACATGCTTGCATCATTGCTTAAAGTGATCAGAAGACTGGATTTTGTCAGCATCTTCGTCAAACAGAAGTATATGATATGAGAGCAAATCTTTTGGTAGTAAATGAACTCATAAAAAGTCAGGAGATGAGAGCACTATCTCTGAATAAAATATGGACGAAGTGGACAGCCCTAAGATTGATAATTCTGATGACAGTTCTCTATAAACTTTGACTATACTAGCAATTAATTGGATATACAAGGCAATCATGGGCGAAGATTTAAGGATATGAGCACAAAAAAGTAGACATCAATAATATTTCCCTTTAAAAATCAAGTCACCCGGTCAATCGGTCATAATAGAGAACGTGAACCACACACAAGAATTAGAATACGATATTATCAACAGATTTATTCGTTAAACTAATTCCATATTTTACGTTTAAAAGAATAGAAAGAGCTGATAGAACAGTGGAAAGTTGTTGGATTGTAAAGAGATGAACGAAAAGGGATTTGTGATACTTTTCAATATGTGGGAAAATAGTAGTGATTTGGTGATAATATATATTGTTCATAACATGTCCCTTTTCTTTTTCTCTTTCCAAATTTATTTCACTGGATTATATTCCTTGAATAACATCTTCAAACCCTAATGTTTCCGATTATTGCTTATACTCTTGCTACCTCTACCACTACAGGACTTGAATCGACAACTATATCTTTGTGCTAATGTGGTATGGCAACTCGAAGTGATATACGCACGTACGAAGCTCTACGTTATTACTGACTGACTGACCGACTTGTTCATAACAGTGTTTACCTACTTATGAGTAGTATCGATTTCACAATCATTTGTTTGACAAATGATATGAATTTCACACTGTCGAAAGTTATACTAATTTTATGTGGAATATAATTTTGTTTGAACAAATTGATAGGATTCGAGGTAAAATTAAGGTTTTTAAAAGTTCCTAGATGGACCTAGTCAATTAATAGCAAACAGCTGTGAAGAAACAACAAACAATGCCTATACATTTTATCCAGTTTTCGGACTGCATCTTATTACATAGTTAAAATCAGATCTAAGGATTACAAAACAATCTAATGTACCGTATAACAAAAGCCCGATTGGTTATCTGCTAAATCAATATTATAATTTTCATATTTTAGGATTTGACAGCAGTATGCGCCTATCTGTAATGCACTCAATTTAAGAACATAAAGTAATAAGCTTATAATGATAACATGATGGACTGCAACTGATCAGTATATCTCGACATACGTATATCCTATGTATTCAAATTCAGCTGATGAGTCCCGAACAGGACGAAAAGCGGGTGCTAAGTTTCACTGCTATTCACCATACAAGTTAGCTTATAATGATTATGACTTAATGGTAATACATTAAGTCAATATCCGAACACAATTCCCATTTGTTAAAAGAGACTGATCAATTGCAATTCATAACACAGCGAGAAGATTTAAATAGCCGATACAAATAAATTGAAATTCACGCCATTGCACAAGCCAGTGGATATCTGAACTCAGTAGCTAAGCAGATAACACATTTGGTGTTTGAAGCAAAAAGAACTGAGCTCATTATGAACACTAATTCTGGGATGCAAGCAGATTGAGTTGAAGAATTTCAAATAGGACAGAATGTGCATCCTCGATTCCTCTTCTACCACCATCCAACTTAGTAAACATATCGCTTCGAATACCACTGTTTAAACTGATGAAATCGTAAATATATGTTTCTACGATTGCATGTATACATAGCTGTTAACACACAGACGATGACATGTACATACTTTCTCAGCGCAGCGAATCAGAAGACTTTCACTTCGTATCCACCAACCACAACCGTATCGTTTGAAATCTGCCCAATTTAATTCTAATGAATCAGCACCGCTGACTTCACTACCGCCTAGTTGATTAGAAACAATTGGTAATTGTGATAGAAGTTCTTCTTGTGAATCCGAATGATATGCCCATACTAGACTGGAATTAGTTAGGCCAGACGACTGAAATACAATATATGGGAAAAAATCGATATATACATTATCATTATGAAAGTATTCACTGTATTAATAATTCTGTGGAGCTTTGAACTAGCGACATTAATGCCTATTACATACATCAACCCTGTGAAAGTAAATCAATAGTGGTTAGTTGGTGGACACAGAAATACTGTAGTGAACAGAACACGGGTGAGGAAAACCAAATTGTATCTAGCACAAAATTACAGAGTTACTTGGTAAAATAGAAAAACCATATAGTAAATAGTTAATTTGCAAAATATCATTCCATCATATCAAACCGGACTGTTGCTGTTGCAAACATCAATCCATTGTCTCACATTTCCTTGTTCATGCGTTTCCTTACAAATTGCATTGTGTTCCCGCTCTTCCTTTCTTGATCTTCCCCCATCTTCTGCTGCAGACATTACGTTTTTAACTCGCGTCATATACTGCTTATATCGATATAAGTAGCACACACCACAATACTATAATGCATCATATTTTGAGTAGACTTTGTATATATTGAACGAATATACTTAACTTATTAACCAAATACCCACTCTATATTGTCTTAATATGCATTGAGGTTTTCGCAAGAGCCTCAAAATTTGTCACAGGAGCTTAAACTTAAAAACTACTGAAGTGACATAAATTCGTGATATTATATAACCATTTTCCAATATTATTCATGAGTAATTACATCATACCCGAAATAGGTGAAGTCCAGTGATCACAGTTTCTTAATAGAACTCTGGAATAAACTGGTGGAATCAGCCACTAATGAGTACATGATTAACTTTGAGATTCGTGGAGATTGTTGAGTTTTGTAATTCTTAGTTAGACAACTTTCAAAAACCTGAATGCATTGGTTTTCAATGCTCGTCTAACTAAGATCAATACGAGATGCAAATTATGAAACACAATGATTTCCATAATATACGATAATGTGTCTACAGAACAATTATTCCCTATTAAACCAACCCTATTTGTATGAAAATCTTACTTAATATTGAAAAAAACCCAAAGAAAAACGATCATCACTGTCAAAAATGAAGCGATAAAACTTACAAGTAGTTGTGATCGACGTGCAGGTGGTAATGTTTTACTTAAATAAGAATATAATTGAACTGTTAAAAGAAATCGAAGACCACATTCATCTAAACCTTTATAAAGGAAGAAATCAACAACAATGAATTTACACTAATTATGTTCTGATAAAAAGATAGAATAGTAAAACATTTTCTTAAATTTCACATTACGAACTGATGTTATTGAAAAACTACTGAGAAATAGGAAGTAATAGACAGTTGTTTCGTCCTAGTGAATGACTCCTCAGATGTGTGCTTTGACGAATGCATCACATAGGATCGAGCTCAGAAATCTTTTATCTTTAGGCCACTAAGTCGGGATCCAATGGTTTACATTTATAAATTTAATCAGTCCTCGATATACTGGAGACATATTTTATCGACCTTAGTAGGTAAACTGTCTCAAGCTCGATAAGTATGAACTCCGCTAATCATGGTTTCTCATTAGAATTCCTGAGACTGTTTGCCTCTCTTAAACTACGAAAAAAAACCAGTAATCTATCAAAATCAATTACACACTAAAAATATACAATAATCATGCTAACCAGAGGTTAATTTGAAGAGAATGGTGAACTGAACCTGATTAATGTCCAAAGCGTAATTGTAACCTATGGATCAACACTCGAAAGTAGTTATTAGGGTAGTTTCGTAAAGGATTCCACTGTTATTCACAATCCACTTTATTTTCTGTGTTTATGTTTATACTATTATTAATAGTATTCATATGTTTTCAAATTATGTACAGTACAGTGCAGTACAGAGGTATTGGAACTTGGAGAATTACCACAATAATCATCAGAAAAGTACAAGTGTTTACAAACAGTTTCCTACTTGATAACTTCTTATTGTCTTAATATACAGTAGCAACTTGAACTGATGAATATATGTCCCTAGGTCCTAAGTTCCGTATAACTGATTAGCTAACGTAATATTCAGTGAATAATTAAACAATGATAACTGAAGAACTAATGTAAAGGATTGATTAAATTTGCAGGTTGCACTTTTCACAAACTGATCTCATTAGGTTTAGACTGTTAAAAAGTCTGATACTAAAAAGAAAACACTATCTAGTCTTTCCGATGTTTTAATTGTACTCTCAACTAAGTATAAGCTATCAGAAGGGGTTTTGTGGAGATTGTAGTAATTTAACAATAGTTGAGATCATGAGTCAATTGAAGCTAGACCACCATGGAAAACCTGAAAGCAATGGACGGCCGTTTCGTCCTGTTGTGGGACTCCCACAACAGGACGAAACGGCCGTCCATTGCTTTCAGGTTTTCCATGGTGGTCTAGCTTCAATTGACTCATAAGTATAAGCTGTTTATGTTTTAATACTAGTTTTAAAACTTCTAAGGATGAAAAACTTATCTCTATATACGAGCTGATTGCTAATGTCATTATAGTTTGTAATGATAAACATTGAATGCTTGAAGATTGAACGAACTAGCTTTTTTAATACTTATGGAATATACTACTTATCTATTTGACTCAGCTTATTGTATTTTGTTAATTTATTTACATTACAATGAGAATAATCATGGACGATTAGGTAACTTAAATCAAACGAGTTAATTTAAATACAGTAAACTAATATGCATTTTAATTAGACACGTTTAATTTAATAAGGACATCTGATCAATAGAGATGAGTTCGTTAATGGACTGAATGTAAATATATATCCAAACTTTCAATTAGATTTGGTTGCCAAGAATAATCGGTTAGTTATTTGGTTAGAATTAAACCCGGTCTCTATTACCATATATAAGTGAAACCTAGAACTGTCAGCTAACACTGTTGGGATGGATTCCGAGAAGTGATAACCCCTTAGAGTGGGTTTTGATTCTGCTGTAGATGTTAATCGAATGCCTTGCTAGTTTTAAGGTTTCTATCCGATCTAATCCCAACAAGTCGAGTGCTGGATTCTTTGTAAGGTATACTGTTGCATTCGTTGTCACATTACCTTTAGAAACAGTGCAATGTCGCAAATGAGAAGACAGAAGACAAGTGAAAGGAATGCTATTCCAAATAGTGTCACATATGGTATGAAATTCTCGGGTATTTATAGTTTTTAGAAAAAGCGAAATCATTATTGCGGTCATCCAATCTGTATACAGGCGTTTTTAGCATTTGTCCAATAGGGAAGCTACATGCAGAGATTCTGGAATATTCTTTCAAAAGATGATAGGATGGAATATCTTCGGCTCTTTCTGAGCTTCTTAGAGCATCCTCGAGTTCACCGATGGGCCGTCTTCAAATTAATATGTTCTAATTTGATTTACGAAGTCGAAGATTAGAATAAAGGTTTATGGAGACCGAGTAGTATTATTGTAGTGAACAAAGACTTGTTGGGGAAAAACTAATTTATTATTCTATGTGAAATCACACAGTGCCCATGTAAAATATAGAAATCATAAATCAAATAAATCATCTGCCTATCGTCATTGAGTTGTCGTTTACCTACGCTATCATTCTTTTATTCTTGTTGTTATTCCGATCGCTCTCTGTTTCCATTCATGTTCTCTTTATTTCAACCTACTGCTGATTAGCATTCATTCCCAGTTCCAGTTACATACTACTTATAACTGTACGCGTAGGTAGCACACACCATATTACTAGCCTTAGGACTCAGAATGTGGATTGAAACTAAATAGACAAATCTTTACTTGGTAAATGAGTTGACAAACGAAATGGAATTGATAGTAATAAAATAATAATATTAATATTATTAACCTTCGTTAGAATCCTGTCTAATCGATAATCGTCGTGGCAATTGATCCAGCTTCTTCTTATTAGTTGATGAATGGACTTTTGACAAGCAATCCGTAATATCGGAACGTGTCTTCGCCATTAAATCAGCTATACCCAATAAATACATTTGATCTAGTGATGACAGACCAGGTAATCGTTGAGTTGACAAACTATGTTGAAGGACAGTGGAGCATTGATTCGGTGATAAACAAAAGTTTATAATATGTGTGATGATAGAAGAATGTGAAAGGAAAGATAATTAATTAAGTAGATGATGGATATATCAGTAATTATCTAACAACATTACTCTAAACTTTTAGACGGAAATGGATGATGCCTAGCAATGGAATCAAAGACGTGTGTTCCGTCCAATTTAGGACTCGTCAGCTGGATGTACCCGTGTCCCAAACAGTATGCACATATTTTAGGAGAAATTCGTCAATTGCAGTCGCAAATATCAATGGGGAGATTCAGTAACCAATCCATATGAATTAAAACTAGACGTAGAGATAATAATAGCGTACAGCAACTATTCAGTAATTAATGAACTATTTCTAGAGCTTATTTGCGGTTACCGATTCGTGTACTTGGCATGAAAATATACTCTAACTGTTATGGGCAGTGATAATAGGCAGTTGCCTAGGCCGATGAAAATGTAACGCAGCTAGAATCTGTAATTTGTCGGTCAAGAATCAAAAGTTTTAACGATTGTTCTACCGTCCCATTTACAAAAAATATGGAAATTTATTCGCCAATTTTTCTAATTAAAGAAGAAACACTTACTGATCAGCAAGAAGACGGGCATCATCTTCTGAAAATTGTATACTACGGGCTAATGCTGCAGGTTTCAATGACCATATACTAAATCCATATAAATGTGATGATTTGTTTGCAGATGTATTGAATGATAGATTTGAATGATGAATAGTTTTTGATGGGTTACTTTTATCTGTCACATCATAATCGTCATCATCATTATTCGAACTGAGATTTAAATCATCATCCTAAAGAAAGACAATGAAAGAGAATGAAGTCATACGACTGTAGAAGAATTCGTTAAACGTTATATAAAGACATCAGTTCATATAATTACGCTTAGGACTGGAGCAAGATTGAACTTTCTGATATAACGAATGGAATGAAATATTTCTTCGTTCCTCGATATACCATGACACTACGATTATTGTTCATCGGGCACTATGTCATTGCTGAAATAAGTCATTGTAGATTCTAGGGTTTTACATAGGCGAATATTCACACTCGAGAGAAAACGGCTCGATCACATAGAGCTTAATACAACTGAAGAATTAGTTCAATTTGAAGGCGAAATAGGAAATTTGTGTTATATTTTCAGTATTTACTCAACATTTTCGTCGGTTGCTTCGTAAGATTAGTTTAATTCAAGAGAATACGTTTTATGAATTGAATATCAGCTGAAAATCATTTAAAAACTGATAACTACAATATATTCCAGTTTAAGACGATAATCGAAAGTAAATACTGTGTAAAAACAAAACTTTTACCAGTTCGCACTAATACTGAGAAGATAGTTGAGAGATGGGTGCTTAAAAAGTCTAATAAGAAGATACAAACAAGTGGAGTCATCCAAGTTGAAAATGAAACAATAATATAGAATAAAGATTTGAAAATAAAGGTTGTCGAAATGTAATGTGGTGTACTTGACTACTTACATTTCAACTGTTTAACCGCCTCTTAAACCCCAGAAATCGTCTATTCCTGAACCATAAATAAGAAATCAAGAGCTAGATGAATAGAACGTTTACTTTTCAGATTAGTTCTCGTACACAAAACAAGAATAGGTATAGGTTTAAATATGATCTTGGAAATGTAGAAGATTCCAGAGAACATGATGAAATCGGCTTTAAATAAATCAATAATTGTCCTATTAAGATAATGATTGCAAAAATTGTCATTGTCTAGAATTTTCTCAGATATTTCTGAACGACTATGATTAGCCAAAGCACTTACAAACTTTTCATGGTTTTTGTAGGCTTTTTTTAGCGCTATCACAGTCGGTAGTTTTTATTACAACACTTAAGCATATATGCTAACTATGAATATGTAAACAATCATATGGTGAAACGTTTTAAGCCAGAATAAAATGAATGTTATTCACTTTGGGACCAAAAATTTCCCTTTAGAACGAATAACATCATTCAAGTCAGAAAGACTGGATTTATGAGAAAAAAACCATCGGAAGGAATTTCATTAATCAAGTGTTATACATACTTGTATTTCGAAGATGCTTGAATCATCAGTCAATCCATGTTCATTATTCCATTGATTTATAGAATCTACAAGGAAGTAAGGGGTTGTTGTAAGAAAAAGGAGAAGGGAGGCATTATGAAAGTAAGTATTACAAACATAATACAATAGTCCTAATAGAAGAACATCACTCATTCAGTAGTCTAAATATAACATACTCGCTGTCAGATGTGACAATCCCAGATTCAATTATGATAAGATCGTGGATATAAACTAGTGAGGAGTTTTATATCGGAACAAAACAGCTATCCACTATTTTTTAATGCTCAATGATTGTTTAGTTAAAGTTAATCTGTAGTGCAAACTATCGTCTAATTTTAATTAGTATCAGAAAGAGTTTTGTGGAGATTATAGTAATCTCAACAGTGAAGATCATGAGTCAATTGAAGATAGACCACCATGGAAAACCTGGAATCACTGGACGGCCGTTTCCTCCTATTGAGGCACTTCTCAGCAGTGAGCATCCACAACTCCGCCTCGCAGGATTCGAACCCACGACTTATCAGTCTCGTACCAGGCGCTTAACCAACTAGACCACTAAGCCGGCATCCAACGGTGTTAATGTCTAACTTCAACTAATCCATGAAATTGAGCGACACATCCACCATTGTCATCAGTGAGTTACTACCTCACAACAGACCTGGTTGAAATCCACTAGTCACTGCTTCTCACTAGGACTGCAGGATATATATCTTGAAGCCAGTCACTAGTGAGCATATGTTGATTAGCATCAGAAGGGGTTTTGTGGAGATTGAAGTAATTTGAATTAAGCAAATTTTTCCACATTTTTTTGTCTTTTCAATGTTAAAAATCTTTTTTTCATTGATTTGTTGATATTCTATTATGTCATCTTACTACTTTCTTTCCATAGGAATGTTTATATATAGAAGCTTCTCATTTATATGATTTGATTCAGATGGAATAACCGACCTTTCATTGAGTATTTGACTATTCTTTTTGCATTGATTAATCCAGAGAATTTTATCATATTCATTGTTTATGGTAAAATATTAAGAGTATTATTATTATTATTATTATTATTATCTATTATAGATTAAACTATTTGACCTAAATCAAATTCACATTACAGGATGACTATAGAAACAGAGGCAAAAAAATAGTCAAATAATAGTCTTGGGTTCGAATCGCACGAGCGGGATCGTGGATACGTACTGTTGAGGAGTCCCACAATAGGACGAAACGGTCGTCCAGTGCTTCCAGGTTTTCAATGGTTGTTGAATATCAATCGATTTATGATCTCAATTAAAAACTTAATAATCTTCACAATCCTATACTGAAAAAAGATTTTTACACAAGTTTACAGTTGGTCATAATCAGAGACATATAGAGTCTTCAAGGATTTTATGTCCACTGAAAGAATAAAATGCTTACCACTCATGGTCACGGTTAGAAATATCACCGCTGAGATATACTGAAATAAATGTAAGAGGATTAGTTGTACTATATAATCCCTAAAGAGTAATTTATGATCAAAAATTTTCCGGTTACACTAGTTATGTAATCATCATTAAACTAAGTAAATACATATTAATTTCTTAATGATTAGATTCCATAGTCATGATCAGTATGGTGAAATGAGACCATATTTTCTTCATTGATGAAGTGTTCTGGACTATCTTGATGACTCAACAGAGCTAAATGGATTAATATATTTGTTCATTGAAGTCACATTGAGTTGGGCAGATTTATTTCAGTAGTGGTAAGAGAAAAAGTGTTGTATTGGAAATCCAATGATGAAGTTGTACTGCTGAGTGTATTGAGATGCGGCAGCAGTAAGGTATATCATACGGATAGCAAGTCTAAGACAATGATTCTGTTTTTACATATATGAAAGAGGGATAGAAAACATCAGTTCTTAGAAAAGGAAAACCTATTTTCAACAGCGTTACAGTATTAAATGTATTGGTTTAGGCTGTTCACAATAAAATCCGATGTTTTCACGCAAAAACATTTGTTTTGTCTGGTTGGTAAGGCTTTAGACGGAATATCAAACAGAAGTATGAACATTTTTTTCATTATTGACATGAATCCAGACCTTGTTGTTCAACTACATTATCGAATTATCTTTGTATCCAAGCTATTGAAATTTCGTATTGATGTCAACTACATATGCATTCTGAATATGTGATTCATTCAGTATTGACTAGTCAATGGAAGTTGAATACTTAGTTTTCTATTGTAGGCGCGCTTACCAACTTTAACACGTGCTTTCCACTCTGTTTTATGGAAGCTTTCACTAAAACAGAATTGAGCAATATATACAACATTATTTCTCACTAAATGAATGTATGATTAAAACTCAATAAAACTACATACCGAAATGTTTGTTCGATTTCACATCTGCATTAACATCGGTTACTTGCAATGAATCAACAGCTAATAAGACATACAATGGTAAAGGAGGTATTGTATGCATATCTAAAAGATTATTTGAAGAATGAGGTGTATGAGATATTGAAGACACTGGTTTAGATGTTGTATTATTTATTCTTGTTGTTGTTGTTGTCGACATTTTTGATGTCATGGTAGAGTCGAATGACTCGATAACAAAATTGGTTAGTTCTGAATTTAAATTACCCTACATAAACATATAAATATAGAAGAATACAAATTTGTAAATGAAAAAAGAATTAACTATTTTATTTAGAAAAATGAAATAAGCAAAGATTAAAGGTTTTTACCTGAAAATATGAAATTCACAAGAGATAATAGTTGTATAGCATTTTGTGGATTCAAATCATAATCACAGGTGGAAGATGGGGAAGAAGTCCAAGACAGATGGTAAAGGTTGGAATTAGTTCATTGGCTCCAACCCGTGGATAACATGCACTCTATGGTATACATATAGGTATAGGTTCTATTTGATTTCGTTGTCCGGACGCCGGATTCTCTGCAGCAGTGGGAAATGAGTGGATCGCTTGCCCTCAAACCGTTTGGGTTGTAAGTAGTCTATTGACCATCAGCTCCTCGAAGCTCATATCACAAACAAGTTTAGTGTTGACCCCTATCCACTGATAACGCCAAAGTTTAGAACCATCGCTCTGGTTTGCATCAGACCTAATGGGTCAACCTAGATATAATCTAGTTAAAAATCAGGAAGAATAGATTCCGTCTCAAGAAAGATTAGAAAATGAAGATAAGGATTTAATAGTGAACAAGATGAGCTTGAATGCTATTACATATGTGTGGACGGTTAGTGTTTTTTGGTTCCTCACACCTTGGAAAAATACTTCTTTCTGAGGGACCTGGAAAAGAAACTGAGAGTAGTATAGTTTTAGCTCAGAGTTAATCGTGTCAAACGGAACGTACCATTGATCAAGGCCTATGACATTGGACTATAAAACGGATTAGCATACGCAGATTAGAAAAATAATAATAAAAATTCTGGTTAGCAAATCTAGGACGTGATATCGACAAAAACATCTCAGATGTAAAAGATATTGGATTGAGTGTTCTTGTTGACTAAGAAGCGTAATTGAAACAACCATCGGGAAACTGTTTGAGCCTCGTCACATATGGTCTTTTGGGCGGAGTTTTTGATGTTACCTCCGTACTTCAAATGCTTTACTTCTGACCACAGAAATTTGTGGAGGTGAGCTATATTTAGAGGTGACACTTTGTGGCATACCAGGCAAACGCAGCAAATCGGTTGTGAAATGTCATTGATTGAGGTGGTCTGGACATGTATTAGGTATGCCCAATCATCGCCTACCTCAATGTACACAAAAGATTATTCTCAATCTTTTTCCTTATAGCGTGAGATGTTACCAAGTGGTTAAATTGTTGTTACAGACTTACATTTTGTAAAGTTATTTAACTGTCATTCCACTCTCGTATCCATAGTATTGAAAGGGTTGTTGGCTTATGTTCTATACACTAGGCAATTAGTTAAACAGTCATTTCATAAAATCAGGTTAGTAAAAGTGTATTGAAGCCTAAGAAAAAAGCCTGCATCGAGCAATGTAAAAGATAAAACAAGAATAATACATTTTTTCAAAAAATATATGCGTACTTTCGTCATTCTACGACGACTATCAGACTGACTGCTTGACCGTTGGGATGAATTGCCAATAGCGGTTAAACATCTAGTTAAATGCGCTAATATCGCTTTTATACGACGTAAATGACCCAAATTCATCCATTCCAAGAGTTGACGAGGATGGAATTGAGGAAGTATTGGATTTACAATCTAACATGAGAGAAGAATATATGTAAATGTAAGTCAGTAAGTAGTTACAACTAATAAGATCGATAACCACTGTGGCCCATTACCCTCAAACATCTGGGCCACAATGCTTTGTAAACATAAATTGACTCACAAGATCTCTCGTTAAAAATATATATATTAGGTCCGCTAGGGTTCTGGATATCTATACGTTTGTGCTACGGAATCGACCTGTGCTGTTCAGATTGTAATGTTAAATTCTGGATAGTGTTCGGTTTTCCTGAAAATCAATGTAAAATTACCTTAAGACAAAAAGGTATATAATTGTCCGCAGATGCACAGGTACGACCGACTATGAGGGTAGTCCGCTATCCCTCTACAAACGCTCTCATATGGTCGCGAGTATAAAGTCATTACCAGGAAAATCCTACTGACTGCCTTCTTGTGACAGTGGTATTGTTTGTGAAATCTATAGGGTGAAAAGTGAATGATCAATGTTTAATACAGGTTGGTGGGTACAGCGGATCCACCTAAAGTTGAAAAATCCCGATTCCAAACCAATAGTTTTATTAATACGTATACATATTGGTTGTTGTTAATACTTTAAAAGAGATTGACACTTCCCAGTTTCTCAGACTATTGAAGAATATTTCTGTTTGGAAAAAACTGTTTGAGTTTAGTAGTTTTTATACCTTATCACTGGTATCAAAAATCCATGAAGTAACTTACTTACTTGCTTACGCCTGTTACCCTTCGTGAAAAAGCAGAGGCCGCCCAAACAAGTGGTATGTTATCTTTACTTCTGCTTATGAGTAAGCGACATCAGTATAGATGTTTGTTATCTGTAAGACATCCTTCTTACTGTCGCTATATCCCAGTACAATCTCCATCAACGATGGCAACCCCAAGGTTGGACAGAGAAGTTGTGCTGGTGTCATCATCATTTCTAACCGACTTGTTTGGTGGTAGTGTAAGATTTCCAAAAAAAATATTTCAAACAACAGAACTCGATTAGTTTGTCACAATAACCGATTTCCTGAAGCAAATGTTACAAGTTAAACAAATCGCAAACGAAAAAACACACAAAGGGATAAAACAAAATATTAGATTACTTGAATAGCTTCGAATAATCCAAGATTCGATAAGAGTTCCAAATCTTTCAATAATTGTTCATTTGATTTAACGTCTAATCCACTGCCGCTGGCACGATTCAAGTCAATTTGGCTCATTTTTCTAGTTATTTTAAAATTGTCACTAGTGGTATCGGATGTAGTATTAGTAGTATTATTAGAAGTAGCATGTAAATTAGACAAACTAGAATGACCTGAAACAGCATGCAACATTGATCGTGAAGGTGATGACTTTAAAGGATATGGTGAATAAGCTTTAGTTAAACGTGCTACTGACATATTGGAGCTTCCAGAAACTGTAGAATCATCCACAGTATCGGATGTTGTTGTCGTTGCTGTTGCATCGAATGACTCATTCGCACTTGATGAATTATACAATGATTTGGTATCTGAAACGTGAAAAGGTATAATAGAATGATAAGTGAGCAAATTATCAATGTAAAAACTAAACACTATCTATATCTTTATTAGTAAAGTTTTCAGAGTGATTTTAGAAAGATTTTTGAATTTCATTCAAGTGATGAACCTGATGAAGTTAGACCATTATTGTAAACCTGTAAGCACCAGACGATTATTCCATCTTAGTATGAGATTCGTAAGTAGTGCAGATCCACAATCCCTCTGTTGGAAATTGAACCAAAGACTTTCGATATAGTGCGCGAATGTTTAACCGACAGCCAATGGTGTCAATATCCAACCTAAGTCAATCCATGACATTGTGTGCCCAGTGGTTAAACGTCCACGCGTGAGACCGAGGGTCGTGAGTTCCATTCCCGTCCACAGGATCGTGGAGTCACACTGTCGAGCGATCCCATATTAGGACGAGTTGGTCGCCCAGTGTTTCTAAGTTCTCAAGGGTTGTCTAACTTAGATCGATTCGTGATTTAAATGAAATTATTATTAAGGGTTTGAGCTATTCAGTTGTTTTTCTTCAGGACTAAATTTTGATCAACTTTTTTCAATATACATGCATCCTGAGCGGATTGCCTCGACATTGTCATATAGTCAAGAGTTTTGGTAATGTAAGGGTAGCGGCAGTGGGATCTAGTGTTGTTGTTTCCTATTTATGGAACGTCAGTTGTATGTACATGAGTTTCAGTGTTGATGTTTTTATATGCACAAAAAGTCAATACTTTTCATCCTAAAGTTTGAAGCGTTATCCACTGAGCCAGTGAGTTCATATAGCCTCTAGGTGAAAGATACTGGTACTGGATTCAGGTCCCATTGTGGACACGAACACTGAAATGCAAGTATATCCAGTTAACAAGCGAATATAATATTGCAGGCGTACTAAATTTCACTTCTAGTCACGATCTGTCAACTCTATATAATGAAATAATTTATTTGAGAGATTTGTGTAGATTGATTAAATCTAATTCATGTAGTAAATTCAAACGAAACTGAAAACCCCTGAAAAAGAGAGAGGACTGGACAATTGTTTTGTTCTTGTATTAAACTGTATAGTAGTGTGAGCAAATGATTTCACTAGAAAGTAAACTCAAGGTTTTTAACTGTCGTGGAGATTAAATTACCTAAAAAGTTGACAGCGAGTAGGTTTGAGTACCACGGATAAAGGTGAAAAAGATATGCGCTACGTTAGATTCATCGAGAACTGAAAATGAAATATAAATGTTAGGATTCGCTATCGTTACGAAATACTCTGCATCTAAACTCAACATCAATTACTCAGTGGTCCGATGCCAGACTATCTTATAATACAACTAATTTGATATCAAATTTTGCGAAGTCTCCACAAAAACTATCAATCCGAAGTTAATGATAGGTAAGAAAAAGTGAAACTTTTAAGACTTATAAAACTTAACAAATCTTATTACTAATTATATTCATGTATCCATAACAAGGTGAGTATACTAAGTAGCGCTACGTTCTATTTTGCTTTATGGTTGTGAAACATACTCCTTAAAAAATATCTGTAGGTCACTAGTATTTGATTATAAGTGTTTAGGAAGCATTTCTAGCATATTCTGATATTACCAAGTGAGTAGTGTTGAGGTTAAGAACATAATACTAAGTAAAGATGTAAAATGGGTTGATGAGATTGTGAATCTCCATCTATCGAGGTGATTGGGACATTACAGTGGAAATGTCCAACAACTCCGATGTTTGCTGGTGTAGGATTAGGTTAACAATGAGCCAGAGGCTATTAAACTAAGACATCTCTTTTGTTCATTAAATCATTGAGTATCGCTACATACAGACTTCCTGGTTGGAGTCCGCTCGACCATTGTAACCAAGTTTGTTACAGATGTAGGATGACATAGCTGAGAATCACAAACTCATTCTTTCTTCTCGAATCGTATTATATTTACTATTCTGAGAGTTTTTATTGATAATGTTATCTTGTCGTGTTTATTACTGTGATCTGACAAATTAATTCACTTAATATCTTTATCCCAGATTCAATATCATTTATAACTGAATGGCTGATAATTACAAAAGAATCTATAAAATAACAGTGATTAACTTACTGCTCAGTTTAGGTTTTACATGCCACTTAAATAAATTATACAAATTATCTGATGGCCATTGACTAAACAACTGGAGTTCAGTTTTTGCACTAATTAGTAATAGACCATCACGAAGCCATGCAGCTTGTTTGATAAAACAACGATGACTACTACCACCATGCAAGGCAGTAGTTGAAGAATATCTCCAACAAGATTCTTGTTGTTGTGTTGGCACTGATTTCTTCTTTTCAATTGATGTAAGAGATGATAATGATAACGATGACGAAGAGTTGAAGTCAGCTGTGACTATACGAGTACAAGCGATAGGTTTCCAACCTACATACACTTCACCAATTGTAGTCATTAATGTTGGCTGACATGCATGCCCACCTCGTAGTTTATTACGACTTAATGAAAGATTTTGACAGACCGGTGCAAAAACAAATATTTCCGAATCAATAATGATTGATAGTAAATGTCCGCCATCTTCTGCATTAACCCAATCCAATTGAATAGATGATAACTAATGATTGATTAAGAAGAGAAAGATTTTAAAATAAAACAATTACACATAAAACCGTAGAATGCGAAGATCAGTGGATTAGAGGTTAAACGTTCGCGCATGAGACCGAAAGTCCTTAGTTCGATCACCATGTGCAGAGTTGCCGACGCGCAACGACTCTGAGGCGTCCCAAACTAGAATGAAATGACTGTACTGTGCTTCCAGGTTCTCAATGGCAGTATAACATTGGTTGCTTTATGATCTCAATGAAATTCTACATGAAATAAGGGAACAAACCCTGTGCTGTAAAACAAGCTAAAACGACCTATAAAATATTGAGATCCAGACCTACTAAGCCAATTAACATGTAAATATTTACGAATTACGCATTACGCTAAAACCAGGCATGGTAGTTAATGTTAGTAGGACATAAAGAAACTTAGCCCTAACTCTCAATCTTAATTCCCAGCACTATTTCCTAACTCGATTTTAATGAGTGCGTTGTAACTTCGAAGTGGTTTGAACGGTCACCATTGGAGTGGCGATATAGCTAAGTTTAACCGCAAACGAATTAGTGTTTGTGTAAAACAAAAGTGTATGATACGTATTTTACATTTACGTGCAAAAATCTGGTACATTAGAAGGATAGAGATGTAGGTATAATATTGTGCTCAATTGAATGCATACATATATACTAAAGAAACTTGATATAACGGTTGATTTAAAATACTTTTCTTCCCGCGGTATACTACAACACTACGATTATACATTAAAGAGATTGGAACGGATGATCCAGTTCAGAATGCCAATACACACCACTACATACTTGAATGATCCACTATACACAGACCAGATCATGTTATAACAGATACCCCCGTTCACAAACAAGAATAAATAACCAGAGTAACACTTGACAATACTTTATTCTACACAATTACAAGCAGTTAGTCTTAGTGAGTCTGGAGTAGGAAATAAACGGAAGGGAAGAAAATCACATATTGAATTGTCAGTAACCTGAGTGACTGTTTGTTCATTCTTAATGACCAATCACATTTACTTTCACAACCACACATCAAACCCACTTCATACTGGAGGGTTTCGCTAGCAACAGGTCAGGTTATCGATTGTTTTTGTTATCACATATTATTTGGTTAGTTAAAGGATAATTGCGATGACAGTTTTCTATGATGACATTTGCAGCTATTTCATTAGTTGTAACAATTTTTAGTTTGCTAAAATCGTTATGTGCTGAAGTCTTCCGGTGGTAATGTATGGAACAAAGGTAATCCATTTCCAGTTTTTTTCTTCCTTTTGGGATTATAAAGTTGCCGCTATATCGAGGATGCCATAGAATACCTTCGTATAAGAATAAGCTCAATCGGTTTATAACTACCAAGTAGTGTAGGCCCAAACTGAATTTAACACCAACATACAAAAAATCTACAGTAATCTTCATAGTTCTATTGAGACTTATTACTGGCTACAAAATACGAAGTACATACAAACGGTACCTTTAATAAACAAAATATAATTCAGTCTTATTGGGATTCATGGACAGTAAAAGACATCGGCAGATGAACCTTAGCTATTTTAATGAGGAAATAGATCTGATCTACTGATTCACCTGATCTTGTAGAGCAAGTTATACGTAGTGTAGCCAGAACTCGCTTTCAACACGGATATCAGAACACATTTCAGCATCATTATATTAACTTCGAGAGGAAAGCGGTTAAGAAGTTTACCTTTGAACATCAAGTCGACTCTAATCAATCAACTGACAGACAATGTTGTATGTAACATTGATTCAGATCTATCTTCTGCATCAAACGAAACAGCTACCTAATGATTTCAGCCCCTTCATGGTGGGTCTAATTAGGATCAGTTCATAATATAGATTGCGAAAATTCGACAGTCTCTACAAATCCCTTTGTACTAAATTGAAAAAAAATACCACTGATTGAAAACATGAGTCAATTGAAGCTAGACCACCATGGAAAACCTGGAAGCACTAGAAAGCCGTCCTGGTCCTGGGTTCGAATCTCGCGAGGGGGATCGTGGATGCACACTGCTGGGGAGTTCCAGTGCTTTCAGGTTTTCCATGGTGGTCTAGCTTCAATTGACTCATGATTTTAATCAGTGAAATTTCTAAAATCACCACAAAACCCATTCTGATAAAAAAATATCAATAATCGATTTTTTGAAAAAAACTGTTTCAGAATGAAGATCTAAGAAACAAAACAATCATCAGAGTAAATTTTCCACGCACACACATATATATACAGAATATAAATTACCTTATCAATATTATTTTGAAAAAGACAATATTCCGATGTTAATTCAATGGTATCTTCTAAGATCCATTCGCATCCACCTAGAAATATCAAATAGATAAATAACATTGAAAAAGAATTCTTTATCAAGTTGTTTAGTGAGTATTCATAGTCAAAATGGGACAATAGTGACATGATTATAGATCAGTCGAAATTGATATAGTTTATATTAACAAAGAGAAATTATGAAAAGTACTTTTCTTCTTCATTGTTCTATTCAATACAAACATAGTAGGACATGTGATAAGTGTAGATGGTATAACAATGTCAAAAAAATTATTAAATTGTCTGTATTCTTATTTCAGAAGAACTACACTAGACATGAAAAGGAAGGATAGCAACTGGAAAGGATTGTCCAGGACAGAGTTGGATGGAGAATGCTGGCAGGCGGCCTATGCTCCTCCACCAGGGGTGATGTGTGGGCGAGAATGATAATGATTGGTTTTCTGCTTAGTCAGACATGTAGATAGTCTGACATGTGTAGATGAGTTATGTATTCCCCTGTCCTTTTTATTATTACGATTCACTTATCATTGACTGTTCATTGTTGTTGGATTGTGTCGGGTTTTTAATATGGAAATATATTTACGTTGCGGTCAGGCTAATCACGTGTTCTTGATCTGAGTTGTGTTGAAGTCCTGTAAAATAGACACTGGCAGGAAATTTAGTGTAGATATTCGTCTAAGGTAAATTATCGTCCCATACATGTAAACGTGGAAACCCAACCGTTATAACATTAAACGAAGTAAAACCGAGCGCTGTAACAAAAGGTAACAGGAGTAAGTAAGCAATTAAGTACAGTTATATACAATGACTATTTAATGGATTAAGTTATGTTGATCATGTTGCCTAGAAAGACAGTAAAAGCTTCACAATTAAACCATCATCCAGGTCAATGAGCATAACACCTACAAAATCCTCATATTGAACTAAAAACATTTTCTGTCATTACAAAATCATATGCGCATAACATGTTTCTCACTGTTTGAAAACAGGAAAACTTTGTCAATAAGAAAGCTTCCACAAAAGAATAGGTAATATTTCTTCTAAGAATGCCCATATCATTATGTTCTCCCAACAAGTGTTAGAGATGGGCCACTGATTAACTGTTAAAAACAGATTGGAAAATATCTGAGAAATGTTGGAAACAAATGATACAAGTAATCATTAATACATAAACATCAACAGGTCAAAGACAACTAGAAGAAAATACTCGAAGGAATAATTACACCAGAGCATCTAACAAGCTTAACAATTGTAATAGAAAATAGAAAAGAAATGAATTTAGAGGAACATCATTCGAAATTTCCAAAACCCCAAATAGAAGAAAAGATAAACATAGTTGTGTAGTGAACATATCAAATCATTGTTTAATCACAACGAAAGGATAACTTATTCAAAATGAATTGAATTATAATAATATAAGAAATGCTTCAAAACTGAAATTCTTTATAATACTGATATTATCGGATCATGAACGATGACGATAGGTATCAATGCTAAGATTTGACTAGATAGTTTCAAATAAATTGAGTATTGAGTAGAAAGTTAATAATAAATATCTTTTATTTGTTATATTCTAATGAGTAGGATAAATTGTATTTCTAATGTTTCGTAACTTAATATAAGTGTTATAATTTGTGCCCTATGCCACTATCAATATATATGACGTAATGATACCGCCAATTAGAGAACAGTGAATTATCGACCAGACCAATGACGTATAAGATACTTACGAGCAAACTAGAGTCCTTATCGGTCCTGCTTCCTGCCTAGCCCAGCCAGTTAGGTCCAGATATACCTTTTTTAAAGCTACTATTAATTTATTACGAACCTACTACATAGCTCTCTTCCACTTATGGCGTACTTATTTCAGGATTGTAATTCGATTGAATTGGATACAGTAGAGAACTAATCTGTTTCCTATCTGCATCGTTGGATTGCCCATTGGGTTATCAGAAGCTCGACAACATATAAGCATTAACATTTTGGTCACTATTAATTGGTTGATGTATCACTTAGCAAATATAAGTTCATTGGTCCTATTGAGGATACATGTGAACTAATCGATAATCAGACTTAAGAAAGAGAGAGAAAAAAATCATACACCTGCTTTCCTGTTATTACGACCCGATCGCACAGGATCCAATACAATCCAGCCCAAGAAAAACAGTTTGTTATTGTTTTCTTTTGTCTTAACAAGATCTGACAAAAGTTACAGACTCATACTACTTTGCCTTCACGTCCTTATATCTGAGTTAGTAAAGACACATGTATATTTACCTATGAATTATGTATATCATTATTCGACGTTTGGCATTAAACTATACTATGTGATTTCTATAATGAGTCTAGTCAATCTTTAAGAGGTGAGTATGCTGACGTCGTCAATGAATCGAATAAAAGACAAACATATTTAGTATCAGAAGGGGTTTTGTGGAGATAATATCCACAAAACCCCTTCTGATACTAATCAACATATGCTCACTAGTGACTGGCTTCAAGATATATATCCTGCAGTTCTAGTGAGAAGCAGTGACCAGTGGAGTTCAACCAGGTCTGTTGTGAGGTAGTAACTCACTGATGACAATGGTGGATGTGTCGCTCAATTTCGTGGATTAGCTGAAGCTAGACATTAACACTGTTGGATGCCGGCTTAGTGGTCTAGTTGGTTAAGCGCCTGGTACGAGACTGATAAGTCGTGGGTTCGAATCCTGCGAGGCGGAGTCGTGGATGCGCACTGCTGAGGAGTGCCACAATAAGATGAAACGGCCGTCCAGTGATTCCAGGTTTTCCATGGTGGTCTAGCTTCAATTGACTCATGATCTCAACTGTTTGAATTACAACAATATTTATTTACAATTAATGAATTAAGAATAACTATTTATTACTTACCACTAGATTCACATTCATAAACAGTAACATAGATTGTTAAGTCATTCTTATTACTTTGAATCCAATCTAAATTTGATTGCCCATGTTTGTCCATATTATCATTATTACATAATTGTGATGAAGTATATGCCACAGCTAATCGTCCACTATATGCACAATCTATGTCTAGAATAATGGGTTTATTCATCTGTGATTCATCATTAACACGAGTTGACTTATTATGATTATTATTGGTATGCAGCTGTAATTCAATACAACTAGACATTGACTGCATTAATGGCATTTGCCATTCTTCCCATGTAAATTGATCGTGGACTGAAGAAAAAAGAAACACTATTATTGTTAGACGCAACTGAAGATTCACAATAATTTCAAGGTAATTTTCATTACGTAAACTAATGTAATCCACAGAACTATTGAGGTTAGTTGGTTTAAGATGGTTGGATAACTTTGTGCCAGTTGGACTCGATAGCAAGATAAACCCATAGTCCCGATGGAATTATTTCCCTCCATATGATTCAAACTTGGGTCACTCAGATTCACATTTAGAGATGTTAATGTTGAGACAAATCCAATGCAAATACATAATACTTTCATATTGATTGATCAGCAAGTAGAAATGACCGATATCTTGTTAGTTTCATCTTGACTAGTATTGATTGAGTTCTATTAATCAAATCGCAATGTAGTGATTGGTCTAAATGATTCAACATCGTTTTAACATCAAATAGTTAGGGGTAGTAGAAAGGAAGAACTCATTGATTAATCGATTGGAAATATCTCAGCTCTGCAGGGAGTCAATTGAAAAGTGAATAGACTATAGGTAACGTGTCAGACTGTCAAAACGGATGACATGGGCTTGAAAGCTACAGGAAATATCAACTCCTTTAAAACTGTAGGTAAACCTACCTTACTACCCAATGTCAACTAGAGAGAACCTTATGTCCTGAATTTCCTGATGACCAATTGCGATTACCCTAACACATATATGATAAAATTAATAGTAAATATATTTTATTTAGAATAACAAAGTATAAAACTATTTTACCTCCTTCCAAAGTGAAATTATTACTATTCGAATCAGATTCACATCGCCAAAATCGTAAACAACCATCTGAACATGCAGTAACAATTAAATAAGGCGGTGGTGCATTAAATGTTGATAAAGCAGCCCAACTTACATGTGCTGCTGATACTTGAGCACAAACAATAGATACACCTGATGGTAAATGTAGTTTACAATCACATACCTAGATTGTTTAATTCAAATAAATAATAGATGAATAGAAAGACAGTACAAAAGAATGTAATAAATATATGTGACTTAAGATACATTGATATTTTCACTCATAAGAAATAGTTTCATATGAAAATGAGATAAACGACGCTTCTTGATAGTAGAGTTCACTGATGAATGATAAATCATAGTCATAAATAGACAGATAGTGATCAGTAGTGGAATTCAGGAAGTATGTTACATTCCTATCTGTGATTCGTTAGCTGGATTTACCTGTATCCCAGCATTGATGTTTGTCACATTGAAACTTAAATCAAGTACCATTCAATTCTAATGTTTAAAGTGTTATCCATTGAACTATTGAGTTCAGATAGGTATTAATTAATTAAATGAATAAAAAGATATTTGTAGTGAATAGGATAAAATGTTAATTTTGGATTCTATTGTTAGGGGCGTATTCAATATACTAAGGCTTGTGAAGTACTCTGCATAGGATGCGAATTGCCAATCAGCCATATATAGTGTAGAACCTACCATACATGTACATCGCCTCATATTGCCACATCACAGAGTAGTAGAAGTAGTAATAGTATCGGTGGTAATAGAAAAGACTAGGAATAAAGGATACGACTGGAAAATATAGATTAGTGGAATGTCAAAAAATGTATAGGAAAATTTTAAAACTTAGTGTTGCATCTACACCATGGTGAATAATTTCGAGCCATGTCACTTGAAGTCTATAACCAATGATTACGATGGTAACATGAACCCCGAACCAGGTAATGTTCATCTGATTAAATGGCTTAGCTTGTCACTAACTTCATGAACTGATGCAATGTCTTGGTTCGGGCACTACTACATTTTTTCCAACCTACTGTCCTACGCTAGTCATCATTCCTTATACATATATACCTAAAGAGACTAATCAACCGCAGTATTGAGTACAAAAATAAGATAAATTAAAAACCTTTGACAATTTATTCCAACCACTGAGGAAAAAAAAGGAAAACAACGATCTACAGTGGGAAATAAGAAGAAAGTATTATCCTATTAATAAGCTGATTACCTTAATTCCATCTGTTATTAAATTATTAAATATGGTCGTAAGATTATCACTGATTAGATCCGATTTGCCGGTTATACAATTCTTAATGGAAGAATTTCCATCTATCATCATATTAGAAGAAGAAGACTTAGTATTCGTTGAAACACAAACACGCCACATTTCCATACGACAAAAATCCGTCTAAAAAAGGAGATGAAAAATAATCGGGAGCGAGAGAATGCACAATAAAGATCTCATTCATTGAATAATTTTACCAAGTTATTGTTATTCGCTTTAAATCATACTTATGACACAAATACTAGCGATATCATATAACAAAGTAAGGCCTACATTGGTTCAAGTTGTCGTACTATATATCGACACAATGATGTCGAATTATTAGGATAAATGTCAGGGTAGTGAAAGTGCAATGAATGAGAACACCAGTGGGGACAATCAAATGTGTTCTTAATACAACATTACAGAATATCATGGTAAAATCTGAGAACCATAAATAAATACTTCATTTGCAGAATATCAATAAATTGTCTAAAACTGTGTTGTTCCTTCGTTTCTATAAAAATTACTCTCTGCTCTCGTTCTCTTCTCTTTGATTTGCTCAACCATCTGCCGCAAGGCCTTCGACATTCGATTGGTGATACATTCCATCTATATCTGTTAACATCGGTGGCATATACCACAAAAGAAGTAATAACATCAGTGATCGTGAACAACATCCTTCACATATAGAAAAAACAACGAATACAAAACACAAAAGGTACAGAATCACTTTGAAAATCAAGATTTGAAGGATTACAGAATAACTTGCTAAAATAGAAAAACTATATAGTAAATCGTTAATTTGCAAAATATCATTCCATCATATCAAACCGGACTGTTACTGTTGCAATCATCAATTCAATGTCTCACATTTCATTGTTCATGCGTTTTCTTACAAATTGCATTGTGTTCCCGCTCTTCTTTTCTTGATCTTCCCCATCTTCTGCTGTCAGACATTACGTTTTTAACTCGCGTCATATACTGCTTATATCAATATAAGTAGTACACACCACACTCGTCCCACCTTTTAATAAGTTGTCGTCGTAGTCTTTCTGATTGCCGTACCGCTGTCTTCTTTGGTGCTTTTCGTGACTCCCACCCATGATGATCTTGAAACCACCTCTGCAGTTGACTAGCGTTTACGCGCTTCTGCTTGTCTCCTCTCTGGATCATGCAAACTGAGCCGCGTCTCTCCGTGATAACGTACGGTCCTTCCCATTTCAGGATCAGCTTTCCTGGCCCTGCTCCCCCTGCTATGCTACTTTTTTGTTCTCTACACTTTAATAGGTCCCCCACTGCAAAGGTTTCCACGTTCTCCTCTGTTGTTCCGCCTTCTTTATGTCTGATATTTGTTTCTTTTCCACGTTCCTTATTGCCTCCCTCCTCTCTTTTCTTAGCCTTGTTGTCGTCCACTTCTCTTGTTGTGGCCAGGTCTTATTGTGCATTGAAAGTCGTGGCTGTCTGCCATTCATGAGTAAGAAAGGTGACTTCTTGGTTGTTCCTTGTATGGAGAAACGATGCGCCAGCAAAATCAATGGTAACTCTTTCTCCCAATTTCCTCCTTTAGATGCTAACCACTCCTTCAACGTCCGGTTGTTTCTCTCTGTAAGCCCGTTTGTTTGAGGATGATACAGTGTAGTTCGTATCCTCTTGATGCCAAACTATTTTAGACGGGCTTTAAACTCGTCACTTTCAAAACACGGACCCTGGTCAGTTAATATCATCTTCGGTATTCCGTGACACGCTACAATATGCCGGATTACCACTTCGGTCACTGTTCTTGCCCGCTGGTCTGCAATGGGTACGGCATCTACCCAACGTGTAGCATGTTCCGTCATCACTAGCAGGTACTGGTTACCGCTCGCCGTCTGTGGAAACGGTCCCATCACATCCACCGACCATAGATCACCGACTGCGGTTACTGGGATTGACTGTAATGGCGGTTGTGTGTATCGATCGCTTTTCATTAGCTGACACTGCTGGCAAGTTAACACGTATTCAGCCACATCATCTCTCATGCTCGGCCAGTATGCACTTTGTCGTAGTAAGTCCGTCGTTCTTGCGATGCCTGTATGTGCTACCTGGTGACACTCGTGTATCACTTTACGCCGCCAGTCTTTCGGGATCACCGCCACCCAATTCTCATCATCGTCCTGCCAGGTCAGCACTCCATATGAGTTCACTCTCAGTCGTCCTTTTGCCGAAGCAGCGTTATTACCTCCTTGTCCATTGTTCGTTTATCTACGTCTGCTCCCTCTTTTATCACTCTGATTACCTCTCGAAGGTTAGGGTCAGCTTTCTGCTGCCGGACGAGTTCTAATGGGTCTCCCTCTAAACTATTCACCGCGTATGCTGTTAATGGCAGGTCGGCTTCCATGTCTGGTCTTGACAAGTAATCCGTCATTCACATGGCCGATACTGAAATCGTATTCTTGCAGGCGTATCATCCATCGCGCCAACTTCCCTCGGGGGTCTCTTGCTGTTTTCAACCACTGCAGGGGTTTATGGTCGGTCTCAATGTGAAATCGTCTACCTAAAAGGTATGGTCTCCATTTTTCCACTGCCCACACGATCGCTAAACACTCCTTTTCGATGGTTGAATACTTCTGTTCAGCAGGTGTGAGGACGCGACTCGCGTATTCCACCACTCTATCAGCCTGACTCAACACAGCACCTATACCATGATCACTCGCGTCTGTGGCCACTGTAAACAGTCTTCCCGGTTCAGGCAGTCTGAGCGTCATCTGGCGATCGTCTAGCATGTTTTTGATTCGGTTGAACGTTTGTTCGGCAGTCTCAGTCCACGTAAACTTGGTGCTGCTCAATAACTTATATAAGGGTGCTGCTATTTCGTTGAAATTCTTGACAAACCGACTGTAGAACGCCGCTCTTCCCAGGAACTGTCTCAACTTCCTTTTCGAATTAGGTACTGCAATATTTTTTATGGTAAGAATTTTCTCCGGCAATGGTTTTATTTCTCCATTTCCCACTTTATGTCCCAACAATGTGACGCTACTTCTCGCTATCTGCGACTTGTCCTTATTAATCCGAAGTCCAAATTCGTCAATTCGCTTTAAGACCGCTTCCACATGCTTGATGTGATCTGTTTCTGTTTGACTGTACACAACTACATCGTCGCCATATACCTCGACATTATCTAGATTCTTGAGCAGTAGTGTCATTAATCTTCTGAACGTGAACGGTGCACCCGCCAACCCGAACGGCATTCGTTTAAATTGATACTGTTTATCACGTACAGTAAACGCTGTCTTGCTTCGATCACTCTGTTTTATAGGCAGTTGCCAATAACCTGACCGTAAATCCAGCACTGTAAACACCGTGGCATTCTGTAGCCGATCTAATGTTTCCACCACTGTTGGCATTGCACAAGGCTTCAGGTCTGTTATATTATTCAATTCTCTGAAGTCGACACAAAATCTATACTTTCCATTTGGTTTCTTTACCAAGAGTACCGGCGAGCTATATGGGCTGTCCGCTTCCTCAATTATACCTTCTTTTAACATTTCCTGGACCTGACGATTTACCTCGGCCTCTAAATGCACCGGGACACGACGTGTTGCAAATATATTTACTCGACTGTTCTTTATCGGTATTTCGTGCTTTACTCTGTCACAAAATCCATACGGCTCCCCATCTCCAGTGAACAGTTTCGCATACTTTTTGCATAACTCGTGAATGTTTGGTTTCTTTGACGAGACATCCGCTGCAACTCTTATTTCAGCACTTCGCTACTTTCGTGTATTGTCAATGAACCATATTTCGTGACCACCTTACCGCTTCTTAAGTCAACTATCGCTTTTACTTCTCTTAGGAAATCTGCTCCTAATATCGGTCTCGATAAGCTTGTGGTTACGACGAACGGAAAATTTATCTCAGCATCCCCCACTTTTACGATACTGTTAGATACGCCAAACACCTCTAACATATGGCCCCCTATCGTGTGGACAGCTAATGTACACGGCTTGATTCTCTTACATTGCTCTTTGCCTATTAACGATACTGCTGCACCTGTATCGATCAGACAAACTAAATCTCGCTCATTTATGTTCACTCTCGTATATACTGCCCCTCTGTCTACTAACGCAACAATCCCCAGATTCCTAGGATAGAAAGAACACACGTTGTAACGTCTAACATATCTGCGTCTTCGTCTTGTTGGACAGTTTATCTTCCAATGTCCTGTCCCTCCACAAGCGTAACATTTATCGTTCCTTTTATTGTTCACTCGTATTGCTGCAATCTCACGCTCCAGCTCCTCAATCTTCTCGACATTACTCATCTCCTGCTTTTCGCACCCGACCGGAGCTACTGTTCGCGTCATCAGCTGACGAGTCACCTTCGCCAGTTCACTGATATCCATCGGTTGCGCTGCGTTCACCAGTTTCAGCTGTTGGGAGACGGTGGCAGGCACACTCTCGATAAACTGTGACGCCGATAACTGTGCCTCCGACTCCTCATCCAGACTCGGCAGCGCACGGCGTAACAATCTGGTAAGCTCCACAGTCAGCACCAATGGGTCACCATCGACCGACAACCTCGCCAACCAGAACTTCTGCAGTGCCTCCTCTCTGTCCACTGGGCTGTCGAACTCCGCCACCAACCGCTCCGTGACTGTCTTCCATGTCGTCTTTCCGCCAGCATCGTCCAAGCTGTCACATACAGCCTTCGCCCTGCCTCTCAGCAGCGTCCCCAGCATCACCAACTTCGCCTTCGGCTCCTTCACTCCCACCAGCTCCGCAACGGCCTCAAACTCCTTCAGGAAGCTCAGCACATCTCCGTCGTCAAATTCCTTCGGTCATGGATGGATATCCAGAGCTGAATTTACAGTCAAGTTATTGGCAACTGCCTACAAAACAGAGCGATCGAAGACGAAGCCTTGGCGGAGTTGGTGGGGTGAAGGAGCCGAAGGCGAAGTTGGTGATGCTGGGGACGCTGCTGAGAGGCAGGGCGGAGGCTGTATGTGACAGCTTGGACGATGCTGGCGGAAAGACGACATGGAAGACAGTCACGGAGCGGTTGGTGGCGGAGTTCGACAGCCCAGTGGACAGAGAGGAGGCACTGCAGTAGTTCTGGTTGGCGAGGTTGTCGGTCGATGGTGACCCATTGGTGCTGACTGTGGGGCTTACCAGATTGTTACGCCATGCGCTGCCGAATCTGGATGAGGAGTCGGAGGCACAGTTATCGGCGTCGCAGTTTATCGAGAGTGTGCCTGCCACCGTCTCCCAACAGCTGAAACTAGTGAACGCAGCGCAACCGATGGATATCAGTGAACTGGCAAAGGTGACTCGTCAGCTGATGACACGAACAGTAGCTCCGGTCGGGTGCGAAAAGCAGGAGATAAATAATGTCGAGAAGATTGAGGAGCTGGAGCGTGAGATTGCAGCAATACGAGTGAACCATAAAAGGAACGATAAATGTTACGCTTGCGGAGGGACAGGACATTGGAAGATAAACTGTCCAACAAGACGAAGACGCAGATATTTTAAACGTTATAACGTGTGTTCTTTCTATCCTAGGAATCTGGGGATTGTTGCGTTAGTAGATAGAGGGGCAGTTTATACGAGAGTGGACATAAATGAACGAGATTTAGTTTGTATGATCGATACAGGGGCAGCAGTATCGTTAATAGGCAAAGAGCAATGTAAGAGAATCAAGCCGTGTACATTAGCTGTCCACACGATAGGGGGCCATATGTTAGAGGTGTTTGGCGTATCTAACAGTATCGTAAAAGTGGGGGATGCTGAGATAAATTTTCCGTTCGTCGTAACCACAAGCTTATCGAGACCGATATTAGGAGCAGATTTCCTAAGAGAAGTAAAAGCGATAGTTGACTTAAGAAGCGGTAAGGTGGTCACGAAATATGGTTCATTGACAATACACGAAAGTAGCGAAGTGGCTGAAATAAGAGTTGCAGCGGATGTCTCGTCAAAGAAACCAAACATTCACGAGTTATGCAAAAAGTATGCGAAACTATTCACTGGAGATGGGGAGCCGTATGGATTTTGTGACAGAGTAAAGCACGAAATACCGATAAAGAACAGTCGAGTAAATATATTTGCAACACGTCGTGTCCCGGTGCATTTAGAGGCCGAGGTAAATCGTCAGGTCCAGGAAATGTTAAAAGAAGGTATAATTGAGGAAGCGGACAGCCCATATAGCTCGCCGGTACTCTTGGTAAAGAAACCAAATGGAAAGTATAGATTTTGTGTCGACTTCAGAGAATTGAATAATATAACAGACCTGAAGCCTTGTGCAATGCCAACAGTGGTGGAAACATTAGATCGGCTACAGAATGCCACGGTGTTTACAGTGCTGGATTTACGGTCAGGTTATTGGCAACTGCCTATAAAACAGAGTGATCGAAGCAAGACAGCGTTTACTGTACGTGATAAACAGTATCAATTTAAACGAATGCCGTTCGGGTTGGCGGGTGCACCGTTCACGTTCAGAAGATTAATGACACTACTGCTCAAGAATCTAGATAATGTCGAGGTATATGGCGACGATGTAGTTGTGTACAGTCAAACAGAAACAGATCACATCAAGCATGTGGAAGCGGTCTTAAAGCGAATTGACGAATTTGGACTTCGGATTAATAAGGACAAGTCGCAGATAGCGAGAAGTAGCGTCACATTGTTGGGACATAAAGTGGGAAATGGAGAAATAAAACCATTGCCGGAGAAAATTCTTACCATAAAAAATATTGCAGTACCTAATTCGAAAAGGAAGTTGAGACAGTTCCTGGGAAGAGCGGCGTTCTACAGTCGGTTTGTCAAGAATTTCAACGAAATAGCAGCACCCTTATATAAGTTATTGAGCAGCACCAAGTTTACGTGGACTGAGACTGCCGAACAAACGTTCAACCGAATCAAAAACATGCTAGACGATCGCCAGATGACGCTCAGACTGCCTGAACCGGGAAGACTGTTTACAGTGGCCACAGACGCGAGTGATCATGGTATAGGTGCTGTGTTGAGTCAGGCTGATAGAGTGGTGGAATACGCGAGTCGCGTCCTCACACCTGCTGAACAGAAGTATTCAACCATCGAAAAGGAGTGTTTAGCGATCGTGTGGGCAGTGGAAAAATGGAGACCATACCTTTTAGGTAGACGATTTCACATTGAGACCGACCATAAACCCCTGCAGTGGTTGAAAACAGCAAGAGACCCCCGAGGGAAGTTGGCGCGATGGATGATACGCCTGCAAGAATACGATTTCAGTATCGGCCATGTAATGACGGATTACTTGTCAAGACCAGACATGGAAGCCGACCTGCCATTAACAGCATACGCGGTGAATAGTTTAGAGGGAGACCCATTAGAACTCGTCCGGCAGCAGAAAGCTGACCCTAACCTTCGAGAGGTAATCAGAGTGATAAAAGAGGGAGCAGACGTAGATAAACGAACAATGGACAAGGAGGTAATAACGCTGCTTCGGCAAAAGGAACGACTGAGAGTGAACTCATATGGAGTGCTGACCTGGCAGGACGATGATGAGAATTGGGTGGCGGTGATCCCGAAAGACTGGCGGCGTAAAGTGATACACGAGTGTCACCAGGTAGCACATACAGGCATCGCAAGAACGACGGACTTACTACGACAAAGTGCATACTGGCCGAGCATGAGAGAAGATGTGGCTGAATACGTGTTAACCTGCCAGCAGTGTCAGCTAATGAAAAGCGATCGATACACACAACCGCCATTACAGTCAATCCCAGTAACCGCAGTCGGTGATCTATGGTCGGTGGATGTGATGGGACCGTTTCCACAGACGGCGAGCGGTAACCAGTACCTGTTAGTGATGACGGAACATGCTACACGTTGGGTAGATGCCGTACCCATTGCAGACCAGCGGGCAAGGACAGTGACCGAGGTGGTAATCCGGCATATTGTAGCGTGTCACGGAATACCGAAGATGATATTAACTGACCAGGGTCCCTGTTTTGAAAGTGACGAGTTTAAAGCCCGTTTAAAGCAGTTTGGCATCAAGAGAATACGAACTACACCGTATCATCCTCAGACAAACGGGCTTACAGAGAGAAACAATCGGACGTTAAAGGAATGGTTAGCATCAAAAGGAGGAAATTGGGAGAAAGAGTTACCATTGATTTTGCTGGCACATCGTTCCTCCACACAAGGAACAACCAAGAAGTCACCTTTCTTGCTCATGTATGGCAGACAACCACGACTTCCAATGCATAATAAGACCTGGCCACAACAACAGAAGTGGACGACAACAAGGTTAAGAAAAGAGAGGAGAGAGGCAATAAGGAACGTGGAAAAGAAACAAATATCAGACACAAAGAAGGCAGAACAACAGAGGAGAACGTGGAAACCTTTGCAGTGGGGGACCTAGTAAAGTGTAGAGAACGAAAAAGTAACATAGCAGGGGGAGCAGGGCCAGGAAAGCTGATCCCAAAATGGGAAGGACCGTATGTTATCACGGAGAGACGCGGCTCGGTCTACATGATCCAGAGAGGAGACAAGCAGAAGCGCGTAAACGCTAGTCAACTACAGAGATGGTTTCAAGATCATCATGGGTGGGAGTCACGAAAAGCACCAAAGAAGACAGCGGTACGGCAATCAGAAAGACTACGACGACAACTTATTAAAAGGGGGACGAGTGTGGTGTGTACTACTTATATTGATATAAGCAGTATATGACGCGAGTTAAAAACGTAATGTCTGACAGCAGAAGATGGGGGAAGATCAAGAAAAGAAGAGCGGGAACACAATGCAATTTGTAAGAAAACGCATGAACAATGAAATGTGAGACATTGAATTGATGATTGCAACAGTAACAGTCCGGTTTGATATGATGGAATGATATTTTGCAAATTAACGATTTACTATATAGTTTTTCTATTTTATCAGGTAACTGTTATTTTGTGCTAAAGGAAATTTCGTTGTTTTCACGTTTGTTTTCTTTCAGTACAATACTACTAAAGTTCTTTTACTACGGGTTTATTCATTCAGGCAAAGAAACCAAAAGCTCTATTTGTAATCACAAATAAACCATAGATTTTGGACATTTACAAATCATTACTAATATTAACATATTATTAATGAGTTCAACTCACCGGTTCGTTAACATATATATCTTATTTACTATCTCATCTATGAGTTTGAGATTAGTTTATCTGTCTTAAAGACATACTCTTAATATGAGGACTAGTGATACTACTCGGTTGCGAGAATCGACGTAGACGAGTTGGAGGTTTGAACCTGAAACTTATTGGCTGGAAATCCCTTTCAAAGCATTTTGTTCTCGTGGAGTCAGTTGGTTGTTTCCCTGCTAAACGGGGTTGAGCTGTACTGTTTGGGTTTTTACGTGAAAGTCCAGATGGTGTCTGGTTCTCCTGAAAACCAATGTAAAATTACCCTGGCCCACAAGGGTATATTATATGGCTGGAATTAGAACCCCTTAACCATTGAACCACAGCTCCACTAGAAGATATATAAATATATAACCTCCTAGAATTTCCTAAGGGCATTAAGTGACTAAATAAACCCTTTATTTATTTCTTTAAGGCTACTTATTGAACACTTTAGAGAAAAAAAACTCATTATACCAAGGTTTTTACACCATATTACATAGAAACAGGAAAACACATACCTCATTACATGAAGTTAGAACACAGAAGAGTTGTCTGCTTCATCCCGTGAATTATAACGTGTCATACGAACAATCAAAAACGTTGATAAAGAATTCATATCTGATTTAGTAAAACTTTCCATTTGATCAGTAGGATTAGTTAAAACAGTATTTATTGGTTTGCAACTCTCTGATTTGGACATAATTAATTCACTGGGAAATACATGTAATATTAATGTTTCGGCATTGAAATTTTCCTATAATAATAGTAATAAAAACATGAATATTAGCAGATTAGTTGAAGAGATTATAGAGATTAATTAAATATGTAAGTGATATACATCACATATTGAAATTAACTAATAGATGGACCACTAGAAACCAAGGAGTTGTTTTCTCCTCTGGAGGTGCCTGAAAAGGAAATTGGATTAGAGGTGGTCTTACTGACCTGAGAGCGTGACCGCAGTACCCAAGGGACAACTGCTTGAAATTGGTCACACACGACCTTTTTATGGGTAATTTTTGTGTTAGCTCCGTACTTGTTGAGACCATACTGCCGGAGACGGATATCCGTGGGATAAGGTGTGCATTTTTAGAGTCGACCTTTTCTAACCCTACCCCTCCTTGTGGGAAGGCAGCATCGCTGTCATGCTGGTTGTCTGAAGGAAACACCTTACTTCTGTCACACCACTGTACAGTCAGCAGTACGACTTCGCCTTCGTACCTTAGGTTTTCTCCTAGAGTATGGTGACTTGGAATTGTGCACTTATGGCACAATTATATAAACGCTTATAGGTAGTTATTCTGGCAAGGTCATTAACTGTACATTTACTGTGAAGTTCCATATGAGAACAAAGTGGTTGTTTATAATGAATACAATATACAAATAGAATTATTATTAAATAAATAAGAAAAACGCGAAATCCATAATTATTTAAGCCACAATCAAGTCAACTAAGTATTATGTCTGTGAAAGTGATAACGAGAATGGTATCGGAAAAATGAATTTGTTATCATAGATACATGGTATCAATAGTGTACAATCCAAACTCAAATTGAAACACTCTGATTGGTTCATTTTTACACAATTAGCGTTAGTCGACGGAGTTATGATGATAGAAAATCCAATAATTCATAAATTTACAATCATCCAATGATACCAGTAATGTATATTACTTAACATTATTGAATTCTGCCGATAAGTTAGTGGTACAAGTTCAGGAATTCACTGTTTAGAATTCATGAAGGGTCATAGGTGTACAAAATTAAGGTTTTTATAATTCTCTCTTATTACAACCCAGCTATTCCTATGGCTTAGTATTCTTGGACACCAATTCACTCGACAAGTTTCAAAATCAGAACACGACTGAACAGGAAAAAGACTATATTCCAAATAACAAGGTTAGATGGAAGTAAGAAGTACAGTAGGAATAACGTTAGTATATTTATAGTTTTTACATGAGAAGATTCTGGAGTGTTCTCCAAGTATCAACTGGCGCTGATTGGATAATAATAATTAACCAATCAGCGTGCACCAACGCAATCGAGCATTGAGCATGCTTTAATCCAATCTGTTCCGCAAACATAAAGTCCTAAATATAACAACAAAGAAACTGTTCGGTTCACTACATAATCTTCGATGGCTCTCTGATAAACTAATTCATATTTTTTTATAAAAATAAGTCGATGAACAACAAATATGAACGACATGTTAATGAAAAGGAAACATCTTGGAAAATAACTCAGACAACAGTTCGAATTGGGCACATTCATAACTAACTAACAATCACTGGAACATTATGGTAATGTATATTATTACCCATTGAATTGGATATCACAGCATCTGCACTTTGATTTAGGTAAGTGGACGGTATTATAAGCTTGAAATCATATGTATAAAAGGTATTCATTAAAAAGGTGTCACAATTTGTTTAATTACACAATCAACAAAGGGGCACCGAATAGATATGCACCACACAAATCACTTGATTTGTATGTGGGCTGTGATACTGTTCGGGTGCCCAGACCGAAGCCGGTGGTTTTCTTACGGGGGCACACCCGGAGCCTTCGACCTAAAATTACTGAAAAGAATATTTTTCATTCAGTCCATATATTTTATTTAAACATATAAACATTGTCACAAGGAGGCAACAAATATATATGCACCACAAAAAGTAGTTTCCATCAGATTTGCGTAGAGCGGGAGAATACCCGGACACTCAAACCGAAGTACGTAGTTTTACTAGAAGGTCACTTTCCGAGCGTTTGATTTAGAAGTCTAATTTACAAGGCAGTGGAGCAACGTCAGGAAATGCAATCCCATGGTAGACGGTGGCCAATAATTGGTTCATATGCCATTTGTTTTTACAGGATACTGGAGAACATGTGCACCATTGGTATAGAGTCAGGATTTTCAAACTCCCGCCTAGGGGAGTTGGAAACCCAACCCGGATATTCACTTTTTGTCCTCTCAATTCCGTAGACAACACCCCCGCCACGAGAAGGCGGTGAGTAGGACTTCCCTAACAGTGATTGTTTGCACGAGGCCATGTGAGAGTATTTGGAGATGTAGAGCTAACTCTCCCCCCTCACGGCCGTACAAGGGCATTTGGGGGACATGCATTTTTGTCTTTTCTGTGAATTATTAAAATACTTCGTGAAATATATTGAACCACTTCCCCATCCACTAACAGAAATTCAATTCAAATCATCCCTAATTTTCAGTGTTAACGAGTTGTTAAAATAAATAAATAAGGTTAAGCATTTGCGTGCGAGACCGATAGGTCTTAAGTTCGAATCTCGCGAGTCGGGATCGTGGATGCGCACAATTGAGGAGTCTCACAATAAGACGAAACGATCGTCCAGTACTTCCAGGTTTTACACGATGGTCTAGCTTCAATTGACTCATGATCTCAACTATTGAAATAAATAAATAAAATATAACATTTAATAGAAATTAAATAAAAACTTACATAATTTTCAATTTGACTAGAATATGGTAATTTATAATTTAATTGAATAATACATCCCAATGTATCAGAATTCAATGAACTATGCAATAAATGATTCTGTTGATCTTGTTTAATCTTCTCATCTAATACAGATTTATTATTAATTTGTTTAAATTTAGAAAATGTTAAAAATAGTCCAAGTTGATCATTGTTTTGCTCATTCTTATTATTAGTATGACTATTATTATCGTGATTACCATCTAAAGAGGCAACAAACAATGCAACGGGATATGATGTAGCAGTTGTTGTCACCTGACATGGGAACCATGCAATATATTTAAATGTTAAAGATGTATTCGATGATATATTGGAGAAGATTAATCGAGCCACTTCTGAAATCCCACCATTTGATGATATATTACCTGGTCCTTTAATATCAGTTGTAGTAAATTGATTGTTATATAATTCCGAATCAGTATTATTATTATTGGTAGCATGTTGTGAACAGCGAAATTGATAATTTGACAGTAAAGATGATGTGTAACCGGTGGTAAGTGGACCAACTGATGAAACATACCATAAAATTATTTCACTATAATTAGTAATTTTCTCATTGTCTTTATTAATTGAATTATATGGTGATGATGTTGTTGTTGTTGTTATGGTGGATTCATTATTTGGTAATTTTTCCAATTTATGCTCATAATGTGATGTGCTCAAAGCGAGAGGTAATATTGGATGTGGTACGATAATGTTTGTATGAAATCGATGTCCACTTAAACGTGCACAACTAGATACACCGACAATCCATTGATAACTAATTAAGATGAATTTTGGAAGAAAAACGAAAGATTATATATAATTCTTATCACTAAAACGTGGTTGAAAGAAAAACAGTCCAGAGATCAGAATATTTTTTGTGCAACATTACTTAATAAAGCTATACAGTGGTATTTGTAGGAGAAATATTCATGGACTACTACCTAACTCATATTGGACACTTGAATATTTTTCTATTAGTGAACTAAAAGATTTATTCTATTCTATAAACAGACTCTAAAGCTGATTCTTCATTATACTGTTATTTATTTTCATTTATTTTAACACATAGATATTGGTACAAGGAGGCACCAAATACATATGCGCCACACAAATTTCATTTGATATGTGTGAGGGCTGTGATACTACTCGGGTACCCAAACCGAAGCAGGTGGCTTTCTTAGGTGGACACACCCGGAGCCTTTGACCTAAAGGTCTGATCCACAAGGCAGTGGAGCATCATAAGGAGATGCAGTCTCATGGTAGCAGGTGACCAACGATTGGTTCATACGACATTTGTTCCTTTAGAATAATACGGGAGCCCATGTGCACCACTGGTTTGCAATCAGGGTTTTCCAACACCCCTAGGTGGACTCTCCGTGTCCACCAACTCGGTTATAGCGCCGGACATTTGCTTTTCGTCCTCTCAAGTTCGTAAACAACAGTAGCGCCAAGAGAAGGCAGTGAGTCGAACTTCCCTGGCAGAGGCTATATACGCGTGGCCATGTGAGTTCATTTCGAGAGGGAGAGCGGACTTTCCCCACTCTCGGCCCTACCGGGGCTTTTGGGGGCACTTCATTATACTACGTAAATGTAGTGAAGTAGTGTAATTTCATTGTGTTATTTTCTGCTTGATCATATTATGGCATAAATTAGATGTTATGCAGGACTATAAAGGCTGGTATATTTTGACATGAGGATATCTTGTACACTGAGATATAACAGCTTGGACTTAAATCATATGATGTACGAATACCAGAAACAAGTCCCATATATAGGTCGGAATAATTGTTCCAATGCTGTTTTCTAATGATTCAATATCGGCTCTGAATGAAAACTAGGTTATGTAATATAAATATTATGGTATATTATACAAAAATATTTTTCCTAAAGTTATGCATCTCGGTAAATACAGAACAGCCTTAATAACTAGTGTATGAGATGACATCATAGATACCAATCATTAATACATGACTTTTGAAACATCAATATCAATATGTTCCCCCCCCCCACATATTTGAGTCTGATTCATTCAATCAGTTACAACCCGACGAGCTTATTCTTAGCATTTCTAACTGTGACTATGATGAATTATTACATTTCAACGTTGATATGGCTTAACAAAATGATCAATGTTATGAAATGTTATTTATCATAGTTTGTATTTCTTTCTTATTGGTATTCAGAACTGAAATTGATCAATTACGAATGATCATCGGGAATCATTAACTCAGAGTATGCATCGGAAAGCATATGGTTTAAGCATCAGCTTGAAAAATAAATACTAAAAATTCAGGTTACACAAAACCACCAAGTCCCATATGAGAAAAAAATGCTCATACATGATTCTATATTTATCAAAAAGTATGCCCCCAAATGCCATGGTACGGTCGATGATGGGGAGAGTCAGCTCTCCCTCTCCAAACGCTGTCACATGACAACTTGTATACAGCCACTGCCAGGGAAGTCCTACTCACTGCTTTCTAGTGGCATTACTGTTGTTTACGAAATTAGGAGGATGAAAAACGATTGTCTGGCGCTATAACCGGGTTAGTGGATATGGAGGATCTATCTAGAAGAGTTGGAAAATCCTGATTCCAAACTAATGGTGAACATGGGCTCCAGTATCCTGAAGGGATAAATGGAGTATGAACCAATCATTGATCACCAGCTACCATGGAACTGTATCTCCTTACACTGCTCCAGTGCCTTGTGGATCAGACCTTTAGGTTAAAGGATCGGGTTGTGGCTCCCTAAGAAAACCACCTGCTCTTAGCATACACACAAATCAAATAATTTATGTGGTGCATATCTATTTGGTGACTCCTTGCACCAATGTTTGTGTGTTTAAATAAATAATAATAAATAAATCAACTTACTGACTACTCTCTGATACATCGATACGCCAATAACGTAATGAACCATTAGTATGCATAGTGATCATAGCTACATGTGAGGAATTTTGAGTTCGTGCTTGAAAAGTTGTTGAATTCAAATGAATCTGATAAAATGAAAAAGATAAAATAAATATAAAGAATGAAATCAACGATGAATAAGCAATTCATTTAGCAAAAAGATAATTTACAGAAGTATCATTTAATCGAGACGGAGAAAAGAAGAAAATTTAATAAAAGACGAAAAAAGAATGAAGTAAACTGAAGTCAGTCAGTCAGCTACAACGTGCGACCAGGCACATATATGCGTCGGTCCAAGTTGCCATACCTCATTAGCACAGCAAGATGAACACCGGATTCATAGTAGTAGTTAAGTCAATGGTTGTAATATATAAAAGAAAGATTGCATGTAAGGACATTATACAGGAAGAAAGAATTAGATCGTAGAAAGAAAGATGTGAAGCGATTCTAATCTCATAGTTCAAAGGAAGACAGAGAGCGTTGTGTACACCTACACCATTGTGATCGATTCTGAACCATGTCACACACAGTCTCCAACCATTGGTTACGATAATCATATATACAATAATTGTAACGTAATAATAAAGTAAAACTCCACCTGGAGCCCCTCTGGGACTACTGTAGGTCCCAAGCTTGGGATAGACAAGGAAGGTTGGAGATGGGATTAGCGACCCCATTCCGTAGAAAACTAACTCGTTAAAAAAACGCTAACCAGAAAAAATGATCCAAAGCATTTAAACTCTACCCTAGGAGTTAGGTCTTCATTTAGAAGAGTTATAACACCTTATGGTGAAAGCCAATTTCCTTCAGAAGTCATGATACTCTGATGCCCCCTTCTAACAACCAGAGCAACCATTAATTTAAGTATATGGAATGTTCATACAATGTGGGAGACTGAAAGAGTCTTCCAAATTGCTGCAGTAATGAAGAGATACAACTTAGAAGTGCTTAGAAAGTAAAAGTAAAGTAAAAATAAAAGTCAAATTAACTTACTTGAGCCAAAGAAGATAAAATCGGTTTTAATACTGTCTGTTTCAATTGCTTCAATGTATTTTTCTGATTACTACTATCACTATTATTATTATTACTATTCATAAGTTTCATAGAAATTTTTGACCATTTTAATAAACATTGTCTAATTGTATATTGTAATAAGAATAAATGACAAAATATATTTAAATAATCTTGATAATTAATTGTTATTAAATACTTATTAGTGATTTCAGTAGTATCGGATAAAATTTGTAATTTTTGTTGATTCATTATATTTTCATTATGAAAATAATTCATAAAATTTTTAGAATTATCTGTTGTTAAATAAGTAAATAATTTTGATGTTAATGAATGAGCTGCATCGAATGGAATAACTTGATGTAAACGTGATCTTATACTACATGTAACTTGTGTTAAACGATTATTTATATTAGGTGTAATTATGAATGAAGATTCATATCCAAATTTATTATCACGATTAAATGATGATTCGTATGGAATAATTACTTTATGAGTTCGTATACCTTCTGGATTAGGAATAGATAAATCCAAACCATGTATATACCTAAATAGGATATTTTTATGAGGAAAAAAGGATTTTTTTAAATGTTAGTCAATAATCATAATCAGCATAGAACATGATATAAATGTGCATTGGTTCAAGTTGTCACTGTATATATTCTCTACCAAATGCCTTGGTACGGCCGAGAGTGGGGAGATTCAGCTTTCCCTCTCGAAATGCTTTCACATGGCCACGCGTATATAGCCCTTTCCAGGGAAATTCGACTCACTGCCTTCTTGCACCACGGGTATTGTTTACGAAATTGAGAGGATGAAAAGCGAAACTCCGACGCCTTAACCGGGTTGGTGGATATGAAGAGTCCACCTAGGGAAATTGGAAAACCCTCATAAATGAGAAGAATATAAAGACATTCGGTCAACCCTGAACCATGTTATCTAACATCTACAACCAGTGACCAAGGTTAGAAAATGAATCCCTCATGCGGCTTCTTCGTCTAGGGTGCTGTATCAAGGCACAAAATTATCAACGAGTGTACATGCAACAATACACGCATCTTGTTGTGGGTTAGCCAAAGCCTTACATCATTTAGTGAATTATTTTATTGTCAACAGGGCATAACAGTTATCTGTTTTCGATTTATGAAGTAGCCCCATAATAACGATGCCGATCGTTCGGTCCTCATTGATACTAATGACGCATTGTTTGACGAGATAATTTGATACTCCTTCAAATGGCACAATCTTTTTTTTCAAACTCCACTGCATCACGGTCAATCGTTGATCACCAAAATAACACTACACATTATAAATTTTTTGAAATGAATGTTTTTTTAGTAATGAAGTTATATTCAGTTAAAACGACACATAACTGTCAAATGAACAATATTTAAAAACCTATTAAAGAATGTTAGAAAATTAATTTAAACTGGACAACCTATAAATGTAAGCAATAATATATATATCCAAAGACAAGAAGATTCGAGACATTAAGACATATAAAATACTAAAAACAATCATTTAAAAATCAGTTAATAGTACGATATTTTTAACCAGAGTTGGATAGTGGTTAGCGGTTGAATCCACAATGAGCGTTTTACTTCACTTGGGATTCATCAACCGGATGTACCAGCACTCTAATGTTGATGTTCACCCTGGAAATTGATGTAAGCCAACATCTAAATCTGGTTAAAAAATGCTTGCGACTAACAGCAATAACAAAGTATTTCGCTCAAGATATTCATGTGACGTAAACAGAGACTGATTAGTTTTAATATTTAACGATCATAACGAGAAAATCCAAACCCTTATAACTGGAGTATGTTATTTCTTCTCACAAAGAAAAGTGGAAAACAAAACGCAACTCACTTACCAAACAATAAGGCTTCCATCAAGAGGATGTATTGCAAATGCGACATCCGGGGCATGTTGTAATTCACTTAATAATCGAAAAACAGTCTGATCCATCAAAGCTATTTGATCTAACAATTCTGGAGTCATGAGATTATTATTACTGTTATTGATATTGGATGTATTATCGAGTGCTAAAATGCATAATAAATTTGCAAAAAGAATATAGTTAAAATTAATAAGTAAAGGATTTGATTTCACTTTGTCTGGCGCTCGGATGCCCCCTAGTCGTTACTTAATTCCATCACCTTTGAGCTCTGAACGATAAAATGCAATTCAAGGACAGAGGTTTTACTTCAAGGTTAGATAATGTATACAAAACAATGGTATTTATGGGTTTATGGATAAACTTTATATCTTGAAACTTTCGGAAAGTATGCTAGATTTAGTAACAACATTGTCACGCTCCCCGTTAGGATGTCGAGTCCGTCGGCGCGCTGACCTCCGTGGCAACGTCGGCCTACCGAGCCATTTACATCCGATCTCCGCCCAGCAGCCGCACGCTTCACTACCTTTCTCCGTCGGCAGCAACCGTTACAGTCAACGCCACCTTGTCAGAACACTCCACTCGACGTCACCTTCCAGTACCAGACAGCCCCAAGTAGTGCCTCCTCTCCTGGTCCCGCAACGGCGTTCGCAGAACTTCCCACTCTCCGCCTCCCGGTTGACAGCGAGAACACAAGTGGGTGACAACCGACTGTATTTTGATACAAGACTACAGAGTTCTTTCATCAAATGTGAAAACCATACGTTCAATACTTCAATATATGCACGTCAGATTGCTATTTCCGGTCATTTCTTGACTTTATAACACCAAGTGAATATTATCTTCGTTATATGGTCGAACTCAATAGTTCTTTCCAGTAACGGTAACAGTAGTATATCTTTTCTGATTTATATTTCTTCATGAATTTTGTTGTTTCGTGATTAGTTGTCATTAATTTCAGTTTGCTAATTTTCCCATGTTCCAAGGTCATGTTTTGCTGTCGTATATACGGAGTTGTTCCCCTTTAGTCTTTTTTCTGCACTCCTATCTTGTTCTTCGGTTCCATTATTTGGGAATTGTTGTTGATGAGTTACGTGTGTCAGTTGCCATATTATTATTGAGTTCGTATTAGTTCATCTTCATGTTAAGAGAATATATAGACCAATCGTTGTTAAAAATAATTGTAGGTCCAAATGAACCAATCTCATGACAGAACACAAATATTCAATGCTTACTGGTTTTTCGTATATTTCTAGGCTGATTTGAAGTTATTATGGAGACAAACTTTGATATTTATACTAGATTCATACGAACGCTCTTTTATTTATGAGTTGGTGATTTAGTAAACATGTAAATTCTACCAACTTAATAACAAGCCAGCTACAATGTAGGATCAGGCACATATATGCATCGGTCCAAGTTAACACACCTCGTTAGAATAACAAGATCAACACCAAATTCATAGTAGTTACTTCAATGATAGTAGTATCTAAAAGAAAGATTGTTTATAAGGATAAAATACAGGAAGAACAAATTAGTTCGTAGAAAGAAAGATATAAAGCAAATCTAATCTCACGGTTTAACGGAAGAAAAAGAGTGCATACACCTACGCCATTGTGATCGATTCTGAACCGTCACCCAGAGTCACCAACTATTGGTTACGATAATCACGAGTCTTAACTAAGACTCGTGAACTGCAAACACGAGAGAATCAAGCTGGCTTCAAACATGGTCGTGGCTGCATCGACCACATATTCACCATTCGTCAGGTTCTAGAACATAGGCATACTTATCGGCGTCCGACAATGGTGGTCTTTCTTGACTTAAAAGCAGCATTTGACTCGGTAGACCGCGAGGCTCTGTGGCAGTGTCTGTCATTGAAAGGCGTACCTCAGAAGTACATAAACCTTGTAAAGGCTCTTTACTCGAACACTACCAGTCGAGTCAGAGCTTATGGCGAACTGTCATCTGCTTTTGCAACCTCAAGTGGTGTCCGTCAAGGCTGTCCACTTTCTCAATTTTTGTTCGACTTCATCATAGACCTATTGATAGAAATAACATTCTCGTCTACTGAATTCTCGGGTATTGATCTCCTTCCAGGAGGTCCACTTATCGACTTAGAATACGCGGATGACATAGTCCTGTTTGGTGAAGACGCTGATAAAATGCAGAGTCTTCTGGTAGCACTCAGCAACAATGACAGAATGTTTGGAATGCGCTTCTCTCCCTCTAAATGCAAGTTGTTGCTTCAGGACTGGTCTGCGTCAACAACTAAGGATAGGGAGTGAAGTAGTCGAACGCGTTGACAACTTCACTTATCTCCGAAGTCTGGTCAACACTAATGGGTTGGTATCGGACGAAATCTCAGCACGGATTAGAAAATCTCGCATGGCTTTTGCCAACTTACGTCATCTATAGCGAAGGCGAGATATCCGTATATCAATAAAAGAACGAGTATACTGCGCGGCAGTCCATTCTGTTTTACTTTACGGCAGCGAAACATGGCCATTAAGAGTAGAAGACACACGTAAGCTACTAGTATTTGACCACAGATGCCTCAGAAATATTGCCTGCGTCTGCTGGAATCACCGGGTAAGTAATAGTGAGGTTCGACGCAGGGTATTAGGGAAGGATGGTAAATCAGTCGATGGGGTTGTGAATCTTCATCGACTGAGATGGTTGGGCCATGTGTTACGTATGCCTGAACACCGATTACCACGACGTGCTATGCTAACCGGTATTGGAGATGGTTGGAAGAAAGTTAGGGGCGGCCAAACAAAAACATGGCATCAGTGCTTGAAGTCACTAACTTGTAGTCTGAGCCATGTTGGTAGATGCAGATTACTTGGTTGGGGTCCGCGTGACTATCGTAACCAATGGTTGGAGACTTGGTGACATGGTTCAGAATCGATCACAATGGTGTAGGTGTATACAACACTCTCTATCTCCCCTTAAACTAAGAGATTAAAATTGCTTCACACCTTTCTTTCTACGAACTAATTCTTTCTTCCTGTACTATATCCTTATTACAATCTTTCTTTCATATATTACTACCTCTGAATTAACTACTTTTATGAATCCGGTGTCCATCTTTTTGTGTTAATGAGGTATGCCTGGTCCTTCGTTGTACCTGACTGACTGACTGACAATAATCACGCGGACCCCAACCAAGTAGTCTCCACCAAAACCTCTCGCTCTAGACTCATACTTTCACTCTCAACCCTAAGTTTATTCGTGTCTTTATGTGATAAATTATTCATTTACAACACCTCTATTGTAATTGACTGCCACCTCAAGGTCATTAAGGGTCATTCTATAAGATACACTATCAATAACCTCAACCCAAAACACAGTAACTATAGCTCAAATAAATCAGTTACATGGAACTTGTTAACTTGAATATTGAGTTACATATTATAATATTATTGATAGAAAACAAAAGTGAATATGACTAGACACATACCGATATGAGTTGGGATAGCCAAAATTCGTGATATTGTATCCTTCAAAAACGATTCCAATTGTGTACTCAAACGATATTCTTTATTATTGAACCAATGAATAACAAGTCGACCAACTTGTGAACTATCATAAAATTATAGCGTATTAAAATAGTATTTGTATAAGTTGTGGATAAACAAGAAAAAAAAGGGAATGAAATAAAAGACTCCAAAGCTGACTTCTAAAGTAAAGCATGCCTACCGACCTGTGAAGCCATTTCAATCACTGACTATTTTGTTATTCTCTTCTTATATATATGACAATTTTCTTTTCATCCTACTACGGAGAATATGGGATCATTGTATGTTGGAAACCAGAGGTTCATATGTAACTATCATTTCTTATATATTTAAAATGAAGACAATAAAGCTGAGGCAAAAGAAATGTTGTCACAAGTTTTACACTCTAATTGGCTTCAAACTCCTGCTTTTTTTTTAACCATTTGTATCCAAAGAAAAAACAATTCGGCAGATATTTTTTTCACAAGCGAATAATGTTAGCCATTGTAAGATGTAGACCTATGAATCGGACTGGTTAATATTTACTACTTACATGAATCTAAAACCATAATTATGTGATTGATTGATTTCCTTAATGAACATGAAATTTATTTATTTCGTTGAATTTAATCCAGTTAACTTTTGAATATTTTTCAATTAAAGTAGTAAATTCGAGTTGGTGAGACCGTAATTTACGGGCAACCTTTAGGTGGTAGTGTTGAAGTGACCTTGAGAAACCCAAGTCTGATTTAGTGAGGAGATCTAGTATTAGAAATGAGCTTTCTTGGAATTAAAATTAGGATTCTCATCACAAAATGACATCAACTAGAATGCTAGGACGTTATTTGGCCCCCAAATGCCCTGATAAGGCCGAGTATGAGGAGAATCAGTTCTCCCTCTCGAAATGCTCTCACATAACCACTCGTATACACCCACTGTCGTCTCGCACCACGAGTGCTGTTTACGAAATTGAGAGGACGAAAAGCGAGTGCCCGGCGCTTTACCCGGGTTGGTGGACACGGAGGGTTCACCTAGGGCAGTTGGAAATTCCTGATTCCAAACCAGTAGTGTACATGGGACCCAGGATCCGAAGGAAACATCTCCTAGCACTGCTCCACCGCCTTGTGGATCAGACCTTTAATTCGAAGGCTCCGGGAGTGGCCCCCTAAGAAAGCCACCTACTTCGGTTTGGGCACCCGGACAGTATCACAGCTGAAACAAAAATCAAGTGACTTGTATGGCGCATATGTATTCGTTGACCCTTTGTATCAATATTTACGTGTTCAAATAAATAAATAAAGCCATTTAGATGAATTTCGTGTAAAAACCCTAGAGGTTCTACCATAAATCTGATTGCTTCGTCCATGAATTATAGTTCTTCTATCAAGTTAATCTGATTAGTTCACTAATCAACACTAAAACTACAACACAATTGATTTTAAATCATTACAGCTGATATATATATAAAAATAATGATCAAAGACTTACTCATTTGGAGAAGAGAGATTACATAATTCCGGGAAAGAATCTAATGGTAAAGATGTGGTAAACACAAATTGTGGAAATGTATTTTGTGTATAGTTGAACTTTTTATCATCTATTTTCATTGTAGACGATGATAATTGTGATCCATAATCCACTTCAATGTTTGACAAAGGATCAGTCAACCTTGATTATATCATGTTTTAGTAATAAAAATGTACATATAAGTAACATTGGGAAAAATGAGACATAAATCATATTGTGTAATCTATAGTCACTTATTACGAATTCAGATCAAGTTTAGTTAGTTGGTCGGTTAGTTTTGAAGCTTAACTAAATTGTGCAATTGAGTTTATCATGGATTAATTTTGGCTGGTTGATTACAGAAAAACATAGACTACTAGATAAGTATTTTGTGCTGGTTATAAGGCCTGTTTGAAAGTTTTGACCAAGATGCTGAACGAAGTCGTCCGTGTACACTATGATGATATGAAATTCTAAACTTGGACGAAACATTTATCTAGCTCTCTATGGTTCCTTGAGAACAATTCGTGATAAAAATCTACCCTAAAATTGAGATGAGTACTTTATGTTACGTATTCTGATGACTTTATTATATAAACTATGAGGAATACAATTCAATTTGAAATGATACTGCATTCAAGTCATGGAATGAACATCAACTCCGGGATGCAATTACATCCAGCTGACAAGTTGCAAATAGGATGAAACGCGTATCTTGGATTCCACTACTATCCGTATTCCATTTATTCTGTGTAAGGAACATAATTAAAATTTGACGGCACAAACAAAATTTGAACTAACAAATCGGAGCTTATTCCGACAACACAATAAAACCTCGAATATACACATCCATAATTAAGTTAACTAAAAATTAGTGAGCGATTTGTGGAGATTTTTAAATTTTATAGTTGACATCACAAACTAATCCTAGTTAGATAACCAATCAAAACTAAGAACTACTAGACAACTTTTTGTGTTCTCAGTAGAACACATTCACAAACCCACACGGAATTGAGGCTGAGACCAATGTTCCCTGATATTCCTGGTTTTCAATAGCTGTCCTAAGGTTAGCTCGTGATGTGAAATACAAAATAATCAAGAAATTGAAAGATTGTTTTAAAATAACAAAGGGATAAAAAATCATGAAACAGCTCATTGTAGACAGATCCAACCTAGATATATATATTCAGATTCACCAAAGAATTTTATGCGCTGTGCTGATATGGTGTGACAAGTTGAACCAGTGGACATGTGTGCCAGGTCTTAAGTTGTTTATACATAGTGAATTTCAAATATCCTAAGAGCATCCATTCATCATACCTTATAAATTTCTTTTAAATTCCTGGGTTTTAGTAAATAAACTCTAAAGTTTACAGTTGATTGATCACTAGGTACTGACCAATATCATGTATGACACATGTTTCTTAATGGTATGGATGACTCAGTGGTGACGTCTCTGGATATGTAACTGGATGATACGGGATCAAAACCTTCAGTGCACATCAGTTCCCTCAACATTACAGGTACATCATACTGACGAATGTTAAACAGCACGAAATCTATGCCTAGGATTTCCTGTCGATTAACCACCTTACAAAATCTATGTAGAACTGACTATTTATTTAGAGTAACCATGTATTTGAGAAATAATAATAACTTACCATAAATCTAGGAAATGTTTTAAAATTGGATGTGTTAAAAAACAATTAGGTAGTTCTAAAGTGAGATATTGCGTTGATAATTCATGCAACTGGTTGACTGGATCACTTGTAATTTTCGTTTTGAATGGCATATCGGTCAGATGACCTAAAGGTAGGCGTACTTTCATTGTAGTAGATGATATCTAGGAGGGTATTGAGCAACAAAATTTCTATGTTCAAACTGGAGGGTTACAAATAATGAATATTAGTAAACTAGACTATCATTTATTGGAATTCAAATATTTGGTCTCATTTGGATAACATGCTACTTAGGATGATGACAGATATCCGATTATTTTATACCTAGCCTCAGAGGAATGGAAGACGATGACTGGTTACATTTGAATGCTAGTGAATGAAACCAGAAGACATCAGAAATTTCTTTTACAAATTGTTAAATAAACTCTTGTATGATGTCGCAGTTCTGTGAATTTTATTCCGTCTGTTCTGCGAATGATATTTTATTGATTGAGACCTTAAACCGATTGATGTTAGACCACCATTGGAAACCTGGAAGCACTGAACAGCCGTTTCGTCCCATTGTGGGACTCCTCGGCAGTGCGCATCCACGATCCCGCTCAAGGGATTCAAACCTAGGGCCTTCAGTATCGCGCGCGAACGCTTAACCCACTTGACCACTGAGCCGGCCGGCATCCAACGGTATTAATGTTTGACCTCAACCAATCCACGAAATTGCACGACCATATTCTATTGTCTGAGGTAGATACCTGTCTCTACCAAAACGCGGAGTCCCACAATAGGACGAAACGGCCGTCCAGTGCTTCCAGATTTCCAATGGTGGTCTAACACCAGTCAGTCAGCTACAACGTAGGACCAGGCACATCAATCAGTTCAGGATCTCAATCAATAACTTAATAATCTCCACAACCCTATTCTGATAATAATATTTTATTTCGAATTCACTCTTGTTATCGACCACAATAAGTCAAATAGATTTTTATTAGATACTGAAAAGCCTGATGTATACAAAACTCTGGCAGTACTGTTTATTCATTAATGTTTGATTGATTGGCGATACTTGAATTTCAAAGACAATGTTAGATTTATCTTCATATAACTACTAAGAGAGAACCTTTATTTTCTGCACATACACCTAACGCTATTCATTACTTATTTATAGAACAGTCCTGATCCTTTAACGATTATTATTGGTTCACTATATCTGCTTTTTAGCGGTTAACATATACTGTCTCAGTCTTGAGTGTTGTTAGAGGTATGAGGGCGGTTTTCACTTCACCGTTGCCCACACAGTGAAAGGGTTCTTAGAGAGTTACCTGAAAATGAGATTGGGTTAAAATTGGTCTTAGTGACCAGAGAGAGTGACCGCAGTGCCCAAGGGACAACTGCTTCAAGCCGGTCACAAACGACCTTTTTGTGTTAGCTCTGTAATTGTTGGGACCTTATTTCCAGAGACGGGAATCCGTGGGATAAGGTGTGCATTTTTAGGGTCGACATTTTCTAATCCCACACCTCCGTGTGGGAAGGCAGCATCACTGCCGATGCTGGTTTTCTGAAGGAAACACCTTGCTGCCGTCACACCACTGTACAGTTAGCAGTACGACTTCGCCCTCAGACCTTAAGTTCGATATTTTTAGTCTTACCCCTCTTCAACCAACCTGTCTAGCATGGTAGAACCATGAGAAACAGTTGTTTCAGCCATTATAGTCCGATTGGTTCATCGTGATAGGCAAGCTCAACTATCATGTCAATGTAGCAGCAACAGTCAGGACATATACTGACTGATTTCAATTAGAATACGATAAAATGTTCAGATAACATTGAACATCTATTTTGTCTCAATTCGAATGAATGTCATAAAGGTGTACACTATTTGTGAAGAATTTTTTTCTATTTCTGAATTAATTAGTCTTAACACATTAAATCTTTCAACTTTTATAAAAACTAGAAAATTTGTACTAAATGAGAATACTGATAGAATTAGCAGAATATTTACAAAACATCAACCAAGTATATTTAACTCTACAATCATAATTTAATCACAATAGTTGAGATCATGAGTCAATTGAAACTAGACCACCATGGAAAACCTGGAAGCACTGGACGGCTGTTTCATCCTAGTATGGGACTCCTCAGTAGTGCGCAACCATGACCCGCCCCACGAGATTCAAACACAGGACCTATCAGTCTCATGGAGTGGGGTCATGGGTGCGCACTACTGAGGATTCCCACACTAGGATGAAAAAGCCGTCCAGTGCTTCCAGGTTTTCCATGGTGGTCTAGCTTCAATTGACTCATGAATTCAACTATTAAATTATCACATAACATTAGTATAAAGACATGAAATTATCAAAACAAATGGTAGATTAGAAAAGTGACGGTAGAAAAGATTCGGCATAAATAAAATGATTTTAAAAGAAGTAATGAATGGATTAAGACTGTAACCATAAAAAAATTACATACAATGTATATATGTAAGTAAAAACTGCTTACTGGAATTTCTGGGTCATTCTTAGAAATTGATTTAGACAGTAAAGAATTGATACTTTTGTGCGTGTTTGATAAATTGGGATGACTTGTTGAAACTTCAATCCATACACGACATAAATTATCTTCACTTGCGGTTAATAATACATTTGCTATCCAACCACTGGAAAAAAAAACAGAATTGTATACCTTGGAACAGAACACATATATACGTACTTACGCCTGTTACCCCTCGTGGAGGAGCATAGGCCACCGACCAGCATTCTTCATAGAACATGTAGTCTTCTGTAAAATTGCTCAGTAGACAAGATGAATTTTTAAGTCGATAGACGCTCAAAGTCGTAATTAATTTAAGTTAGAAAAAGTAAACTGGTCTGTATTAATGAAAAACTGAATTTGGCGACTTATTTCAAATTTTCAAAAAAATGAAATTCAACAAACGACAACGTATGCTGAACATCTTTTAGACGTACGTTTAGGGGGGTTAAGAGATATTTAACTGTGTCAGCTGCTTTTTCGATAAAACTGTATCTTCAGGGCACTAGACTAGGTAGAAAATAACTAGCTAGATGGGAGGTAGATTTTAGAAGTGTTTGAGCTAAACAAAGTTGACTACATATTGATACTTTGTTAAAAAAAATTTGAAGACAAATCACTTCAGTGAATATTTTAGATAAGTACCGTTCGTTGAAATCACCTTATTAATCACATAACTGTGACATTACAGAAATTTTTTATAGCTAGAATATATACTTTACCATAATCTTCAATCGACAAAATCCAATGCTACCTTCAGGTCAACAAAATTGGCCAATGTATGGCAACGGTGAATATACTTGTAATCCAGAACCCGATGTAAATTTAAGATCTGACTGATACAAATTTATCCGCTTTCTTAATATTTGATCATCAAAATCGTGTTTTTGAGTTTCAGTTAGGTACTTAGTAGTTGTCAACGAAATGATTTTAAAGTGTAAGTTAGTCACTAATTTCACTGCGGTTACCGTGAGATTTCTGCTTTTTTTCACGAATTTGAATTTCTAACTGAAGTTAGTTTGGCGAGAATAATTCTGGTATCAAGATTTAAGCTAGTATCTCAGTTTAGTTATTTATTCCTTAATGACTTTAAAAACAGACTGTTAAATAGTGGTTCTTTATTTTGAAATAACTATCAAGTTGTAAGCAATGTTTAAACTATGATACAGTTAGATAAAACCAGCTTTAACTGATCAATTAAATTAGCTTACCTAGGGAGATATCTGCTGGTATGGCGCCAGCTAAACGAACAAACATTACAAGGATGAGGTAAGAAGATAGATTCCCAATTTTCAGTCATTCGAAACTGTTCATCATATCTGTGTTTTGATGGAATCAAATCAGAGAAAGGATCACGGAACCATACATGCATTTCAGTATCAGACTGGTGATCGTTATGTTGACTTCTTTTATCATGATATTTAGTAATGGTGGCGAAGTATGAACCATCTGGACTGAAATCAACCTGCAGAGGAGTACCTGTATGAAAAGAAATTACGTACACATTATTGATACAATGGATTAGACTACACTTCTTTCAGTTAAATAGTAATACAAGGTCAATGGCAACTAAGCAAGTCACAGTACGACAATATCAGTTAGATCGTTTTTTGTAGAGAAGCAACAAAGTTACACTAGATATTCAGATGAGGGAAGATGGGACTCGTGCTATTGTTTTATGGATAAGTGATACAAAACATTCCAACTATTAGTTCAAAAATATAGAAGAATAAATGTCATTCGGATTCCCTAAATAATGGTAAGAAGTTAGTTCAGCGAAAAATAATCATTTCCAATAATAATTGGTGAATCAATATATTTGGTTCATTAAAAGATTGTTAGTAACGGATTAAAGAGAGATAACTTTGATTAGGACAGCTACATTCTTATAGTTAAGTACGTTTGTCTATATGACGTTGCAAGTGACTTAATGAACTATAGTCTCATTCATAGCATTGTAAGTCTTTCATAGTATAAATTACTTCATATGATAAATATTACAAGGTGATCATCGGTTAATCTGTAATTGTGATGTTGTTCAGCTTGATATTTAGGCGGATATAATGGTTACATCACAAATCGGTAGAATAGAAAATAAATAATATGCACACGGATGTAAATGGAGCCAAATATATCAACGAACATTCGTCAATTTTAAAGTCAAAGTTCCAGTCCTTAATTGGTAAGACCATTATGTCTAAAGAAATTCTTTTTCACTAAAGTTGAGAAAGCATACTTAAACTTACAGTAAAAAATTAGACTAGTACAAACATTTGTCATGTATTTTGATTAAAGTGATAGCATTACTACTATTATTATTGAAAAATAAACTGTCTAAACATACAAGTCAAATCTGAGTATGAATATTGGTAAAATAAAAATCATCACGCAAGTTTTTTTGCGATCATGAAAACGACAAATAGAATAATAGAAAAAAGACGATACCGTTTAGTCGATGACACCATACAACTTCCCATTTACTCGGTACTTCTGTTGACAGAGATTTCTTAGGAACAGGATCAGAGTCAAGACCATATTCTGAATCTGTTGAGTTAGCTCCGATATGAAAACGAAGAGTTGATTCAGTGATATTGCCTGTAACACATGATCGCCACATAAATAAGCTTCCATCATTAAGGCCTGCTAATAAGCCACTATTTGGAAATTGAAAACAGGGTCTATGAGACCAGGAAAGACATAAAACTTCCGCTTTTAATGGTAATGATAAATGATCGGAGAACGACCAAAATAGTTTTAACGGGTTGTAAGCATATTTCCTGTCGTTCCCTATAGGGAAAGATCATTGCATGATACATAGAAACATTGTACAGTAATCCAACAAACTTTTACTAAATATAAATATCAAAGAAAACTCACATATGAACGGAAACGTGCAAAGATTAAATTCAATTTTAGGTTAAATGTAAACCACAGGTACACAAACCTCTTAATGTTTGGCCCTGAAAGCAATCATAGTACATTAAAACCTAGAAAAAATGAGTAGTGCAGAAGTAAACCACTGTCCGGAGTCGGGAAAGATATGTAGCATACGAGCAAACGGAGCATATTTAGTCAACTAGTATGTATTGACATCATTTTCTCTTGAAAGTAATTTTAGACATAACTCAGTAAAAAAGTTATGAGGAAAATTATGGGGTTTTAAGTTCACAATTATACGCATATGTTGGGGAGAGACTACTAGTCATTAGGGGCAAAAAGTGTTAAGACACCAGGACCTAGATAGACATCTAATGAAGACATGAGAATATTTACTTGTCTTAGGTCTGCCTTTTTTTAACCTATTCACGAGTATGAGCCACATTACATGTGAGGGCTAATGGTAGTACCTGGTTCTCTAGACCGAAGTAAGTGGATTAAATATGCATACGGAAAACCTTATTGCAGGAGGTTTAATGCTAAAGTTCTAAAGTATTAAAAGATGGATATGTTCGAATACGTGTATATATTTTGGTTTGGACAGCCGTAATTTTAAATAAACACCAAAGAAGACATAGTAGTTGGAGTAATAACAATAAAAACTATAAGAAATATGTTTGAAATATAATGGACGAAGTATGGAGGTGGAAATAACATAGTAATACTAAGTTCAATGTCTAGAGGAAGATAGATACTCATTCAATCAGCCTCATTGTGACGAGTTCTAAATTTTCCATCTAGGGCTCTTAATTAAAATTTCTGAGTAGTTCACGAACAACAATTAAGAATTCTGTAGCTTTCAGAGTGGCTTATTGTAACAATCAGTAAATAAAGAACGGTAACTACCTCACAACGAGGTGACTGGAACGATGAGTAGTCCAACTCCCATAGTTCAGTCTGGTTGCGTAGTGCCTACTTCAGACAGTAAACCGTCCTTCCAACAAGCGAAAGATGCATCTGAAGTTAGTCTTGCATGCACTATTTTACAGATGCTCAGATAAAGTCTGAAGATGGGCGATCCGACAAAGAATGATGGTGACTAATAATTTTATTATAGTAACAGTTAACGTGGCAACAATTATATTATTTATAAATAAAGTTTATGGATCCTTAAGATGTACCATATGATACAATAAAAACAAACAAACGATACTTTCTAGGCTTTGCTAAATATATTTATGTAAATACAAAGCCCTTTACATACCTGAGGTACGTAAATAAATATTCCATCAGCGTTAGCGATGGCAATCTACGAGAAAGATATCTATTAGATAATATCAAACCTTTCCATAATGGTGATTAAAAGCAACAGCTGTTACAACGGAGTTTCCTAACTCACACCCAGAAATCACCTGACTGCGACAAAACGATTCGTTCAATATAACTACATCGCACCCACTGGCATACACCTTGAGAAAAAAAATCAAGTTTTTAAAAAGAAACCAACGACGTAGTTAGATCCCCGAATCTTTGCTTGTGCGATATGTGAATAACCACCATTGCATGAACCAGTTATTACTTGATGAACTCTCATATGTAGAAAATACGACCTAGAGATTAAAGTACGTGCGCTTCGAACATTATACGCAATTTGCAACTTTCAATTTCTCAAATAAATATGGATGAAACAAAAAATACTAGTTCTTCCATTAGTTATTTGCCTAATAAAAATAACAATTTGTAGAGATACCTTGTTAAGTTATATTTGTAACTTGTCTACAAGTATGTAAAGAACTACAATTAAGATGTATTAATTCTATATATTTCATTAAATCATTTGTGTGCTGGTCCTGCAGTGTGAGAAACTTGTAAGTAGAAAGGACTTTTAACCTTCAAATGATATGAATTGAAGAAGATTTGGTTACTGTTAAACGAATCAAAAATTATTAAAAAGCGTTCATTGTACTCACTGGCGCTTCCGAAATGAATATCGAGTACAGTGGCAGTATGTCACTTTGTGTGTTCGTAAATATTTAAATAATGCTAACCAGCACCTCATAGATGATCAAGTGTTTTTACGCTTGTAGTGTTTTAGTGATTGAGGATTTGTTGTCTTTTCAGTTATGCCCTCAATAGCGATAACAAAGATACGATATTTGTTACTATTGCTGCTGATGAAGTAACGCAGGATGATAAAATACCAAGAATACTCATTGAAAACCTGGCTAGATAAAAACTACTGGGTAAATCTGCCAGCAATAATTAAGTATTCAGAAACCCAATAGCAGGAGCGTCAAGATCTTAAATGCGACTGAATGCCCCAAAAAATTACAGAATTTTATTTTTCCTTTCAAAATAAAGGAATCAAGTAACTTATAATCTTCGACTATTGAATTCTACACATCATTAAAAGGATGCCACAGATGCTCAGGGTTTAACAATGATTTTGTCTGTAACACCTGGATAATCAAAGGGTACCATCTCAGTCTGACCAGGATTCAGAGATGAACGAGTTCGAAGATATATGTGGAAAGCTGTTAATATATTGAGAACCCTTTTATCTAAGTTGGATGGCAGTCGCAAAGAGTGCGTGGCATGGCATAGCCACTCACGATCAGATGCAGAAGCATAACCAAGAGTCTTCAGCTAGGGTGTGTCAATTAAAAATATTAAGCCTAGCACCAGTGTCGAAACTTACAGGAGTATTATTTATATGTGAAAATTACATTTGAAATAATCTCAGCGATTGAAATTTAAGTAATTCCAGCGTTTCGTCTAGCTAACTTGTCTGGATAAAACGCTGGAATTACTTAAATTTCAATCACTGAGATTATTTTCAAATGTAATTTTCACGTATAATGATGAAGATGGCACAGATATTCAGTGTTTGACAACGCTTTTACCAGCAACACCTTCCAATATAATTCGTACCCACCAAGAGGAATCAAAAGACAGAGTCGATGAGATCGTTAGAGTGTATTTGGCGATTACCAATATATCGGAATTCTCTGATCTAATCTGGCTAGCGATTGCGGTAGATGTTGAGCACAGCGTTACTACACGTGGTCTGGTGCAGATGCATGACCGAGCGCCTTCAGCTAGATGAGTCCACTAAAACATATGGTCAGCATCCAATTTCGAAAACTTACAGAGCTATTTATTTTGGAGATTTATTTACCGCTACAATGAATTCGCTATGCTCGGCGGCAAATTTCTGTCAAACTATTCATTTTAATCTTGAAGAATATTCGTATAAATTACAGAAGTATTTGTTTTGAGAATTTATTTTACCTCTTCAACTTGATTCTCACTTCAGAAAATGGTATGCCAACCATTGCAACCAAGCACACTAAGTGTCCATGGATTTCACAGCACATCTTTTACAAGGTAAAGGAGTTTATCAGAATAAGTCTAGTTTCTGACTGATAATGACACTAAAACGCTTTTGTAAAGGTCCTATGTAAATACAGACAGGACTGGAATCAGCCGCTGACAATTAGTCATCAGAACACTGTAGATCACTAACATAAATGATCTATGTCGGATCATTGGGGGCCTACTCGTATTAGACGGGAATGGTGTGACCAATAGCTAATTCGAAGTCATACCTGGCGGTCTGCACCTAACTTGGTTTACACCTTAGTCGTAGCAAGGCATCATTGCTCTTTGAAGACCGTATAACACAAAGGAAATTATCACATAAATTTGGTAGTTAGAGAAGGTACAAGCGAAAAAGTGACTACCGCCGCATGGACCAATCATGGAGTACAATTATCTGATGCGCGTTGGTTTTTTTAACCTTGACGGGGATCGACAAACTGTTCTAAATTTAGTTATCCAACTGCCAGAATATTTGGCGACCGCCCAGTGAATTTTACTGGCCCTACAAGACTATTTGAAGTCACTGATAATGATTGCATTCTGTGCCAGTAGCTACTTACCCTACCATCGTGATGAAAAGTCACTGCCTTCTAGATTTTGTCAAAAGATTAGTGTTTTCATACTTGCACGAACTACCGCCCAAAAAGCGAAGTAACTAGTGTGCAAAAGTTATTGGAAAGAACACAACCCTACATATTAGAAATTTGGGTCCATCTTGATGTGGGTATACCCGGACTCAAAAACGAAGTTTTTAGTATTTGGAACGCAGATCTTATCAGACTTAAATCTCATAACCGGTTGGCTTACATTGTTACCACTTCATTTATTGACTCTACCTGCCGGCTCAACCCAACCGAGTGGCCAGGTTATCTTGTTTCTGTGACACAGAAGCAATAATTTCTTGCAAGAAAGATGTTTATATATATATATATATATATATATATATATACATGTATGTATGAAAAAAATTATGTACACCCATCTGCTCATGCACCAATTTCACAATACGGAAAAGCTATAGAGTCATAGAAAAGTGAAAAAGACATTGACATTCCATGATATTTTCTCATGCTTAATTTGAATGAATTTGTTGGCTGCTGGAATGCGACATCACTGCTCGGGTTGTCCACCAATAACTAGTAAACTCCAGTTTTCATTGGCAATTTATAACATCTAGCCACTTCTAAGAACAGCAGCTTCATCTTTCATTGCTGGCAGAAGCCACGATATCCTGATATGCTGCCTTTAAGAAATCGAGGCTGAAAAATCATGTGTTAGGTCTAATTGCCTCGATCAGCTACTCTGTTTAATTGCTTTTACTCCACAGTCTACAGACTCAATCACTTCCAATCACAAAACATGAGGAAACGTTGTTGGTATCACACAAAATCTCCTGCTGAAACACTGAAAGCTAGAACGTCTTGTGAAAGACCCGAGAACAGAACAGGAGAAGCACCTCGTTTAATAATATATATTACTGGTCATGCAACTCTGACACCAAAATTGATTATCTGATTAAGAATCATGTACAACTACCCAACAAAAATTCTATTTATTGTAATACTGACAAGAAAAGAAAAAAATTAAGAACAAAGGAGACACGAAACAGATCTTTCAGAACTACTGCCTTCTACATGAGAAGAACTCAACAACGCTAATTGTATCGCGTGCTTGTGCTTAGTTAGAACCCGATATTCATCGTTAGAATGACATTTTTGTAATAAATGGGTCTACTGTATTTAAGAAGCTTCAATCCTTATGGTTCATGCTAAGTCGCCTATGCCTGTGTTTCTGAAATTTTTTTTGACTGTAGCAAAAATACATTAACAAAATCAACGAAAGCGAAACACAATGTTGTATTTGCATCGAGAGAAGCTATAACCAGAACCACCAGTTGAGCTTGTAGAATTATGGTCTACTATGATATTAGCACTGCTCTAATAATAGACCTAATCCTAAAATTGTAGACTTGTCATGGTATAACTGCATAATCTATAGGATCTTACGTGGAAGTCACAACATCGACTACACCAACTCACTGTATCGTATCAATTACTAATACATGATGTAGAACAAGGTTAGGCTAGAGAAGGAACAATATATTTATCATGAATAGAAGATATAAGGTAACATTCAGATGGGCCACGCCTGTATGGCCGAGCCATGCCATCCGATCAACTCCAGTCCATTCAATTCATTCAATTCCTTGTTCGCGCCTTCTCCATCGTTAAGTGTTTCTCCGCATTAAATATTGGATATCTATTTTCCGAGTAATCTCGTATTCAGCTTTGAGGATTGTGTGGTTATGGTCCAATGTCACCACAAGCTCATAAAGGAATGCCCGAAGGCGAGATTGACGGAGTCATTACTGGAATATAGCTCACCACAAAATCACTTACAAAATCACAAACTCCGTTACATTGTAGCTACTGACAAAATGACAGACCTTCGAACCAAAACCTGTTCACAGCCCCGCCAACCTCTGCCTCCATATGGGAACAATGTGAAAAGCTGCAAACAGCTGAGTCTCAACAGATATTTAGGCTAACTAAAGAAGAAAGTAGGAGATATCAGAAACAGGAGTTTCCAACTCATACTGGAGATCATAATGATGGTTGAAAACTTCTAGTCCCCTGTTACCACAGACGACAAAGTGATAGTCCAATGTACGACAGTATTCGGAAGTGACATAAAATACAAACAGAATAGGGAGTGGAGATAAACTTTAGCAACCATTGTGTGAAGCATTCGATTGGGCTAATATTATGTCCTCTCACAGGTAATAATACACAAAAGTAAGAAATTGTCCAGTCAATTTAACTTTGTTGGTTCTCAGTTTAAAGTTTTTTATCGCTTACTAATTCGTAATACTTCGTACTGGTGATCGACGCAAGTACTTTCGCGATTAATTTGCCCTGTGTAGGAATAACAAAAAGTTGCAACACAAAGTGTTGTTCGACAAGTTCGTCTTCAAAGAAGCTTATTCTCCATTTGAAAACGAAAGGGCAAATCAAAAAGACAAAGTGTATATTAAAGGATGAAAAGATATATGTATATGAGTCATTTTGCGTGAATATAAAAGATGTATTGAACTGAAGTTAAGGTACCTCCCAATAGTGTTACAGAGTAATCGGACAAAAATGCATAAAAATCCATAAATGTTTGTATACACTGGCAAAAGTTCATAAGTATTTATAAGAATGAGTACAGAATAATCAACGAAATGTAAATGATAAATCACACAGCTGAGTGCTTGGCTCATATCTTGTTTTCACACTGCTCAAAAATATGTGTAAAAAGTGACGGAACACAGGTGAGATGACCAATGTATCCAAGAACGATAAAAACTATTCTACGGTCACAACTATCTCACCAAATGTATGAACAGACGCTCATATATGGTGTATTTAACACTTCATTCCCAAATCACATTAAAAAAGTGATATACCTAGTGACCAGTTCTTCAAGAGGCTCATGCATGCTATTAAAAGTTTAGGCTCCACTGAACATGTGATTGATGCAATGAAATGAGTGGAAGATGGATGGTTTTGTTGATTAAACAACCCAAAACTACGTGATCAGCTTCCAGTTGAAGAAGTTCATGTACTGACACAGATGGACAGTAGTGATCATGACACAGTACTACCATAGTTAATAAAAATGCTGAGTAACGGTCGACTGAGGAAAAACAATTACAAAGACGACAAGATTCTTGGCCTAAAACGGGTTCAGGAAATGGAGGTCCTGGGATAGGATGGCTAGACAACATTCTGTGACGAGAAGATACTGGTTCATCTATTATTTCTACATTTTCCATACCCTACTCACAGCAGAAGCTGCGAGGATGGGTAATTCTGATATATTTTCATTCTGGATAAAAATTACTTGAAGAACTGAATGTTCTGGATTGATTTAAGCAGTGTGTATGTTAACAGTAGGTATTCAACATCAGATGTTGACGATGTGTTTTTTAAACACACTACTCCCTTTGATTCTTATCAACGATCTTCTAAGTATAATGATCTCAGCCGCTCTAGTCTGGTTTGATAAAGTGAATATATGGAGGTTCGTAAGGAACGAAGAGGATTTGCTAATGCCCCACAAGGACATCACGAAATAGGGAAATGCTTGGTGAAACATGTCATATCATGTTAATTTTGCCCATGGAGCACCAACAACTTTATTCTCATGAGGAAATCCCCTCAGAGTTGTCTCCACAGAGCGTTATAAAAGGTTATTAACCACGGAGAACTTAGAAACCAGCTCAAACTTCATTGAAGATGTAGCGAAAGCAAACGCAACTGTTATCTATGTACAAAAATGGTTTGTTTCTTACGCCTCAGAGTCATCCACAAAACCCTTTAGAGCATGCACACTGTCTCACTTTGACGTTCATCGTTCTCTTTCTGTTACACCCATCATCGTGCTCCATGACGCAAAGAGAGAAAACCTTCAGTTGCCCTATATCTAACTCCAGTTAAGTCATATGCTGATTGTTATCGGATTATTTATGCCGCCGACCCTCGTATATGATAACTAACTGAATTCGCGCTAAAGAGTGACGGAATAAAATAAGCCAATAACAAGAATGAATTTTGAAAATCTATATTTCATACACTCATTTATCCGAACGGACAATCAAAGAAACGAAGTGAAGAAGGTAAAGCAAAACCAAAAGAAGTGACACGCTGCATAGATATAGGGTGAGTCAACTCGATTCAATCAAGTGTTACTCGATATTTAGAGTAAGAGATAAACCAATTACATATACGCAATGAATAGGGAAAGCAGTTAACACAAGACTATATAAAAAGTCAGTTAATAAGCGAATAAGGGACAAGGCTAAAGTGTGGCTTGAAAAGAATGAACAAACTGATCTGTTCAGACGCTAGAAGTCGTCTTAGCATAGTACTAGCCACTACAAACCGAGGTATGATTTCATTTTCTCACGTTGTCACCTATAAGCACTGTCTACCCAGCAACGCCATATCAAAGACTATCATATTTTTACACGAAGATATTTAAAACTGTTTGAATCCAACTTTTTGCTCAATATACTTGTTGCCCATATGGAGTTTTTTAAATGACCTATTTAGTATTACTCTCAAGGTTCCTGCTACATTCGAAAATTTGCTAAGTCGTCTTATGTCTTATGTCTGAAGGGTCGTCTATCTTGTCCTCTGGACCTAAAAGACAATACGGGACTCTAGAATCTACGAATGCCTCACAAAATCCTCATATAATCTATAACATCAAACCTGGAGATACTCTTGTGTCAATCGCAGTACAATTTGGAACAACAGTAAGAAACGTATTTCGCTAACTTATGTTCTAAGGTACAAAGATTGCGATGGATTAATCGTTTGTGGGGATCAGACATCTCTAACATAGCTACATTAAAAGTCCCTGTCAAGTCTGAGCCTAGGCGGTTTGTACACCACAATTCAATTGAATTGTCCACAGTCAAAAAGAAATCTGAGCCTGGTAATGAAGACGCTCCACAAATAGCTTCTGCTAGCATTTATTTTAAAGAACTGTCAGAAAGGGTTGAAAAGGCTAAGGAAGCTGCCTCCCGTTGCTTAGAAAAGAGCAGGTACAGTTAAAGGATTTACTTTTAACTTTTACTTTATCAGCACTTATTATACATTTATACGAGGTACAATGCCTGTCTTACTATTTACTTAAGTATCTTCTCACCTATATACCACCCTTGAACCTTTTTAGGAGGTAGGGGAGTGTTAAATCTTTAACATGCCTTCAGTTATTCGTCAATAAATATCTATTTGAAGTAGCTCCTAACAAATTTCCAAATTTCTACTAGCAGTTCATTCCATATTAACTTTTGTTTAATCATATATTCGAAACAAAATGTCATTACCTTGCATGTTATTTAATTCTAGTTTTCAGATCGTACTGCACATATCTAGATGGGCATTCACATACATTGAACAAAACCTTCGACTCTACTCACAGATTCAGGATTAGTTGCTTTTGAATTGAAAAACCAAATAGTACCATTAACATTTTAGCTAATTTTGTCGAGATTGATGCGCAGCGTTGGTGATTTTTAAGATTTATAGAGTATATTATGCATCTGTTGGCACCAACTAAACAAGTTATTGCTTTTTTAAATATTGATTATAGACTACCTGAAATCATAGCTGACTGTGATCCCAGTAAACGCGATTGTTTTCCCGTTACAAGTTTGTCGGTATCTGATGAAACAGTGGTCATGGTAACAGCACCTTCAACTTCCAAACTTAACTCAATTACTGATTCTCGAAAAAGATTTTGTTCAATCCCAACAAACAGCATTCACGATCCATGCTGATTCGTATGTTAGAGTAGATGATCTCGTGTAAAAGTCCATTACATTTTTTATAATAGTGCAATAACTATGTTACTTTTGTCCGTCTGGACTGTGATAGTTCGTTCTTTTTGTCCTTTTTCGTTCGTTTACTTACAATTTATTTCGTATTGTATATTTGTAGGGTCTTGATTTTTAGTATTCATTTTAATTTATTTTTAATCTTAAAATATTAAAGATTCTCCTAGTGTAAATCACACATGGTGTTATAACTTAATTTCCATCCCGTATTTCATTTCTGTTTAGTCTACATCCAACAAACGTTTTGATCGACGATTACCACAAACATCCTTTTACCAAAGATGTCAAAAAGTATTCTGTATTTGCTAATCAAATATATATAAATGAGCATCTCTGTTTTTCAACTTATTTATCGAAAAGTTCTGGATGCAAATTAAATTTAAGTTATATATATATATATATATATATATATATATATATATATATATATATATATATATATATTTACTCAGTTATCTTCTATAAAATATTCGTTCAATATTCTTTTTATTTGAGCGGTATCTCTGGTTAAGATGTTCAAGTTTCAGTCATCAGTTCGCAGATTTAAACCCTCATCCACTTGTTTTAGTTTGGGCAACTGGATAGCATCAATAGTCTTCACACTTAGAGTATTACTAAGAGCCAAGTTCGATCATCTGTACTTGGTATTGGGTTGTAAAAACAAAAAATAAATCGTTAAAGTACGAAAGCCTACCATTTTACTTGACTCTTGCCAAGTAAAGTAGTTTTATTTCCCTAACTACAAGATTTTTGATTCTTTTTTATCCCATTCCTACTCAGTAAACTACACTTGTCCTTTTCAAATTTGATTTGCAAAGATGACCAATTAAACTGATTTACTGTCTCAGATAGTTCTTTGATAAAATTAGTGTTTGTCCGCATCTAGTTAATTTAGTTAAGAATGTTATGGAAGTGTGTAACTGTTCAATATCGAAGTACAAGAAACGCGTTGTCATAATAGATTTACGTTCAACTAGTTACTAAAATATCAGAAGAACAAAAATTAAGAAATATGACCAACAAGGTAGACAGTCTATCTGAACAGTTGGCAACTTATGGGATTGAGAATTATGATGAAATTTACTGTCAGTTAAATGGGTGTTTGTGTAAATTGGTTTCATTATACAAGTGATATAACATTAAATTAACATTTGTTTCATCAAACGTCCTTTCGTGTGAGATTTAAAATGCTACAATTAGGAAGACTATTTTTACATGGTGATGGAAATCTCAGTTTTCTATCGGGGATTTTCGTGGGAGTAAATTAGAGATTATGGTGTCCAAAGTAGTCTTTATGTCGAATAAAGTTTTCGTCTCTTTGTTGACTTTCACTGTTGATAGCGTCATATTCCATATTTAGATGGACAGTAGTTTTTTGGAAACAGATAAAATTCCCGGCTTTTAGTAATTTTCTGTCCAAAAGTTTCACTTAACCTGGTGCTTTAATTCATCTTTGCTGTTTCTCGCTAACATTTATGAAGTGCTGTAGGTTGTTTGTTTGCCTAATAATATTGTAGTGAACAAGAACATGAGTGGGAACAATCGAATGCATTTGACACGAAAATACAGAGAATCTCACTAAAATCTGAGAACCATATAGTAAATATTTGATTTGCAAAATATCAATCCATCGTTTCAAACTTGACTGTTCTTTTTGCAAATATCAGTCCATTGTATTAGATTTCATTGTTCATGCATTTTCATACCAACTGCGTTCCGTTCCCGTTCTTTCCTTCTCGATCTTCCACTGAAATACATTCTATGCATGACCACTGTTATATACTACTTTTGTGGATAAACGTAACCCAAACCACAATATGATCGAGTGAATTTTCAGGATAATTAAAACAAATTTTCACTGACAATTTGAGTAAACAAAACATTGAGCCCATAGAATCTTTGGGGAAAACAAATGATCTATGATTGGAAATAATTCGCACTTAGAAAAACACAATTTATATACGTTTTTAACTAGTCCAAGTTTTCGACAGAAAGACGATTTTTCCGCGGAAAAATAAATTCCACACCAAAATTACTCTGACTACACAGTAGTGTGAATAAAAATTTGTGGGAGGAACACCACCTCATCGCCCAAAAAGCTTAAAATGTTAATTTATGGTTCATTTCATTTCCAATACGTAAGCTCTTACGCTTTTAGCCAAAATATCCAACAATATAACTGAACTTTTCTACCTCTTTGTACTTCGGTCGATCATCCACTTCTAATAATACTACCTGAACCATGGGTCTACATGAAAATTTCTTCACATGATGTTTAACGAAAACAAGACTGATGCTTAAGATTGAGATGTAACGGTTGGTCGTTAGCAAAAGCCTAAGGTAATTTGAATAGTTGGAGGAAATATTATTTGATAATTAGCTTTCTCAAGACACTGCAGCAGTTTCGCGCGACACTCATATTGGAGTTACAGTGGATCTATTCCTGACATTTGTTTCCAGTAAATACTACATCAGATATGAATTTGTTGTGCTCATTTTACTGATCTATCACTGATGCATGGTTTCTATTCAATTTTAAATAAATTGAATATCGATCAAGCTGTTTACTGAGTAACCGTACACTTCATACTGGTACTATAAACTTGCTTAAAATGGTTGGTAAGATTTAAGCAACTTTAGGAACCATTGTGAGTCCATTCCTAAAGGTAGAACAATTGAATACCCACTTAGATCTAATGTTGATCAGTATTACTGTCAATTTCTTATATATTTAGTTACATATTCCATATATTATGTCTAAAAATCAATTAAATACCAATAAACTTGTTAGGTATAACATATTTGTTGATTAGTTAACCTCGTTTTACTAGCATTACAAATTATAACTTCAATTTCTCTTTCAATAACCTTTTCAACTTGATCTTTATGAATCATCAAGATTATATTTGAACTTTACATTTGTAACCGATTTTAGAATTGACTTAATCTTTTAAAAATGATGTAGATTAAAAAATCTGACCTTTTTGTAGTCCATTGTAAGCTGAATATGAAAAAAGAGGTTTCCGGTTATATTATCCTGTTGTTTGGTTATTTATCTATTCAACTGATGAAAATAAGGATTGTATCATTCAAATAAGGCTTTTATACCTTTACATTATTTCAGTTTTGGTAATTTTTTAAAGAAAAGGTTTTTCAACTCAGTCGCATAGGTAGGTGTGATAAAGGAACAAATTATGAGGTGGCTGTAACTCATGAAACTATCTTATAAAGAACTATTGTTTACATCTTTATTGTATAATTATAAGAAATATGGATTACTTTATTCTTATATTCTCCTTATTGTAATCTTTCACTTGGTGCGTAGACCATCGTTGTATGATTTACTTTTGTCAGGTTAATGTTAATTATTTACAAACTTATCAGTTGGTTCCCTTTTATCTATAATGTAGTAATGTACAAGTCACTAATGCTTCACTACACCAAAATACCGATCGCCTTTCATACATTACGTTGACAATAACTTGATATGTAAAAATCTCATGACAGTAATATCAAATTCATCTAAACAAAATAGACACTTTATGTGTGTTAAATCTATAGATTGTTAATGAAATTTTAAAAAAATGATGTTAGTAGGGAATAATATTCTGTTTGATTGCTTGTGGGTAGAGGTAAAGCTGCTAAGCTAACTATATCAAAGAATTATTTTACTCTAAAAACGCGTCGATAACTTCACTTATCTTGGAAGTCTGATCAGCCCTAATGGGTTGGTGTCTGACAAAATCTCAGCACGGATTCGAAAAGCTCGTTTGGCTTTTGCCAACTTACGTTATCTATGGCGAAGGCGAGATGTCCGTCTATCAATAAAAGGACGAGTATACTGCGCGGCAGTTCGTTCTGTTTTAATTTACGTCGGCGAAATGTGGCCATTAAGAGTTGAAGATATTCGTAAGCTACTAGTATTTGGCCACAGATGTCTTGGAAATATTTCTGGCATCTGCTGGGATCACCAGGTAGGTAATAGTGACGTTAGACGTAGGGTATTAGGGGATGATAGTAAATCAATTGAAGAGGTTATGAATCTTCATCGACTGAGATGGTTGGGTCATGTGTTGCGTATGCTTGAACACCGACTACTACGACGCGCAATACTGACTGGTGTTGATGATGGTTGGAAAAATGTTTATTATTTATTTATTTGGACACATGAATATTGGTACAAGAGAGCGCCAATATATATATGTGGCCAAACCGAAACGTGGCATCAGTGCCTGAAGTCATTAAATTCTAGTCTGAGCCATGTTGGTAGACGCAGACTACTTGGTTGGGGTCCACATGACTATCGTAACCAATGGTTGGAGACTGTGTGTGACATGGTTCAGAATCGACCACAATGGCGTAGGTGTATACACACTTTGTCTTCTTTTAAACTATGAGATTAAAATCGCTTCATATCTTCCTTTCTTCGAACGAATTCTTTCTTCCTGTACTATGTCCTTTATTTATGCAATCTTTCTTTTATATATTACCACAGTTGAATTAACTACTTCTATGAATTCGGTGTTGATCTTGTTGTGCTAATGAGGTATGGCAACTTGGAACGATGTATCTGTGTCCCTTATCCTACGTTGTAACTGACTTACTGACTGAAATATAACTTGACCGAATTTAGCATAATTACAATTCACATTATATAATTAGGATTCAAATAGTTATTTATTCAGAGTACGTCAACAGAAAGCTAGATGTGGCTAAAACAAGATATGGGATCAGTTCATAAATTCACTTACTATTTGACTAGGCCTTATTAATAGATACAGACTGATTGATTACGATCCGCTGTAGGGTTCATTACAGTGACCAATCGCTGAAGAATTTTGATGGCCATAACACACATATATTTCAATTTCCACTAGTTTCAGTATCTATCCATATATATCCCTTCTTATTATTTCTGCTTATGACATATTCTCCGAATTTTCTTCTTTCTCCTTATCATTCTTATTTTCATTAGTTTGACTCGTATATTTTCAGTCTAGTTATGCTTATTTGTTAAGGCACATTTGTGATGGGCTCTGTAATGATTCTGACTAACCGGTAACAAAATCTTTAAGTTTCGCTCTTTATAATTTACCTCATATGATAATGAATTGACATAGTGATAATGAATGTTACTTGTTATTAAAGTGTTTACAAAATTATCGACTTTCAACTTATGTTAAGTGACTCTTCTGATAACACTGAATCATAGAATATACTCATTTTCAACTATATTTTAGTGATTCATGTTAATGTAATACTGATTCTCTCTATCTGCCAATAAATTCATGTTTTAACATGTTTAAAACATTATCGAAATACTCAACTTTTCATAACAAAAT